GAGAAAAGTACCTAAATGGCATTGTAACTACAATAACAAATAAACAGAAAAAAAGTCTCCAAAAATCTTCCAAAAAATTCCTAAATTATTCAGCACCAGTCGTAGTTGAACAAAAATATTTTGAGAAGAATTGTTTGTATATAAAATTAAAAAATACTCCCCTCTACCCCCCTACCCCCCCCCCTCACTCTCTACTCCCCCCTCCCCTCACTCCCCCTCCTACTTCCCCTCCAACCCAAACACTTTCCTTTCCCCAACTTTGGCCGTCAATGTTTTTCTAATGTGCGAAAAAGGGCAAAAGAAGTAATGGAAGAAAGTGACACTGATTTGAATCCAAAAAAGGATTGAACGAAATAGCTACTAGTTAAAGTAAATATATGTTTAGGTAGAAGATATTTTCTTAGAAATTAAACAAAGAAAATTAAAATTCCGATTTAAATAATGAAGAGAATGCTAAAAAAATAAGAAAATTAAATATATAAATTTAAATAATGGGAAATTTGTGAATTTGATGAAAATTTAAAAATTTGTAGTAAATAATATAAAATGTAAATTAAATACTTGTAATAATATTCTCTGTAATTTAATTTAAACTTTTTAAGTTAATTAATAAGCGAAGGAGAATTTATGAAGTACTTATTGTTGGATAACCAGGAGGAATATAAGTATAGTAAGGTATTTACACAAATCTGTATATTTTTAGTTGGGCAAAGCCAAAACTGCACGCGGCCATAACGGCGCAAAGCCATTTCCCTTATAATATGGTACCAATCTCTCTCTAGCTCAATGATAGAAATTGTTAAGTGCTAAAGTTGATAAGATTCGGAAATCTTGAAGCATGTTATGGCTTTGCGTCGTTTTTTAGTTTATTATTTTGTAATTAATTAAAATAATATTTATTTTTGTGTTTAATTTTTATTTAAAATTAAAAACAAATTATTTAACTTAAACAATAATTATTTTAAATTTAAAGGTAAAATAATATTAAAAAATAAATAAAAGACGTCCTTGGGCAATTAAAAGAAAACTTGCAGCATTTTTGTAAAATAAAATGTCTATCTAATTTCGTATCGGGACGTGTAAATTATCTAATCCAATTTAACAACATTTGGAATGATCGGCGGAAGATTGAGAATAAAAAATAAAGAAAAAAAAGAAAAAAGGCGTTTGTTGTCCGCCTTCAATTTCATCCCCAACCTTATCCATCTTCAACTCCGCCTCTAGATTTCCGCGCATTTTTTAGCGACGATTGGCAGGAGTAAATAGCAAATTGGGTCATCAATTGAGGGGAAGGGTGTAAATTAAAAAAGGGGGTAGAAAATAAGTAAGTCATTTGTCGTCGGCCGAAATGCAGGCACAAAAAGAACAAAACGGACAAGAAAAGACTAAAAAAATTATTTTTATTTTAGCAATTGAAAAATTAATTGGGAAAAAAAGGGAGAAGAAGCAAAGAGGGGGGGGGGGAGACACGGACGTGGTTAATTTTAGAAGGTATTTAGGTAAAGTTAGTTAAAAATAAATAAAAAAAAATTATTTTTTTTTGTTGGGCGGCAGGCGCGCCGAAAAGCCTTTTTCTTCTTCTTCTACAACAATTTCACCCCCACCTTTTTTTCAACTATTAACACAAAACCATCTTGGGGGTATCGCGCCTTATCGCGCAATCGTCGATGAAAAGTATTTGATTATTGAGCGCGCTTAAATAGGTGATGAAGGCTGTAAAGGGTTTTTTAAGGGAGAGAGGAAGTGGGGAAGGTAGAAGATGGGTTTAAATGTAAAATATTTTTTTGGAACAATAAAGAAAATTTTTAATTGTTTTTTTCTGATTAAAAAATTAAAAAAAATATTTTTTCCAAATTTTAAAAATAAAATAATTTAAAATGAAAATAATTTTCATTTACTTAAGTTTGTAAAAAATACTTAAAGTTTGTCTTTTAATATTTTTATTTCTTTTAATTTTCTTTTCAAGTTTATTTACTTAAGTTTCTTCAAGTTTATTACTAAATACCTCCTCACTCTCTCCTATATTTTATTTGCCTTATTTTTTCAAGTTTATTTTAAAGTTTTAAGTTTTGTTTATTTTTAAAGCTTTTTTAAATTTTTATTTAAAAGAGGTATAATGTAAAATAGATTTTTATTTTTACAATTTTTGTCCATTTACAGAAAAATTCTTTTGTATTTAAATATATACTTACTTGTTTTTCTTCTAAAAATCCTTTCCTGTAAAAAGTAATCCTTCAAGCTCATGTCATTACTCTCTTTCAAAAGGTTAATCCTTTACTTTTTTTGTATTTAAGCTCAAAATAGGCGTATATCTCTCCACAAAACTACCACACACAAAAATATATATTTAAATATAATTATTTTAAAACTATAATTATTATTAATTTTCCATTTTTTGTTCCATCTTAATTAAACAGATTCTTCTAAAATTAATATTTTTTAATTTTAAAATAAGAATATTTTTTGTTTATTTTTCGATCATCCAAAATTTAAGGAAAAAAATTAATTTTCTTTTTATTTTCCCAAAATTTTGTTGTTCTAAATTTTCTTTGGATAAAATTACTTCGACCTCGAAATAGTAAAAAAAGTTAAAATTAATGAAGATGAGAAAATTATGAGAATATGTATACTAATAAAAACTCATTAATAACGGTGTAAAAAATTAGTGCCGGGAAGGATTTTAATTCTACATACATACAACGAAAAAAGAAAAATAAATAAAATATTCATGGAAATAATAATTTAACAATTTATTTTTTTAATTAAAAATTGTTTATTAAATTTTAAAAATTGAATTTGATTTTTTTTTGATACCAAGTCTTCTTGCAAAATAACTTTTAGCTGCGTTATGACAATTCAAATTGCCAGTCTTTGGGAGTGGTATGTATAAGGAAAAGAGGCTTCCTTAGCAGTGTTTTAAGAATAGGGTCGTCAGTTTTTGGAAAATCTTCGGATATCCCGACTGTTCTTCCGGTTCCGAACCGATAACCCTACTTAAAAGGTGAGGAAATAATGGACGAGGCCCGAGGAAAAAGAGGAAAGAAAAATGTCAGTAGGTGGGGTTTTTGATAATGAAAATCAAGGTCAAATTTTAATTCAAATTGCAAGAAGCTTTTTCCTTAATTTTAGCGCCGGAGTTAATGAATTTTAAAAATTAAAATGTTCTGACAGAATTGTTTTGTATGACGAAAACCGATTTTAATAAAGAAATAAGTTAAGTAGTAGAGGTTCATGGGAAATCTCCGGATATCCGAACCTAAAATTTCGGATACCCGGGCTTTTTTCGGATATCCGGAGAAAGTTTTAATGTTTCCCTGAGGAAATGAACAAAGATGTCGGTGTTTTTAAATTTTATTTTATTTTTCTTTGATACTTCTTTTAAATTTATTTTAAATAAAGGATTTATTCCTCATTTCAATGCTGATCATCCTAGAAGAAAATCAAAGTCTTCCGTTAAAAGAAAAGAACATCTTGATAAAAATTTGGATTTTAAAATGGGGGCTGCTTGTTGTGAAGATTAATTATAATATTATTTATAAATACTTTTTTACATATGTATGTACTGTTCATAATTTAGGTTTTTGTAAGTTTTTAAGCTTCTAAAGATGTTTTGATTTATAATTTCCCCCTTTTTAATTTTTAGTTCGAAAAGTGAGTATTTTTACTCTGATGGACATTTTGAAATGGGAATCCGCGGTTTTTGTATTTTTGGGACGAATCCGCGCGGGACGAATCCATGGTTTTTGTCCAAGGAACGTATCCAATAAAAAACTCTCATCAACTTACAAAAACTTACATCAACCAATAGGTCCACTAAGTTACCCTCTAACGTTAGGCTATTGGAACTCACATAGTCCTTTATACATCACTTACTATCATAAAAGGTCCACCGCACTAACAACTCAATTTCTACTCATGCCTCACTAAGATGTTCCTACACTTAAAATCCAATCTCTAGCTCACATCAAGCAATTCACTACACTTCGTCACAATACTTCACTAAGTACTAGTCTCCATTGTTGCTGTTGTCGATCTGAACACGCCTGTAGACGATCTGTTGCCGGACTGTTGACGAGCGAGCACTGGTTGCGCGACAGTTGACGAGCAATGGTTGCCGGACTTTTGTCGAGCACGGGGGATCAGGGACTAGCTGGGCTAGTATGATCCAACTAGACTGATGCTGGGAAAGGCTTTTATATTACACAACAAAGTCTGTTTCTTTTTCAAGAGAGGAATACTATAAAAACGCCATCATTTCTTCTCCCTTAACAACACAACTATCAATCTTCTATCATCATCTACAACAAATTCTCTTCATCTACGTTCGTCGACGTACCTGCAATGCGGAAGCGCTGCTGCAACTCTTCAGGCGTCAACGGGATGGCCTCGACATCGGCTCTGGTTTCGCGTGCTCTTCTTCTGCTCACGGTCGCTCTGTTGCTGCTCGAATGCGTTGTCTGGTGCGACATGGTTGGATTTGCTAAGCACATGAAGGATGGCAACAAGATCACAAAGCTGGGCACCGGCGAGGCGACTGATTGCAAAGTTGAAGATGGGAAAAACGGGGATATGTAAGCACATTTACTTTTTTAAATAAATATTTTAAACTTTTTGTTTTTAATTTTTTAAAGGATCATCAAGTACAAAAAGGGACAACCACATGCGACAAAAGGATGCTCCATTGATCTGCTCACGAAGAACGAAGGGATCCAGCTGGAATTCACCGTCACCGGGAATCTGATGGAATGCTTGACGGACGCTGTGGTTGATGGGATTGGCGTTAAGGATGAGAGGGTCGGCGACGATAATTTGTGAGTGAATTATCATTGTTAAGATTTTCTGACCATATGTAATTTTTCTTTAGGTTTCCGTTCACCTTCAGTCTGGGGGAAGATGGGTTTAAAAAGTTGGTGGACAACGGGCTTCAAACAGGTGCCTCCTCTGAGTGTTCTCCATTATGTGTGAATGAACGTTCCGGAAAATGCCTGGTATCGACCGAGTTCGCTGCTGCTTTTGGACGAAGGGGTGACTATATGTTCTACAACGTGCACATCCGTGAGTTTTAGATAAATATAATTGATCATTTAAAGAAACAATCATTGATTATTAATCAAATTAATTTTTTTAGTTGGTGAGCCGAGAATCTGGTACTGCCCTTCTGAGGAACATAAGGCCGAAAAAAATACCGCGTCTATCACAATCAAATTCGATCCAAAAGCGTATTCAGGATGGCGGGTGTCGTCTGGTTACCGTTGCGCAAGGGAGAACGGATTGGACTACGATAAGGAGGTAAAATACTGCCACGATGAAAAGGTTCTACGCAAAGCTGAGCAATGGGAGATCACAGACGCGGCGCATAAGGACACGGAATTCAAATATCTCTTCACGCTGAACATTCTGCCTCTGAAGATTGTACCCAAGCATAAGTCACATAAACAAAGAATTGACCTTGACAACATGCTTGATGGGAACAAAGGTCCAAAGTGCGAGATGTCCCTCAGACTGGTAAAATTTATTTAATATATTTAAAATATTTTGTTTACAAAATTCTAATTTATTTTAGAGCGGTAGTCGGTTCAGAAAGCTTGGTGCTAGTACTCCTGAGACAAATCCGACTGATGGACAGACTGGTCCTGCTGGAAGCATTGATCCTGCTGTTGAAACGACCACGGCTGGTCCATCTAGTGGAGCTGAAGCTTCCGGCGGTAACATGGGTCTCATCATTGGCATCGTCATTGCCGTTGTAGTCCTGTGAGTTTTATATTTTTGATTATGGTTATTTAACAAAATTACATTCAAAATAAAATTATAGGCTTGCTGTAGTTGGTGGCCTTGTCTGGTTCTTCGTGCTCCGCGGAAAAGGTGAAGAAGAAGAGGGAATGGAAATGGGAATGACCGGTGCTGGAGGTACGAAGACCAAGACCAAAGTTGGTGGGACGACCGTTGGAGCGACCCAAGCAAAGACCGGCGGAATGACTACTGTTGGAGGGACGCAAGCCAAAACCGGTGGAGCGACAACTGCTGGCGGTGCTACATCGAAAGCTGCGGGGACAACGAAGGGAGGAGCGACATCGAAGGCTGGAGGGGCAACGTCGAAGAAGTAGAGAGGAGCGGGAGAGAAGAGGAGAGGTGAAGATGATTGTGATAGGATAATATATCTAAAATAATTCAACATTTACCTAAATTGTATCCCCATAATTATTTTCTTCTTCCCTTTTCCCTCATATAATATGTTTTCCTATAATATATCTTCCTATATATTTGCGCGCATTGGGAGTATTATACTACTACCCTATTTTGTATATATACCATATCTTGAAATGTATATTTGTATATTGTTTGTGCGCTCTATTATAATATATGTATGTTGTATGTATTGCTAAATAAATATTGTATTTGAATTTGTGTTTTTGGATTTTGTTTTAGAGAATGGGTTAAGGGGTGGTCATAGGATGGCTTTAGGGAATGGTCTTAGGATAACAGAGATGGGATGGATTAATAGAAATTGAACTTTTTCTCGATCTGAAACCCGATTTGAGAAATTTCCCAAAACTTCTTCAATTTCTTAAAAACAAACATTTTTACAAAGTAGTAAAAAATCCTGAAATCATGCATTTTAAAAAATTTTCAAAAATCCAAATTCAACCTAAAAATTCCAAAATAAATATTTTAGAGTGTGCTCAAAATTTTTGTTAACTAAATTTACTGTAGGCTCTATCGTAAAGTACCCCATTTTTGAGTAAAATAAATATTTTTTCGGTTGTTGTTAAATTAAAGCTTGTCTTGACTAAAGACTTTTTTGGGGGTTTGTCGAAATCAATCAAATCAACCGATACTTAAAATTAACTGTTATCCGACTTAATCCCTCCAAATCCTCCTAAATTATCGTATTGTTGAAATTTTTAAAATATTTTTGTACTGTGTTTATAGAGAAATTGATTAGATTATTAGTAAGTAGACTTTTCTCTATTATTAGAAAAATAAATTTTTCACTTTCGAAAATTTTCAAAAATCTGATTTTACTGTGCTAAAATTCAAATACTCTTGAAGTATTCTATACACCAAACTAGCCTCCAAATAAAATTATTGAAAAATACCGACAATTTACAAGAATGAAAACAACGGCAATAATGTGTCGTAAATAGAAATTCTTGACTCTAATCATAATTTAACAACATTCTTCCCCCCACCCCCCTAAGTCAAGAAAAAATCAGGGGACTTTAAAAAATGACTCGATCGACTTTGGATCCAAGAAAAATTGATTTAGACAGGCCGACTCTAATTCTAAACTGGATTTTAAAAAATAAATTATTTTTGTTAACCAAAAATCCTTTTTAATACACTCTGTTTCAAAATTATAGACTTTGTGGAACCCTAAAACTGAGGATTTGCCTATAACTATCGAAAAAATTGAGTTAAAAACAAATTTTTTATAAACCTAATTTTAGACATCTATTTATTATTACAAAAAAGTCTAAAAATAAAAATAACGGTTCAGTATAGAAACCGAGAAAAATATACTTTTGTAGAGCAGTGTAGAAGAAGTAAGTAGGGAATAAATTTTATTAGATGTTTAACACTCTTCTGCTTATTAAGATTTTTGACTCAGATTTGCACACTTTTGTAGTTAAAAATTTATAACCTAGGAACAGATTGAGTTATTAAATTTAATTTTTTGGGGGATTTTAATTATAATTTAAAAATTTTGTTGAATAAACAAAAGATCTATTTATATCTAAAAAATATTATTTATATAAAAAATGATGTATAATATTTATTTTTATAAAAATTTCTTTAAAATAAACACTCAAGATTGGCAGCACTTTTTAAAGCTATCGCTTCATCATTAATTAGCCCAGCAGCCAGGTTTTTAGCATTAATCTCAACTGATCGTCTAGCTCTATTTATTTTCGTTTCTGATTTTTTCTGTCCAGTTTTACATGTTCCACAACATTTACATATAAAAAAGAAATTAAAATTATTTTTTAATTAAAAATAAAAATATTTACATTAAACCAAGTTCAGCACGTATTTCGGGTGGTAAAGATGAAAGGAAATTGTGTTCCTAAATTAATATTTTTTCTAAAATTTCTTCTATCATTTTTACCTGTTTTCTAAAATTAACCCATTTATTATAAGCTTCTCTTGCATTTGCCGATAATTTTTGAATTGTTTGGTGCCGTTCAGAAATTTGTTCAGAAAGTTTCTGATCGAATTTGGCAAAACGAGCAATCTAAAAAAGAATAATTAAAAAATTCTTTATTTCTCTGAAAATAAATATCAAAACCGATTCTTCATTTTTTAGTAATTCTTGTGCCAATTTCCTAAATTCTGTCTGTTTTTGTTCAATTGTCATATCATCATTAAACCAGACATGCATAAAACGATCTCTAATTTCATCTGATTCATTTTTTAAAAACCCAGGTCCACAAACTCCTTTGAAAAGTTGCATTCGAGTCTATAAATTAACTGAAACTGATGATTTTTTAACTCAACAACCTCTTCTGGGATTGCCATTATAATTGCTCGGGTTTGCTCCTGTTCTTGTTCACATTCGTCTCCTGCTTGGTAATTAACCCAAATTGCGTGAATTTTTGCCTGAGCATCTTGAGGAAGTCGATAGGCAAATGGGGGGATCCCGCAATCCAAATGACGTTGATGCCAAGGTCCCAAGGCATCGAAAGGATCGGTAGAAGAGAGGGGGCCACTATCACCACAGTTACACCCGAAGGATTTTGAAGGAACCAAAATAAGTAAAATAAAAAAGGAAAATATTAAGTGAATATTCATTTTGAGGAAGATTTATTTATTTTTTAAAAAATTAAATAAAAATTAGCAGAAATAATAATTAATAAAAACAATAGTTAAAATAATTATTTATTAAAATAAAATTATTTATCAAGCAAAGTAAATAATTTAGAAGAATCGAGGAGTATTTGTATTTAGCTTAATGAAATTATTTATTTATTCAGTTATAATTAAAAGAATTAAGTAGATTCTTTTATTTTCTAATCTCTTTTAAATATCCGGTTTTTCAATTGTTTTTTATTGGCTAACAAAAAGATTCCAAATAAAAAGTAATTTTTGTGTCTTTTCCTCTTGTGACTGCTTCACATTGGCCGCTTCAAGATTAAAAGTTGGTAATTAATTATTTTATTTTTAATAAATAATGAGGAATAAATTTAATATAAAAATAATTTTGGATAAAAATTAAATAAAAATAAAAAAATTTAATTTTCAATTCTTTTTTTTTCAACTTTTCTCTTTTCGATAAAAATCTAATTTGCAATGATTTAAAAATAGTACCAAATAAAAGCTAAATCTGTCAAAATAATTTGGAAGAGATGAAACTTTGACGAAAAAAGATATATTTTAAATTCAAAAAAGAAAATATAGGCAGGCACGTGGAGAGAAATTCCTCAGCCGGTGGTGCCAAAATAAATATTTATTTTTTGTGTTTTTGGCTATATTTCCTTTTATTTTCTTTTAAAATTTCTTTTTTGCATTAAATGATGAAATTATCGCGGCAAACAAATCTGATGAGAAGAATGCCGCGAAGCGAAACGCCAACTGGTAGGAGGAGAAAGGAGAATTAAATGAAAAGAAAAAGGGCCTTTTAAAAAGGAAATTCATTCCTTTTTTTTTCAGAAAATTCTCGAGAAATTAATAAAAAAAATTCTAAAAAAATTTACATGTGTTCCCATTTATTTTGTTATTAATTATATGTAAATTTCCTTTGATTTTTATTATTCGATTAAGTTTTCAATTTCTGGCTCTGATCTACTTGAAAAGGATTATAACTCAGTTATTAAACCCCCCCCCACCCCCAACTATTTTAGTAAATAAAATTTAATTATTTCAATTTATTTTAAAAAGTCAATGATTCTTTTAATTATTATTTTCTTTGATTATTTTCATTTTTCATCACAGCAATATTACAAAAAAGATTTTAGTTCACGTTCTTCTTATATAACAGCAGAACGTCCTTTAAGGTGAAATTTGTAAGGGAAAACAAATTTAGTAATTTCTAGATTAGCACTTCGTGCATGTACTTCACAACTTGAGCCCTTTCAATTAGATACAATGCTTGTCAGTTTTTGTTTAATTAAAAATATTAAAAGAAACACAGAAAATTATTCTTAAAAATTTAAAGTTCTTTCCTTCTGATTTAAAAATTTGTGCCTCAATCGAATCAAACAAAGGTATCAATGCTTTATCACGCGATCGCGCAAGAACGACACATTTGAGGCCATTAGTTTTTCTTTCAATTCGGCCAGTTGGTTCTTCTCTTCATTGCCAATTATCTTTTTATGTTTGTTCCTCAAATAATTTAAAATTCAAATTTTTAAGGGCTATCAAGGAGATTATCGCTTTGCTCCAGATTTAGGTTATTACCAAACATGTCAACGTTCCATTTCTCAACATTTGGATAAATTAGTCGAGAAGGAAAAGGATATTCTTGTTGATAGCAAAAGCCCAACAAGCATTCCATTATTGAATTCAACAACAAATAATTGCCCAATTCATTCACTTCCTGGCACAATTAGAGTTGGAAATATTTTTTTTAATTTTGTTATTTAATTTTTTGTTAGGAATTAAATGCTTGTAAACTAAAAGATGGTCAATGGTATGAACTTTCTTTCCGATCGGCAATTCAATACGAAATATTAATTACCGAAAAAAATATTTACCAGCAAATGTGGGTAAATCACTCGACAACTTTTGTTTTCAAGCCTGACAGAGAGGTTTGGAGAAATGGGACAGAACTTTATTGGCTTCAACGATTACTTCAGTTAAGAGTTAAGTAAGGGAACAAAAAATGTTTAAATAATTTTAAAAAATTTTTTGGTAGAATGAAAAATTGTGAAGCTGTTCGTTATTTGTTAAAGCTAGACGAAAGTTGGTCTTCAGGTCAATTACCAGTTACCGTCTTTATTGACTATCAAGTGAGAGAAAATGCTTATGTAAAGCATTCGAGGCATTTGGGCAATGGAACTCTTATGGATGGATGGTTTACTGGAACATTTCCGGTATGGCGAACACCTGAATTACGGACTCATGAACTTTGTGTTCAGGTAAAAAAGAAAACAAACAATTAATTTGACAAAGAATTTCTCTCAAGTTTGCATGGCCTCGTTCATTAAATCAGTACAGACTTTGCAGAACTTTTCTTCGAGGCCGGTCTTCACTTGATTGTGATCCATTCTCCTATTATACACAATATTCAGTTGCCTCAAAAAGTGAAAATAATAAAAATAAATTAATAATTAATTTTGTAATTTATATAATATTTATATTATTTTTTAGTTAATAATTACTAATAAACATATAATATATAATTTCTCGAATTATTATCTAAATCATTAATTTATTTAATAAAAATAAAACGGCACGAAATGATAAAAAAATCTATCTTAATCAGTTAATTAGTTATTTAAAAAATTCCCAAATCCCCAACTAAATTAATCAATTCCTTCATTCTGCAAATTTTATTTTCATTTCGTTGTTTTTTTCTTAATCTAGCATTCTTTAATAAAGTGAACAGATCTGTTTACACAGAGAAAGAAAAGTGAACGTTGTTAGTTCATTCAAGTTTATTTTATAACAAGCATTCTACGTGAAAAGCAACTGCTTATTCAATAAAAAATAAATAAATATTTTTAGCTACTATGTATATTCAACATTTATAGGTCAATTGGATGTTGTTTTTTAACAATTGTTTATCAAAAATTAATTTCCACGTTTCATGTTTATTCGATTCTTAAACAATCAACAAAAAATAAATTTTAATTTAATTAAATATTAACTAATTTTAAATATATTTCTGGATTATTTTTAAAATGATATTTTTAATCAAAAGAATTACAGATTAACTACCTAATTTTAGTTGCCATTTTAATTAATGGGAACTAAGCGCCCCCTCCATGAACGATCACCACCTGGATTGGACATTGTACCAGCCAGTCAAAGAAGACGACTTTCTTTTTCTAACAGTGACTTATCAGATACTCGACAATTAAAGGGCCTCTACGAACTCTGTCTTGGTAACTGATATTTTGATATAGGAAAATTTTTGTTAGAAGTTAAATTACCGGTTACTGGTTATTAACCAAATTGTACTAATTTTCTCGATTCTCTAGACTTTAATAATTTAAAGATCAAGTACTCCGAGGATTACACCCAGTTTCAAGAGACACGGCTATTAAACTTGCTGCAATTCAATGTTTCGTACAATATGGACCTTTTTATGATGGAGTACAAAGCAGTGTTCGGTGGGTATATTTGTAAATTTGGGTTTAGTTACTAGTTAATTCTCCTTCGTCTCTCAAAATATTAACAAGAATTTATATTTTGTCATTTTATTTTTTTAAGTGCTTACAATTTGTTACCGAAAGAATATTTACATGCAAGGGAACACGAGAAAAATATAATTGAAGTACTTTCATAATTTTTTAAGAAAAATTAAAGTATTATTTAGCAATACCGAAATTTAATTTTTCCAAACGACATAGCTGCTCAACGGAAATATTGTGACATTTGTAAGAATCTTCCAACATACGGAATGATTTTTTTCAATGTAAAGGAACCTGTCCGAAATAGTGAGCTTTTAGATTTTATTAGAAATAATGGAAAGACTGGGGGTTTATTAGAATGAGTTTGGCTGGCAAAATATTTAATATCTTGATCAAAAAATAATTTAATCAAAATTTATTTGTAGAACTGGTGCCTCGTCTATTTGGTGTTAATAAAGAATGTGTAATGAGTGTTGACAAAAAGAATAAGGTTAAGATATAATAATAGCACAACTTATGTCAAATATTTTTTGTAGGTTGTTCTCAAATCCTGGCCGTTGGAGCAACTTAGGAGATGGGCTGCCTCTCCAAATACTTTTAATATTGTATTCTAATTAAATAGAAATTAAATATTTGTTTGTTTTTAGGATTTTGGTGATTATCAAGATGGATATTACTCTGTTCAGACGGTAAACAAAAAAGTTATCTTACTTCGAAAAAGTTTATTAAATAATAGCCAGAGGCAGGGAAGATTAAACGACTCATAGCTGAATTTGTGGATATAATACTTATCAAAAAACAATTAGTGGACCCTTTTGGTGTTGAGGGGGATGAAGGGGCTATTATGATTGAAGACTTTGTACATCGTGCCCGTTCTGTTCCTCTATCGGCCGAGGATTTACAGCAAATACAGGAAAGTGAAAAAGATGTTAGAAGAGCAAAACCTGTTGAACCTCATGAACGTTATGAACAAGTTGTTGTTCCAGAAGGCTTTGTGCCCTCAATGGATGATCAGAAATTAATTGAAGTAAGAGATATTTTCTCTAATAAAATGGGATATCATATTTAGTATTCAATATATAATTTATATATCCAAACTAATTTCAGCATTACCGCCCAATGACAGTTCCGATTCCGGTTGCCGAGTTTCCAAGGAGTTATCAACGTCTTCCTAGCGCTCCTCCATTAATTAACATCACCCAACCAACAACTCCCCAATCCCCTATTCATTTTACCCAGACAGAACGTTACGAACAATTACCCCCGCAAATTTTTGAAGAAACTACCAAAATTTCACCACAAAATGTTCCAGGCAATTTTTAATTAAAAAATATCGTGAAGAAGCCTATAATCTTTATTAAAAATTTTCAGTGTCTTCGAAGCCACCAGATATTCTTCAAATTCAAATCCCACCACCTTTGCTACCGCCACCTGTTTCTGTTGAAATTATTGATAATTCTAGAGGTTTCAGAATTTTTAAAATTTAATAAGAATTTTATTTTTAAAGAAAAGAAACCCTTACAACCTCCGATTTCACCACCACCAATCACCACCAAAGTTGATTTAATTCGAGAACAATCCGAACAGCATCATTTTTCAGCCTTTACCTCCAATCAAATTGCCTATGAAATTTGTTCTGTAATTTTAAATCTTTTTATTATCTACAGAAATTATTTTTAAATTATCAGAAAGAGGGAATTATGCATCGTTCATACGAGCAACATTTTGAAAACACAAAAAATTTACAATCATTTACTGAAGTTATCGAAATAACCATTAAACGGTTACTTGATTGTAGTCAACAAACTTTTAATTTTAATTTGCCAACATTAAATAATGAAGAAAGAGCATCGGCCATTAAATTAGGCGAAGATACAATTCGCCATCAAGCTGTCCTTTTCTTAGCCTGCACAGCGCAGGTTTAGTTATTTTTGGATTGAGCGAGATTAATAGGAAACATCCATCTTCACTGTTTTAGCTTATAAAGAGCTGAAACTTCATCTGGGGCCTATTCAGATTATATGAAGTTTCTGATATGACATGTCATATCAGAAATTTAATATTATTATATTTGAATAGGCCCTGGCGGGCATTCAAATTCTTGCTCATTGACTAAACTCTTACCTATGTACAAATTTTTTCTTTCTATTTTTTTAAATATAGGCGATTGAATGGACATCCGAATCTCAGCGTTTTGGACCAAAATATGGCCGCGCTTGTACGGCAATTAATCAAGGGGGTGATTATCTTTGTGAACTAAATCAGTGCACAAAGGAGCTAATCGCTTTATATTCAAATCCCCAATTTACCACCCAAATACTTTCAATAATCAACTCTCTCAATGAGGCTTTCATTAATTTTTTAGGTAAATACATAAATCCAAGTTTCTAAATAATTTAAAATTAAATTTAAGGTAAACTACATCCTGATTCTAATGAAAAACGTTCCCAATTTCTTTCAACTGCCAGTTTTGTAGGGGAAAGTGTTTTTATTTTATTAAATTCTTTAAATGCGGATGAGACAGAATCAATTGAAGAAAAAAATTTTTTTAATAATTTGAATGAGGCTATTCAAAACGTTGCTAATTCAACTGCTGGATTAGTTTTACAGTTAAAATTAATTAGAAAATAAATTTAAAATTGGACTTTTTAGGGCTAAAAACGTGGCTGGATCGCCAACAGATTTTCCGAGAGACAATATTATACAAGCAGCAACTCGAGTAGCTTTATATACGAGGTATGCAAAGCATATAGCTATTTAATTGCTAAGTCTGTGCAGTAGGCGGTGTGGTGTAATGGATAACAGATCAGTCCGATCTACTGATGATATGCTGGTTCGCTCCCAGCTGCCGAATAACCTGTACTAGCTGAAGGAGAGAAATAGCTATAGCCCAGATGCTTTACTCCATTTAAATATTTGACAAATAAATATGGGTAAATGTCCAGTTGGCTGTCTACCTGTCCGCAAAGAGAATCCGTACTTTTCTTTCCTTTTCTTACATTTTTTGCGTTGAGAGAAGTGCACCTCCTCATTTTTCGTTTTCAGCATTTTACCGGCTCAATACAGTATGTTTTACTTTTCCTACTTGCAAAATAGGTATAGTTTTTTAAAAATTTTAAAAGATAATTTAAAAATACATATATTTATTTTACAATAATAAATTTTGGATAGCATTCTCAAATAGCACAATTGGAAACCATGTAGATATTCAATAACTAGTAATAAGGATTTTTCTTTGATCAAGTTTTTGATCAAGAGTTTGATCATATAACAATGGGATCCAGAATTTTTCTATGAGGAATTAGTTGAAAATAGATTAAAATAATAAAAGTAGACCAAAATTATAAAATATCAAAGTGGCACATTTAAATTATATTTATTTTATTTATTAATTATTTGTAAAACAAAATTTTCAAAATTTATTTTGCAAGTAGGAATAGGAAAACATACTGTATTGAGAAGGAAAAATGCTGAAAACGGAAAATGAGGAGGTGCACTTCTCTCAACGCAAAAAATGCAAAAAAAGGAAAGAAAAGTACGGATTCTCTTTGCGGACAGGTAGACAGCCAACTGGACATTTGCCATAAATATGTCCAAAGTCTCAATAGTCTTTAAGACTCTATACGGGTTAAAAATAAAATAGAAAAATTTATTCACAGTTCGGAAATGTTCTTTTTTAGTTAAAAAATTTTTTAAATTTTATTTTCAATGATGAAAAAAATGTATAATATTTTTTAATTTTAAGTGAGGCAATAGCTCTTTCACGTGTATTAACTTCTATAATGGCACATCCAGCATGTCAAAGAAGGGTTTGGTTTATTAAGATTGTACCAAAATGATTTATTTTTTAGATTCAAAGGATAACAAAATTAGTATTTATTTCAATTAATGAATTACTTGAATTGGCAAAATCAGAAGCTTTTGATCAATTTAAATTAACTGGCAAAACAGAATATTATCAAAATTTACAAAAATATGCACTAACCACAGAAATTACTTTAAACAATTTAATAGAGCAAATAAAGACGTAAAAATAGATAAAATTAAAAATTTTTTAGATTATTCTATCTGTCTAATAAATTGATAAATAAATTTATTTCTAAGTTTTTTAAACAAAAAATATTAGTTTGATTAACGATTACAGCTAGCCTTTTTGTGATTATTTTTTAAATTTAAAAATATACCTCTCAAGAGGGGTACAGCCCAAGGCGCAAAGTCATAACTTGCTTCAAGATTTCCGAATTTTTCAAAATTTGGTATAAAACGATTCTTCTCATCGAGCTAAAGAGATTAGTACCTAAATTGTTAAGGTCCAGTAATTTTCCAGTTAGTTATGGCTTTGCGACTACTTGGGCGTGTCCCCTCAAGAATTAGTAATTAAGCGAGCGAGGAAAAGAGAGGATAATCAATTAAAGAAATATGTTAGTTAAGAAAATAAAAGATTTTTATCATTATAGAAAAAATAAAAATATTTTCCTTTTAAAAATTCTCAAATCATCCAAACATTAATTAATTAATAACACCCAAATTCTCTTGTGTTACTAAAACATTGTTGCTAGGTGATACTATATTTGAATTAGTAAACAAAATATTACATTTAATTAATTTAAAAATAATTTGTCTGTAATTTCTAACACTTAAAAGAGTTACCTTAAAAAATATTTTTGAGTAAATTAAATAGAAAATAAATTTACCAAAGGATTTAAAACAACGATTAGAGAATTAAATAATGGAGTTATTATAAAACCAAATTTTAAATAAAATATTGAATTATTTAAAATTATTGGTAAATTAATTATTGTTTGGGAGAAAAATGGAAGAATAGCCAAAAGTGCCTTAAAACAAAAAATTAATTTTTATTAAAATTAATATTAAAAGTTTTATTTTAATAAAATGTTTAATTAAATATTTCTTTGTCAGGGGTACGGGTTTTTCCTCAATGAGGATGATTTTTAAAAATACAATTTTTCGATTTTTGTGTTCTTTGAAAATTATGAGGTTTTTTTTGGAGTTTTTGCTCGTGTGGCGCAGAGCGCAAGAAATCTAGCTCCTTGGCCTTCCAAATTCCTCAAAAATTTCGCCTGCCCTGTTCGAGATAGTAGCCCTCTATTCTTTGTATATTTACTTAAAATCTTGATTATATTCTAAAATATACTTGTGACCATAAAACAATAGAAATCTGTTTGTTAACTTTACGCATAGTTTCCAAATTAGGTCCGTTATAATGCCGATGCACATAAAATTGGATTCGAATTCCGCACAAAACAATAATTATATATGTTAAGAATGAAAGAAAAGTAGCAAATGTTGAGGTAATGGATGAAAGTAGATTGTCAGGCTTTTTTGGGTAAATTTAAGAATTTTATTTTTAATTTTCATTAGTAAAATACTAATAAAAAATATTATATATGTATTTACCGAAGATCTCATGCTAACAACATAATTTTTAAGTGTATAATTGTCAATCTCCAAAATTTGTGCCAATTCATAATTTGTTAAATATTCATTTTCTGGTGTCGGTTTATTTGATAAAAATGATAAAGTAAAAAGAATAATTATTGGAAGAAGAACGGAAGCAATTATGGCCAAATAATGTCTCCAAAGAATATTGATAGAACTTAAATTTATACTAAATTTGGATGACTTCATTTGGAAGGGGGGGGGTATTCTAAAGATCTCATAAAAATAAAAAATTTTTAGATATCCGAAACTGAATTGAAGGACATGACAAAAAAATTTTTGGTGTTCGATTTACAAAAAGAGAATTACTAATAAAATATTTACAATTTGGGGGCAACCAAGTCCATTTAGATACCCCCAATTTTTCACTTAACTTATAGTTAATTTATATATAATTTTAAATCTTTTTAAATAATTACCGAACAATAGCCAAATAACGATAAATAAATTGTGAACAAACATTAACTGCAGTAAATCTTTTCATAAAGGAAAATAAAATAAAAAATAAGCATTGCCAAGGATTAGGTAAATAATGTGTAGGTCCGTATTCCCATCCTGTACCAATTCCATTATCGGAGAAAAAAACCTTTTTATTATATTTTATACTTATCTAATAAAAAAAAACCGGCTGAACAATAGCAAATACAACAATCACAGCAATATCAACAATACAAGTTTGCAAAAGTATTTTACTATAAACTTCCATTTCTTTCATTGTATACCGAATTATTAAATAAATTAAAAGAAAATTAAAAAATAATCCCATCCCGCCAAAACAACAAATTATTATAAAATATATTTCTGGTAACATTTTCCTCCTTTATTTTCTCGAAATTTCTAATATAAGAAAAATAATTTAAAATTACTCGGATATACATATAATTAATTTAAGTTTAAATAATTATTTTTTGTTGAATGTTCTGTAAATGTTTAAATTTTTAAAAATGTTTGTTTAAATTAATATTGTACTTAAATTCTCTATTAAACTACAAAAACATCTAAAACTCCCCTGCCAGTAATTTAAAAAATCAAATTTAATAAATTTTGAATGTTTCATTCTCGTTCCATTTTTGTGTCCAGATAAGTTATACTCAGAGCTGCACGCAATTGAAAAAAAAAAGATTTCGCAACTCGCAATCCGAAATTGCAGCCCTGCTAACAATAAGAAAAGACTGGAGTTCATTTGGGTGTTGTGTGATTTCGGCAGAAGTGACGTAGGCAGTGGTTAAATGGGCAGTGAGTGATTTAGGCAGTGAGGTGAATTGGGCAGTGAGTGAATTGGGTAGTAATCATTTTTTTAAAAAATATTTTCCACACAAAAACAATTTGAGTATCATCCGATTATGAGTGATTTAGGCAGTAAATTATTGTTTTTAAAAAACTATTAATGCTCACAAATTTAAAAGTATATCTTAAAGTGTAAGATTAGCACATGCTCGGTGGCATAATATATTCAGGAAAAAATATATTTCAATACAAATCCGGGCCCTAGTTAAAACATATTCCTGAGGAATAAAATTTACTGCCTAAATCACGCATAATTATTTTTTCGTTGATACTCAAATTATTTTTATGTGAAAAATATTTTTTTAAAAAACGTTTACTGCCTAAATCACTCACTGCCCATTTAACCACTGCCTACGTCACTTCTGCCGAAATCACCAGACACGTTGAGAGGTACAGTACTCGAACTGAAAATCAGCAACAAAAGAGAGTAAATTGATAAATACCGGCCGTTTCATTCTTTCTTTTTTACTAGAAAGTTTTTGAAATATTTAAAAATTAATTTTCAAATTTTTTATTTTAAATAAATGGTTAGTTAATTAATTTTTTATAAAAAAAATTTATTTATTTTTAAAAAGCCTGGAATAAACAAAATTAAAAATGGCCATCTTGAAAAAAGAAAGGAGTGGATTCGCCGAACTCGAGATTATAGAGAAAAGGCAGATGCAATTAAAAATTTAAAATTAAAAGCTAGAGAGAGGAATTCTGATGAATTTAATTTTCATATGTTGAAAAGTCAAGTTGGGGTTGGTTTTTTGATTAAATAAATAAATTAAAAATTTATTTTAAGCTTGATGGAGTACATAGAGATATGGAATCTGAAGATGAAGAACAGACTGAAGTTCAGCGACTTTTAAGTGATATTACTGACATTAATTATGTCAAATTTCATTTACAAAAGGAGAAAAAGGTTTTTATTTTTAATCGAACTTTTATCTGGTTATTCGCCATTTAATTTTATTTATTTTTAACAAAAAATCTTTAAGAAATTATTAATTTTTAGAAAATCGAAAAACTAAAATCTGTTCTTCATTTTTGTGCTGAAAAGGAAATTGGCGAAGATATTGAAGGGTCTACATCAAAAAATGTTCCTCCAATCAATAAGCACATAATTTTTGTTAAAAATAAAAAACAAGGTTTCTTTTGAGTTTACCCCTTAAGAATTACACCCTCAAGCCCTATTGACCTTGAAGACCTCAGTCTTTTGATTAACAAGTGTTTATTGAAAAATTAATTTAAACCAAAATATTTCCCTTATCAATGTGATCAAACACTTTTTATCGGTCAATAAGTCTTCAGGGTTGACCCCTCTTCTTATTAAATAATTTTAAAAAATTTATTTAAAGCAAAAACATTTGATTTGGCTAAACATTTTAACACAACTGAACAATTTATTTCTCGAACATTTAATCGCCCAAAAATTAATCCAAATAATTCTGTTGAAAGTCAAAAAATAAAACTGGATGATAATGACAAATTAGAGGTTTTCATATATGTTATTTTTAAATAAATATTTTTCTACTAATTGGGGAGGGGGGTTGTAATTTAATTTTAAGTATAAATATAAAATTCCTTCAGATCCACTCCTCTTTCCTATTTAAAATAATTTTTTAGGAAACAGAGAAAGAACGTCGTTCTCTCTATTCAGAACTTGGAAAACGAATTGAACGTGCAAGGGAATTAAACGTTGTTTTGGCAAAATTGGAACTTAAACGTGATTTACAAATTTCGAAAGGGTCAGAGTTAAAGCCTAAAAAAGTTAAGAAGGGAAATGCAGAAAGTGCTGCTGTTTATAAATGGACATATGAACGAAAAAAATGAAAATGTTTTTTTTGTTTTTAATGTTAAACATTTTAAAGTACTTTTTAATAAAAGAATTTCCAGCCAGTACTTAAAATCAACTCTATCATTTCCTCCTTCCAAAAATAGACTTATTTCTCCAAAGTTCCATAAGTCCGTCTGGGTTGGGAGCAGGCCAGTGTACCGCGAGCCCAATGTACCGCCGAGCTATAACTTTCTTCAAAATTGTCGAATCCGTGGCGCCCTGGTATGGTTCGGTTCAGCATGTCGAGCCGTATAGAACCATACCAGGGCGCCACGGATTCGACCATTTCGAACAAAGTTATAGCTCGGCGGTACATTGGGCTCGCGGTACATCGGGGTGTACCCGTCTGGGTTTTAGCAATTCCCAAAAATTTCCAACTTTTATTTATATTAAATTTTATGGTAAAAATAAGGATAATTAATATATTCTTGACTAAATTATTAAAAAAACAAGTTACGTTTCCATTAAAATTACAATTATTATTTTAAGAATCGTTACTTGCATACATTACATATTTATGCAGAATTAAGTCTAAACAATTAAATGATGTGATTAAAATTTAAAAAAACTTTTCAAAGAAATTCAATTTAATCACATCAAATAATTTTTAAAATTTTTTTAAATATTTATGGTTGTCGTCTCGGTAAATTTGTCGCTCTATAATGATAAAAGTCCATAAAAGTTTGTGTTATATTCCAACCAGCACTTATTGTTGCAACGAAAAATATAAATAAAAATGTAATTGGGTAGAGAAAGAAATGGGTATTTTTCAAAATTGGAAGCGCTGGAAATAAAATAAACAAATTTAATTTTTAATAGAAAGAATTTTAATTTTTTAACAAAAAATCGAAAAACTTTTTTCAGAAATTTCAATTTAATTTATAAATTAACCTGTATATCCTAGAAAAGTAATATAAATATAGTAAATTACAGCGATGCACCAAATTGAATTTCCCAAAGCACGAGCAGCAAAATTTGAATAATCTATTAGACCTACAAAAAAATTTATTTTAATTTAATTACAAAAAAATTAACCATAAAATAACAAAGGCAGAATAACATGAAGACAAATCAATAAGGGAAAGAAAGCATTCAGATGCACATCAAAACAATAACCCCACTCAACATCTTGGTCCTTAACTCGACGTAAATAACGATTTGATATATACCTTTGAAAAATATTTTATAGCAAAATAAATTAAAAAAAACCAAAGAATTGTTGCAATAACTAATCCAACACAAATACAATCAACAAAAACTGCCCATAAAAAGAATGTTAAGAATGCAGAGATTGATAATCCAAGAGCAAAGGCAAAGAGGACGCTTGAGCCAAAAAGCGAAAATGCCAAAAGAACGAGGAATGCCGGGTCATCACGTGCCCACTGGTCTTTTGTTTCTAAATAAATTTTGGAAATGAAACATCTTTAAATAAAGTTGAATTAAAATTCGGAGTTTCTTGCGAAATTAATTCGTCTTATAAAATTAAAGATATGAAGGGGGAAAATTCGTAATTTTTGAAAAGTCTGGACCTGTTCCTAGACTCTGGGTTTGATTTATTGTCCTGGACCGGCTCCTGGGCTTGTAGTTCAGGAAAAATGCAGGGTCAAAAAATGCCTGGGCCTGGACTATGGGTACAGAAAAACCCAGGCCTTGATCCAGACCGATCTCTAAAGGAGAATACTCGAAAATATAGTACATTGTGTTTTGAAATTTCCATTAATTCCCAAGAATTTTGACTAAAATTAGAGTGAGCCTTTCTAATTAGCTCGTACATATATTTAAAAAAAAGTTTCAAAACAAACTTTTCCTGTACATAAAATTCCTGTAAACTTTTTGTGGATTAATCATTAAATAAAGCATTTGCCAAGCAGCAAATTCAAAATCCATCTGTCGAGCATGAAAAAGACGACGAAGATAACGACCTAGTTTAGCAGCTGCCGTCATTCGTACAGACGAAAAACAACCAACTTCCTCGCCAGTTGTTGTTGTGGAACTGTAAAAAAAGTCAAAATTTAAATACCTTTAGAATTCAAAACATTTACAATTTAGAAGTATAAGAAGCCGGAGTAGAATAGCCGCTAGTATTCCAATAATCTCTGCTATTTCTAAAAGCTCCAGCCGAAGTTGAAGGAGATTGAACGTTATTTACTAAAAAATAAAGAATTAAAAAATTAAAGAAAATATTCAAAACCTTTAGAATATCCAAAGCCTTTGTCTTTTCCGAACGAAGTTGTGCTCATCTAATATTTTTTAACTCTGAAATTAAAAATTTATGATACAAAATAAAAATTGAAAAATAAATGAAATGATATAAAACAATAATTAAAATTAAAAAAATATTAATTAAAATTTTTATTAACATTATTTTAACATTTAAATAGGAATTTAATAATCACACACAAAAATAAATACACAACTTTTTAACTTCCTTTTCAATTTCGACTTTTAATCATTGCTGGACTGAACCCTGCTTCTTTTGATTAGCAACAATATAATGGTAGAGAATAACCAAAATGAATATTCCAACACCCAAAACATTCTGTAAATTTTTAATAGAGAAAATTGAAAGTAATTTAAAAAAATACCGCCATTACACCAAGTTGCACGTCAGTAATCATTTTCCTAAAAACTTTATCAGCAATGTCAATAAATAATATATGTATTCGTCAAGAAATTCTAAAATTAAATTTAATCAAAAAATAAAATCCACCAAAACTAAAACACCAAAATTAAAATACAAAATAATCAACAAATGACACGAATAAATTAAAAACAATTAATTGTTAATGTGTAAAAGTTTTTGAAGTTTAACAAATTAAAATATTTTATCTTCTTGTTGACATTTCGAAAGAGATAAAAAATAAAATTACAAAATATCTAATTACAAAAGATATCAATTTTCTAGTTTTGTTATCATTCACCTCTTTTAATTTCCTTTTTAGCTAAAAATAAATAGGTATTTTTAAACTTATTTTTAATTTTCTTTAATATGGACGATATTCCAATGGTTGATGATGGTGAGAAGTTTATTAAAAATTAATTTAAAACTAATTTTTTATAGAAAGACAACCTAACCAACTTGAAAAAACGAAGAATGCTAAGCCGGCTTTACCTTTACCAGAGCAAGAGGATCGGGAAGAAAAGGCGCGACTTATTTCACAAATTTTGGAATTGCAAAATACACTTCAAGGTTTGGGTTTTATATGAAATATTTGGAAATTTCGGTAAAAATTAAATTTATGTGACACCTTTTCTAATTTTGTCATGTCCCTAGAAAAAAAGAATGAAGTGTTTTTTCAATATTGTAGAGATTTACCAGTAGATAAAAAGGTGTGCTGATTCAGTGTCAGAATATTAGTTCAAATTTTATATTTCTTACTCCGGACCCTAATTCGAGCTGTTAGTTTATCCATTTTAATTTATAGTAAATTGAATTCTACCTGATCGGATTAGGATCAGGGATCCGAAATAAATAAAACTTTATTATCTACTGGTAAATCTCTAAAATATTGAAAAAACACTTCACTCATATTTCTATGGAGATGGCAAAATGATAAAAAAGGTGTCCCATAAATTTAACTTTTACTTAATTTTCATTTATGTTAGGTAATTTTAGGCATTTTTTAAAGAATTAATTCTTTTTGAGTTAAAAATCATTTCCTTTTCAGATTTGAGTCAACGCGTAGAAAGTGTTCGTGAGGAAAGTTTAAAATTAAGTTCTGAAAATATTGTATTGGGCAAATATATTCGTAATTTAATTGGTTCTAGTTCATTATTTCAACCAACAAATTCAACAGCAAATACGCCAAAAGAACCAAACGAATAAAAATTTATATATTTTTTTTTAAACAATATAGATTACTTAAAGTATTTTTTTGTTACTATGCGTTTACGAAGCTCATTCTTTTCTCCTTGTTTCTCATTTTTCAAAAATATTACAAAATGGTCAAAGGCAGGTAAATTAGGATTAAATTACGGTATTATCTACTTTTCAATCATACTTCAAAGGCCTCTATTAGAGGGAGTCATTCAAATGGAGGGTCTATTCCATAGTTTATTCGTCCTCCAAAGGGCATTCTATTGGAAGGGTAATTCAAATTAACGGGTTATTCTATTAGAATAATTTAATTTTGTAATAGTATAACCATTGTTTAATATTTTTGAAAAAGGAGGAAAGGAAGAGGAGTTTAAATGCATAGTAACTATTTTTTAACAAATTTTTAAAAAGAATTTCTTGCCATTGCTTTAATTGCATTTTAATTGTTTGATCTCTGTTTAGTGTGTATTTTTTGAATAATAAACTAATTTTTTTGTTTTTTATTCGAGAATCTATTAAACATGCTTAACCCCAAAATTGACTCCATTAAAATTTTTGACAATTAATTTTTTAATAAAGAATTTTTACATACAAGATTTTTAATTTTCGAATTGATTTTTTGCATTGTCAATCGACAATGTCAAATTGCCTCTACATCCACGACTCCATTCAACACTAGCCCCCTATTGGAAAGCTTCCCCTTCCTCCCCTCTCTAAAGCTATTTTAAATTTTATTTTTGCCCATTTACATAATTTTATCCAATTAAATCCCCCCCTCCCTTTATTAATCGGCCTCTCAAAACCTGAAATTTATTTAAAAAATTAAAAGATGAAGATTATTCTTCAAATTACTTTAACTTTGCTGTTTGCAAGTTTGGTTTATTCAGGAAAAAGAAATGAAGCAAGCACGAGTAAAAGTAAAGATACTAAAGGAAGATTAGTTGTAGATGTTGATAAATTAGAAAGTAATAAAAATATATTTACAAAAATATTTTATTTTGTCGTTAGTTAAGATTGTTAACGACCGATTTAATTATACCCTCGGTTTTCGATTATGGCCGGTTTTAGATCCCCGATTTTCTGTGTGTGTGGATCTGTGTGTGAGGGTTAATTTTTGCCTAAATCTTCATCCAGAATATCACATCCATAATATTTTACTTAATTTTTTTCTGCCTAAAAGAGAAAATTTTAGTGTTTTTAATACCATATTTACTTTAATATTACTCATTGTCAGAGTAATTATTTTTTCATCACTCGTTAGAGGTGGTAATTAATCGAGGAAATAAATATAAAAAAGGTAGTCGGGGGAGTATTTTATTCAATCCTTATTAAACGGAACATTTTAAATTTTATACTATTAAGTTTTGATGGGAAGCAATGATTTAGAATTATTCGTAAATGATCAAACAAAAATAAATGTTTTCAAATTTCTGATAATAGAAACTGAGAGGAATTTAAATTCTGAAATTTTAAAATTTTTTGTTGATTCTAGACGGTTTGAACATTTCAAAGAAGTTTATGCAACTATAAAATTAAAAAAGAATAAAAAAAATTACAAATACAAAATGTTGGAAAAAGAATTTGAGGTAAATTATTTTAGTAGACATTTTGGTTTAGAATGTTCAAAATAAAACTAAAATACCGTATATGCTCGAATAATTACCCTGGGTAATTATTGTTTCGACCTCTTGCTGGAGGGGGTAATTAATCGAGAGGATGGGCTAAATTTGGGGTATATCTCAATAAATCGAAGAGGAAATCCATTTATTTTTTTATCTCTCAAAATGTTTCAATAATAAAATTGACAATGATTTTTTCAATATTTTTGAAATTAGAGAAGGAAAGAGAGGGGGTAATTATTTGAGAGAGGGTAATTATTCGAGCATTTACGCAGATATTGGAAAAAGAATTATTAGTCATATAAATTTTTATTTTGAAAATTAAAAAAAAAAGATTTTAGTTAATTTAAAAATTAATTTTGATAATTTGTTTAGGTATTGGATTATATATTAAATTTGTTAAATCAACACAATTTTGTCGATATTTTGAAAATAAAAGAAGTTTGTAACGACGGAGATATAATTGAATTTTTAGAAGAAAATTCTTTAAACGTTTACAACGATTGTAATGAATTGAAAAATATTTTTGAAAGTTATGGTATTGGAAATGAAATGACAGTGTCTGAAAATACTATAGATGAAATTAGAAATTTTTTTGATGAATGGAAAAATATAAAACAAGAAGGGCATGATAATTTTAATTTCAACCAAATTATGGAGCAACTTAAAAAAATTGTCAGCGAAGGTTCAAAGGTTCCAATGGAGGATTTTAACCACTACACATTTTAAAAAACAATACCCATTGAAAACGATTTTTCATCTTTTTACTATTTTTTTTTATTTTTTTTTGGGTTTTATATTTAAGTTTTGAGTTGGTTTTACATATAGACAAAATTTGGGAAATGTTCATTTTTTAGCTTTAGATTATTATTTCTTTGCAAAGTCTCATGTATTGCTTTAAAACTTGTATTGTTTTTCTTAATCTAACAAAAATCTTTCTTTTTTGGATATTGCTTTTTTCCATACATATAAATAGTTGCATTGATATTCTAAATTATTTAACTCCTTTCATACTTTATAAAAAATTTTTATTGTTTTTCACTAAAAATTTATAAACACTTGATGATATTTTTTCGATACAGTATAACTTGGGAAGTCTTTAAGTTAGTCTTCTTTTTTGGATGATAGATTAAAGTAGGGTTTCTCCCCGTCCCCAACGAGGCAAAAACCCCGATCCTAACCCAGAAGGTTCTACCCCAATCCCCGACGCAAACCCCGAGTCGGGGTCGGGGTAACAGATACGCCCTAACATTAAGGATAAAATACATATGTATTTTGGGGCTGCGCCTCAAAATGTCCTACCCTGAAAATGTCCTCCCTTAAAATGTCCTACCCCTTTCCTTTTTCGGAATCCGGGTAATTTGAATTTAAAATAGGGAAAAAGGTTACCGGAAAACCCGAAAAATGTTTCCCGAAAATCCGGAAAATGGTTTCCGGACATTTTCGGAGTTTTTGTTTATTAGGACATTTTAAGGGTTTTTATTCATTAGGACATTTTGAGGGCGCGCCTATTTTGGGAATTTTTCAAAAATTTGAATTCCCAAATTACATTTTGACAAAATAATTCGTCACAAACTAAAAATGTCTAATAGAGTAAACAGATTCATTTCGTCTCATGTAAAGTTAAGAATTAAAATCACAACTGCAAATCAGACTAATCTGAGGTGAAGTTTCGCGCGTGAATTAAACTGCGATAGATAAATGCGAGTCCGTCTTTGATTTTTATGAAGCTAGTTTAAATTTCTTGGTCTTCCTTTTTTTAATTATTGATGGGTCTCACCCTACACAATTTACAGAGTTAATGCAAATTGACCGTGAATCCCAATGTTCATCTTCTGATGAGTCATCAAATGAAACAGAACGTGAACAATCCTATTCAAATTCTATGTTTTTTATTTTGTAATTTAAATATAATTGTTTTTTCAGATGCATTCGGTTGGATCTTGAAGAGAAATGGAAGGCAGATATTGGTATTTCTTTATTAATTTTTTTTGGAAATTCCTATGAAATTATACACATTTTTTGTTGTTTTTGTAGAGGGTTGTTATAGAGGGCTTTAAGGAGGAATTGTGAATTGATTTTCGTGTTTAGATTTGCCCTTTTGCTTTTCTTTTAAGTTTATTCTTTTTTTAAGTCTACAATACATTAATTGTTGATAAACTGCCAAAGCGAAGTCAATCAAAGTTACAACTTGATCTAGAAGGAACTTATCTAGTTGTGTTAGTTTTATTTTATTATATCTAATTTTTAATGTTTGATTGAAATTTAGTTTTCTCGAATTTTGATAATTTTGAATTTTTTGGGGCCTCTTTTATTTCCTCCCTAATCCACAGTCTTTTCCATCATTCTTCTGTTTTTCTTTGTTAGAGTACTAATTAAATTTTGATTTATTTGCTATCCATAGGTGAGAAAATGAAATTTGGGAAGAAATAACATAAAATTCTAAATTACTTTTTTTTTCCTAAATATTTTAAGTAAAATAACTTCAAATGATCAAAAATCTTTAATGAAATCAGCAAACAATGTTTTTGACATGTGCCAGTTATCTAAAAATTGTATTGAGACTGTTGGAGCGTATAAATATCAACCAATCAATTCTGTTAAGAGAATTAAAGAAAAGAACAATCCAAAGAAGAAGAATGGGAAAATAAATTGTTAAATATGTTCTTTAATTAATTTTATTTTTTATTTAAAAAAATTTTATTAAAATATTTTTTAATGAAATAATTTAAAAGCCGTTAACTTTCGGTTTATATTTTTTATTTAAATATGTATTTAATATTTTTTCTAATTTTGAAAGCCAATGTTCAAAGGATTGCGTTCTAAAATAGAAGACGAGGCAAATCGTCTAAAGTCAACTGTCTCTCAATATGGAGAGAATATTGCCAATCAAGTTCGATCAACCGCGGTATTTTACTTTATATATTTAAATTATTTTCTTTAAAAGAAAAAGTTTTTGGTTTTGAATATTAAATTAGCGAGTTGATTTTTCGAGACTTCTATTTCTAAAATTTAAATCGGTGTTCGTTTCCGTCCCCATAGTTAAAAATACAACCATTTTAATTGCTTGTATGCTTATTAATCCTTTTATTTAGAGCGAGGCAGGAAGTGATATTAGTGGAAGGGCTCGTAAATTCATTGACACTGCTCAACAGCTCGATAAGGAGGGACGTGCAAGTAGTTCGGTAAATATATTATTTGATTAGTTTCGGGGTCATAAGTATTTCAGTATTTAATTTTTGAAAAAATTTCTCTTTTTTCTAAATTTATTCTTATTAGAACGCTGCGCCAGCCGAAGACTTTTTGGACCAAATCGGCAATAAACCTTCAAGACGCCTTTCTAACGCTTCTTTGGAAAGTGGCAACGAAAGCCTTTTAAATGCACAAGTTGTTCCCAACAGCTTGAGATTGTCTGCCTCTCCATTAAATGACATATCTTCGGATACAGAAAGCAATGCTGCAGAGAATGCAGATTTTGATCAATTGGATGAAATGCCTCGGGATAAGGTTTATTAAATTTTTGAGATTTTACATTATTTTATTTTCAAGTTGAATGCAATATTCCAACGTTTTCAAGCTCGTGCAGTAAATTATCGACAAAAATACAAGGAATTGTCTAGCATCTATCGTGAAATTGAGAATGAAAATGAAAAATATAAAGTTTGTTTTTCTTTTTTAACACATTAATTATCTCTAAATTTATTAGAATTTGCTTTCTGCAACTCAAGAAAAAGCCGCTCAGCGTATAGCTAAACTAAAAAGCGATAGAAGTGAATTGCAGGAGAAGTTGAAAGCAATTGGAAGTGGAGAAAAGGTTTATTTATTATTTAATGTTTTTACATTTAGTAGATGGAAATTAAAAATAATGGATTTAAGTTTGATCATAAAAGTCTCATGTTTGTTTTTTAAGGTTGATGAACAAAGTGAAAAAATCAAGAAGCTTCAAGACCTTCTCATTAAATGCAAAGATGAAATAACCTCAAATCGTGGCCGTATCACTTCATTGAACGATGAAAATGAACATTTAAAGAAAGAAAATTCATCATTGTCCTCAGAGAATTCTTCTAATGTTCAACGAGTCACTGCTGAATGGAAGGGTCGTTTTGACCGACAAGAAGAGGAGTGGAACCGAAGGATTTCTGAATGTGAGGAAAAGGCTACAATTGCGATTGCTACTTCAAAAGCTGAAATGCATTCAGCACTTCAACAAAAAGACCAAGAACTTGAAAATTGGATTTCGAAATTTCATACATTAGAAAAGAAAGGTTTGTTTTTCTGATAGCAAAAAATTATTATTATTTTTTAGATGCGGAGGAAAATACTCAATTAAAAGAAAAACTTTCAAGTCTAGAAGAAGCAATATTGACACTGGAACAAGAAAAGGCAGACATGGTCCAGAAATTGTCTCAAGCTAAACAAGAAGGAGTTAAACTGGTATGAAAAAATATTTATATTTAATTATTTTTATAAAATATTTCCAAGGTCAAAGAAAGTGAAGAGCGCAGATACAATGACGCTCTCGCTGTCGAGCTTAAAAAACGGGATGAAGAATGGGGTGATCGTTTGAAAGAAATGGAAGACCAAATGCAACTTTCTGTCGAAGAAAATGATATGCAACGAAAGACAAGTCATGCTGATCATGAACGTATTACTAGCTCGTTGAAAGAACGAATTGCTGAACTTGAAAAGGTTTTTCTATTCTAATATAATTGTAATCTTATAACCGTTATCTTTTATAAATCAAAATACAATTTATATATTATATTCAAAATTTTAGAATAACGCAAGCGTTTTACTTAAATTGCACGAGCATGAGGAAGAACTACAAGCAAAAACCGAGGAACTTTGTCGTTTAGCAAAAACCGAAACAAATGATACTTCTAACCAACAACAACAAAAAATATTTGACGACAAACTTGCTGAAGAGAAGAAGAAAATTGTTGCTGAATACGAAGAAAAAATTTCGCTTATTGAAAAGGAGAATTTAAGGAATAAAGAACTTACAATTTCTGAATTACAAATTGAGCATAATAAAAAATTAAACGAATTGAATGAAAAATATGATAATGAACGTGTTGAACTGCAAACAAAACTTGAAGAGGTAAATGATAAATTATAGACATATTTAGTTTTTTAAAGGTCGAGACAAAGTTTCTGAAAAATAAGGAGGAACAAGATAAGTCTGAAACTATCATTAAGTCATTGGAAGGGCAGTTGAGTGCAGCTAGAGTGACCATTGAGAAATTAGAAGTGGATATTGCACAAATTCGTCAAGAAAATGAGGTGACGTTATGGTTTTCTAATTAGTAATTGATATTTTAATTTTAGCTAAAAGACAACGATGAAACCCGTTATAATGATTTGCTTGCTACTCAACTGAGAAAAAGTGATGAGGAATGGAATGTCCGTCTTAAAGAGCTCGAGGAGCAGATAAATCTTTCTTCCCAAGAGAATGACCTTCTACAAAAACAAATAGCTGATGATGAGCGTATTACAAATGATTTAAAAGAACACATTGAAAGCTTGGAAAAGGTTTTATTTTATTTCAGTTTAAATTATTTAACAAATTTAGAACAATGAAAGCCTTCATAAATTGATTGAACAAAAGAAAGAAGAAACACCAGAACATTCTGAAAAACAACAAAAAATATTTGAAGAAAAACTTGAAGAGGAGAGGAAGAAAATTATTGATGAATATACAGAAAAGATCGCGACAATTGAAAAAGAAAGCCTTAAAGCTCGTGAGGATGTACTTATCGAACAACGAAAAATTTTTGAAGTACAACTTGCAACCGAGAAGAAACAAATCGTCGATGAATATTCAGAAAGGATTTCAACTTTAGAGGCTAAAGAACTTTCAGTACAGCAAAAGATTTTTGAAGAAAAACTTTCCAATGAAAGGAAGAGATTAATTAATGAATATTCTGAAAAGATTTCTTTACTTGAAAAAGAGGCAAATGAATCTAAACAACAGGCGCTTTCAGAACAACAGAAAATCTTCGATGAGAGGTCTGCAGAGGAAAGAAAGAATATTATTGATGAGTACTCTGGAAGAATTGCTGGTATTGAGAAGGACGATATCGAAGTAAAGGAACGTTTAATTTCTGAAATTAGGATTGAGAATGATAAAAAGTTGAAGGAATTAACTGAGAAATATGAGAAGGAATGTGACATGCTTCAAAACAAGCTTTTAAAGGTGGAATTGAAAATATTTTCAGACTTTTTTCTGAACATTTTTTGCTTTATTCTTTTTTAAGAGGAAGGGGGGGGGGGGCTTTTGTGGGCGCATAACGAAAGAATACCTAATTTTTTGTATTAATAATAAATTAAAAAGAATTTTTGACTTTGGTCTAGTTTATGCGTCTAATACTTTTATGAGTTTTCACAAGAGAGAACATTTGTCAATTGCCTTAAGAAATTCTTTATTAAATTGTTTTTCTAATCGATCATTAAAATTTGGACGCATAAAAGTTCATAGGACGCATAAACTAGACTAACACCGCATTTTTAGATCGAACCGGAAAATCTGAAATACAAGGAGGCAGAATCAGCAGCACAAATTACCATTAAATCCTTGGAAGAACAGTTATATGAATCACAAAAAACAATTGGAAAGTTTGAAGCTGATATTGTTCAACTCTGCCAAGAAAATGCTTCAAAACTAACTGAGAAAGAAAATGAAGTTGCTAAGAGAATTGAAGAAATTAAGAAAGAATTTATTGAAAAGAAGGCGACAGACGACCAAAATTCCAATAAAGAAATTATTTCATTAAGGGAAGAATTGGAGGAATATAAAAATAAATTCGAAGTACTTCAAGTTACATCTAAACAGAACGAATTAAATTATAATGAAGCAATTGAAGCTTTAAATCAATTAAAAATTTCCTTAAAGGAAAGTAATCAAAAATCTGAACATTTGGCTGCTGAACTTCTTGAGGAAAAGTCTAAATCGAGTGATTCTCAGTCTAAACAGGATATTCAAGTAAATTGAGAATCTTTAAAGAATTAGAAAAAATATATTTGTTTAGATAAGTGAAATGAAAGAGGCTCTTTCTTCATGTGAACAGTTGAAATCGCAATTACAACTAGAATTAAAGAATGCAAAACTTGAACTTAGGAAACAACAACAAAATGAAAAACTATTGAACGGTCATTTAAAATATTTTTAATATAATCAAAAAATAAAAAATTTAGACAAAACTTCTGAGTTTGAAGAGACTAACAAAAAATTTTCTGCTTTTAAATCTGCCAAGCTGAATGAAATTGAAAATCTCAAAAAGAAATTAACTGAGGCTGAAGAAATTAGATTAAAGGAAGTTACGGAAATAAAAAGTATGTTTCTTCAGTGTTTTTTAAGTTTTATGCATTTTTAATTTTTATTTTAGAAGAGTCTGAGAAGGCAAAACAGAAAGCAATTGCTGATATGAAGTCAGAAATTAAGCATTTGTATGATAGCATTAATGGGAAGGATTGTGAATTGGCTTCAACTCATGCTGACATTTCTGTGTGTTTTTAACTTAAACTTAAAAAAATTTCTTTTCATTTCAGAAACTCAATGAAGAACTAGACAAATTACGATCAGAATTGGATAAACATAATAATTCTGAAAGTGGACAGCAACAGCAAAAACAACGTTCTAAAGGTTCTTATGAAGACGATGGAGTTGTTGACCTTGACGAATATGTTGACTTGAAACGTCGATTTATTGAACAAGAAGAGGAATTAATAAGGCTTAAATCTATGACACAAAATGGAGTTAAGGTGAATTAAATTATTGAAATTCAAAAAATCTTTAATTTAATTTTAGAAAGACCCGCCAAATATCAGACGTGACAGCAATCGATCATTCCAAGTGGGCGGTAGTGACCTTTTAAATTTTGCTGAACCTACAGAAGCTGAATATTTACGCAATGTACTTTACCGATACATGATTGAACGTGAATATTTGGGCAGAGAAAGTGTGGTAGGGTTTTTATAAATTAAATATGTTTTTACTTATAATTTTTAGTAAATTATGATTTTAATTTTTTTTATTTTTCAGACACTTGCTAAAGTCATCTGCACTGTTTGTAAATTTCCACCAGAGCAACGAAACTTAGTTCTTCGCCGAGAGGAGGCTCGCTGTCAACGTTGGCTCCCAGGTTCGATACATGCACTTAATTTACATCAAAGTCAAGTTAATCAGCGTAATCGTCTAAATAGTTTAAATAATTGGAATATTAGTAGTTCTGCTCTTTTACAGACAAATAATTCTGATAGACCTTTATCCAATATTAATGCACTCCCATATTCTTAATAGATTTTTAAAAAATATATTCCTAACAAATACTAAAGATATATCATAAATTACATTAAAAATACATAATTGATATTAAATAATTCTATTTTTTGTGCTGTCTTTAAAGTTTTTTTGGTTCTCTATAATAATTGTATACATGTTCGTTTTCTCACTGACTTCTATATAAATATTTTTGTGATTAGTATATGTTTGTTTAATATATGTATGATAATACTTTTACTACAGCCTTCCAATTTTATATTTTCATGGTCATCTATTTCCGTTTTTGACTAAATTTTGGTTTTTGATTTAAAGATCGTGTATTAAATACTGAACATTAGAAAATTATTATTGTCGATATATGTGATTTATCGTTTATTGTGAAAAACCTGGTTTTTCTTTTGCTATTTTACAAAAATGTTTTGCTTAAATTAAATATAAATAGTATGTTTGTGCTTGACTGCGGTGATTTTTTTGGTTTTTATAAAATTCTCAAAAATAAATGGCTTTTGTCCAGATTATGTGTCCAATTGCACCTTTGCTATTCTCTTAGATTTTATGGTACTACCTAGAATGAAGAACCGGGTACTTAAAAATGTGCGCCAAATAAATTAGTTATAAAAAAATATTAACGGCCCTTTTTTCTAAAATTTATCTTAAATTATATTTAGGCAACGTCTCAAATTCTGCTGTAGAATTAGCTCGTCGTTATTCTCCAGGAAGACGATCTGATTATGATAAATTATAATTAGTGCATTGTTATATTATTGTATATATTGATCTAAATAAAAATTTTTTAGTTTTTTCAAACGTGAAAAAAATTAAGAATTTAATCGGTCTCGACATTATTCTCGACATTACAAAGTTTTAAGAGTTAAATTTAAGGCAATCTTTGATAATTAGTAATATTTTTGAAATTATTCTTATTATCAAAATAATAATCAAATTGCTATAATATTTATGCAATCATATGTACATTGTAAAAATTTAAGTAATATGTTAAGATTTATTTCGTTACGGACCAATTATTTTGTCATTTAGTTCTTATAGTAATTGTAATTAAAATTGAAGTAAGCACGAGACTGTCGAATAATTTTTATTATTAAGATATGCTTTATAGTATTTACTATAAAAGTTTAATTTTAATTAATTTTTTATCAAAATTCACAACTTGGCTCTATTGTTATCGTTCTCTCAGACTTGTTTTTGGGTTGTCTTCTTTTTTTCACGACGTGAGTTCTTCCATTCTGATAAATCATTAAAATAGTTAAATTTTATAGCAATTTTCAACAATCAGCTTTCAAAAAGCGCTAAAGTAACCAACGAAATAAGCATTTGAATGATGTGGAAAGCTTTATTTTCATCATTCAACTCAAAAGCTGTACTCTTCTTCACATTCTTTACTTTTTTGCTACCGAATAGCAATTCGAATTCTATACGTATAAGAGAAGAGTCTGCCAACCCGAACTCCGCGGATTTGGAAGAATTGCTTTATGCAACAAACAAGGATAACGAACCACACTATACAGTCAAAAGTTACACAGTTACGGGTTTTGTAAATTGGACGTTTTTTAATAGTTCAATAGAGGTGCCTCGAAGTAAAGAGGGAGAATATACGTTTGTGATAATGATTGGATTGGATATATTTTTAGTGATTTTTGTTTTGATGGTGAATTAATATTTTAAAATATATTTAATTTTTATTTCTTTAGTTCCTCGGTTACACCATTTCCAAATGCTTTATCAAACTTAGAGAAGACTACACAGAGTTATTAATCCAAAAGCAGGCAAATGAAACACAAATGGAGACAAGAGGTCTTCAATCATATGCTCGATCTTTAGCTTTGAGAGGAATACAGACTAAAATGAGAGGAAGGAGGCAATTAAGAGCAATTGGTAGAGTGAGCAATTTGAGCAGAATAAGCATTTTTGAAGAGAAAGGGTTTGGAAAGAAAAGAGGTATAATCTTTAAGCAATTAGAATAATTTATCTAAATTTTAGGTCCTCAAACTCCCATAACACTTTCTGTCTACGAAAAGCTTTCTGATTCACTACGTGAGGGTTTACCCGTTCCACCTGGCTTTAAAAAAGGAAAAACAGTTAAATCAGAATCAAATACAGGTGTTTGTTTACTCTTTCTTGTCGTTTACTGTATGTCCACATATTTTAGATAAACAGCCAGAAACACTTCCTGCTCACGAAAAATTGCCCAAGTCGTTACGTGAGGTTTTGTCAGTTCCGACTGACTTAAAGAAGGGTAATCTGTTGCTTTTATTAATTTTAAAATACCCTCGAAAAATTAATTTTAGATCAAAAACCTGCATTGACAATTTCTGAATACGAAAAACTGTCCAACTCTTTACGTGAAGGTGTGCCAATTCCTAAAGGTTTTGAGGAAAGAAAACTTTCTACTACTCCGGTTATGAATAATCAAAAAACTCCAGTAATTCAACAACAAACAAAAATTCAACCAATTACAAAATCATCAAAACTTCCTGAAGCTACAAAAAACAAAAATAACCTCCAAGAAGAAGCCAAGGAGTCTAAGAAAAATGAAACTAAAATTAAAGAAGAAAAAAATACAAAGAAGGAAAGTAAAAGAAGTGAAACAGTCAAAACAACTCCAAAAGTAGAAAGTAAAAAAGTCAGTCAAAAAACATCAGAAAATTCGAAAGAAGAAAAGAAAACTGTCAAAACTTCAATTGAAGAGAATAAACCGAAAACTTTAAAAGAAGAGCAAAAAACAATAAAAACTCCAAAAGAAGGACAGAAGAACGTCAAAACTTCTCCGATTGTGGAAAATAAGAAGAAAGTTATAAATCAAAAAGAAACCAGAAAAACATTAAAAATATCAGAAGATAATAGAATATCAACATCATCAAGTCCAAAAGTCGAGAAGAAGACTGCAAATGATGAACAGAAAGTGAAGACATCAAAAGTTGACAAAAAGGCAACAACAACAATGACGACAACTTTAACTCCAAAGAAAGAACAAAAAGAGGGAGGTAAAAATTCTGATAAAAACCCAACAGAAACAGCAACTCCAAAAAAGAATCAAAAGACAAAATTAGAGAATTTAAAGGAAAACAAAAATATTTCTGTCAAAACTTTTAGAGAAGAACAAAAAATAGAAGAAGAAATTACTCCAAAAGAATTTAAAAAAGAAGAGGAAATTCAAAAAGAAGAAAGGAATAAAACAAAACTTGTTGGTGAAGAAGAGGAGAATTCTACAACTACAGGAAGTTTATCTGATTAATTTAAAATATTTTGTTTTTTATTTTTGTTTCTATTGTTTGTTGCTTTTATTTTTTGTATGTTTTAGTAATTTTAATTTTTTAAGAAAAAAAAGAATTCAAATAACGCATTTCTTTAAATAGAGCCCCTCCCCCATTTGAGCCCCACCCTCTAATATAGCTCCATTTTGGAGGATAGTTGAAAAATAGAGCCCCATGGGGCAGTATTAGAGAAAATACGGTATTAATCAAAATGTTTTGTTTATTCCATTATTTAATAGAAACGGTTATTTTATTGTAAAAAATCTTGAAAGGAGCCTCAGCTCGTATGTATTTCCGCAGATAGATAGTGCTACCATTCGACTCCGAGACGAATCGAAGGGTTTTGGAGTGATCTACCGGCTAAAGTACGTATTCTTTAACAAATTATTGAAAGTAAATTTGACTTTTGGAACGAGTTATTCGTTGAAATTATTCGAGGGGTTTTTAGAAGGAATTTGAAGATTTTAAGTTTTTCTATTTTTTAAAATAATTTTGATATATTTTTATACAAATTTCGTTAAATAATTTATAAAATAAAACCCCAAATCTCCAAAAGAGATCGAAAAATTTCCAATCTTAAATAAATGATGGACAAAATAAAAATTTGGCTTAAAATTATTTTGACGCGATTATCAAAAATAAATAGTTAAAGATTAATCCCCCCTTCTTTTTAACATTAAAAAGGGCTCAATAATTTTTAAATTTCGATCTCCACACACTAAATAAATATAAAATTTAAAATAAATTCCCAATTTTAACTTAAAATATCACTTAAAAAATAATAATTTTTTCTTCTTCCCAAAAATTACTTCACATTATCCAAATACTTTCCCAAACTTCCTCCAATATCGTTTTCTACCAAATCAGAAATTTTAACACTACTGTAACGCAGTGAACTAAATTTCTTTTTGTTCTTTATACTTTTCTTTGAATTCAAAATTTTTGTTGCAATTTTCTCGAAAATATAAATTTCGAAATCTTTTGGAATCTTTAAATAATTAATTAATTAAATACTTTAGAAGGGGAGTTTTTATTGGCCCAAATGTAGGGAATACATATGCCTAAGTAATTCCCTTAATATATTTCATTTTTTAAGCCCTAAGAAATTATTTAAAATTAAGTTTAAACTGTAATACAACAAAATTTAGTTTCCAGAGAGTATATTATAATTACTCGAAATTAAAGAAAAATAAACAGTAGTTACTATCAATGCTAGGGAATAGTCGGCGTATCCCCAATTTCCTCTAAATATAAATTTTTATTTTCTATTTAAATACCTCAATATTCTCCAAAGATTTTAATATTTTATCTTTCTCGCCTTCCTCCTCCTTTTCTTCGCTTCCTTTACCTTCTTCTTCATTTCCTGCCTCTTCTTCTTCCTCCTCTTCTTCTTCACTTTCTTCCTCATTCTCTTCAACATTTACAAATTTTTGTATACGAACAAAAACTAACAAAGTTTTTGCTGTATCAATAATTACATTTTTCTGAATTGAATCTGTTGAATTTTTTATATTTTCAATCATTTCTGTTGGAAGTTCCTTGTAATGCAAGACAATTTCATTCATTTCAAAATCCTTTAAAAATGTTTAAAGTTATTTAACATTTTTTCTTTAGACTTTGAAATCATTCAAAATTATTAAATTTTTACATTGAATTTGTAATGTAAATTGTAAATATTTTTAAAATTTTATTTAAACTCATAACCTCATAATTTTGGGCACAGCCCAAGGCGCAAAGCCATAACTTGCTTCAAGATTGCCTAATCTTTTAAAATTTAGTATTAAACGATTCCTCTCATCGAGCTAAAAAGATTGGTACCAAAATCGTTAAGGTCCAGAAATTTTCAAGCTAGTTATGGCTTTGTGCCTTGGACGCTGTCCCTCATTTTTTGATAAAATTTTTTTAAATTAAATTAAAACATTTAAATATAATTATTTAACCTTTTTATTATTTTCATCACAAATAGTATAATCAAATATTTTTTGAATAAATATTGAATAAATATTCGAATATTTATTTAAATAAATTTTAAATAATTCTTTTTGTTTTTTCTTTGAATTCTCAATTTCAAGCCATTTATTTTTGTAAAGAAAATTTAAAATTTTATTTGTTTGTTTAAATAATTGTTTAATTATATTGTTTATAATTAAATAATTATTAATTTTTTGAAATTCTTCTTTTATTTCTGTAAACTAAAAAAAGGGAGAGAAAGGAAGGAAATTTATTATATTAATATGTATGTATATGTATTCATAATAGTTTTTAAACTCAGACCAAAAAATTAAGACTCCCGGGGAGTTGGTTTGCGCATCTGGGAGAATTATCCATTTTTCCTTGCGGGGGCTCCTTCCAAAAAAATCCGGGAAAAAATCGAAACGATCCCGGGAATTTGGCTATCATCTCGTGAACGGGAAGAGATACCGCGAAACTTCCGCTTAGAGGCCCTGCCCCGCATTTAGTTGATGTCGAATAAAATTTAAATAAATAAAAAAAACCTTTTCATTTTCAGCAATATTTTTATTTATTTTTTCAATAGAATTTAATAATTTTTTATTAAAATTCTCAATTAATTTAAATAAATTTTCCTTTTCTTTTAAATTCGATTTATTTTTTGACAATGAAAGAATTTTGTAAATAGAATTTTGTCTTTTATGTGGAATAATTGGTAGTTTATCTTTATTCGAATTATTTACCGAAGAAGAGGATAATAACTCGTTTAGAGTAAATGATTGTTTATTTTGATTCTTTAAAATAAAAATTAATTAAAAAATACATGATCGAAAGAATAAAAATTTAAAAGTAAAATTATAACATGTTCTCTCCAATTTACTTCCTAAACTGAACGGAAAGTGTTCTTTTCAAGCACTATTCAAGATGGGATTTGTTCCCTCCAGCCTATCCTTGGTGTGAAAGGAACGGAAAATGTTACCAAAATTGTTAATTAATTTAGCTCTTTTATAAAAAAATTTTAAAGAGCATCATTATTTTAGAAAGGGGCATTATCTTATAATTTACTTTAATCACCTCATCATTATCTAATAAATTATCTATTTTTGTTGCTTTAATCATAAATTCCTCAATTTCATTAGATGCTTTTATTTTTTGAATTAATGATGAAAATTTATTTTTAATATTTGAATCTTTTTCTATTTCTTTAATTAATTTTTTAATATTTTCAAAATCTGGACGTAATTTCTTCATTTCCTATTAAATAAAAGAATTTTATGTATTTATTTAAAATATTTTTAAAAGTGTGGATAGACTGTTTCGAAATAAGACAATTGAACTCACAGATTTTTGAACTTACAGACTTATTTTCAAATCTTCAGCTCACCCTACCTCTATACAACTACATAAATTTGAATAAATCATAACAAATCGATTTTGTTATCATTTACAAACCTCGCTGATATTTGTTTAATTATATCAAAAAATCTAACTAAAGATTAATAGTCCTGCATAAATTGTGTTTCAATGGATGTAGCTTATTTTTATATATTTTTGTTTTTAAACTTACAGATTTAAGACAATTTTCAATTGATTTTTCTTTTAAAATTACTTCTTCAGTTAAATTTGCAAGTTTATTTTGGAGATAAAAATCATTCTTTTCTAATGAATTTTTAATTAAATTAAATTCATTAATTGGCATTCCGTAAATAATTTCTTTTTTAATTTCATCAATATCGGTAATAATATTTGGATTAAATGTTATTAATATTTCTTTTAGATTTTTTTCAATTTCACCTTTATCTGTAAATTAATTAAAAATAATTTTTAAAAAGAAATTTTACGTCCTAACGAATATTTTGTTAATTTGAGGGAAAAATTTCAAGAAATTTTTAATAAATTTGAAAAAATAATGTCCAAGTATTATTTTATGTGGAGGGGGAGGAAAATAACTAAAATTTAATTTTATTTCCAATTATTTCCAACAAAATTACTTTTTTAATTTCTTACCATTCTTTACATAATCATTCCCTTTATTTACAATTTTTGTTAAAATATTTAAACTTTTAATTCCTTCATAAAATGTTACATTTTTATTTAAATTATTTTGTTTATTTTCTAACAAATTTTGAATTTTTTCAGAAATTTCACTTTTATAAAAATTATAGAATAATTTTGAAATTTTATCAGGTAATTGAAAGTTAAAAGATACTTCAATATTTAATTTTCTCCATTTGTTATCAATTTCATTCAAAATTTTATTTAATTTTGAATAAATAAATTCGTAATTGTTTGGAATTATTGAAATTTTGTCGTTTTCAATTAATTGTTGACATTTTGGTGTTAAAATATCGGGAACAGAAAATGAATTTTGAATAATAAAATATTGTAAAAGAAAAAGGAAAAATAAATAAGAAAGTTGCATTTTGGTAGTTTCTAAAAAATATTTAGATATTAAAAGGCAACACCTTACAAATAAGATTCTTGGGCTATGTCATCGCGGATAATAAGCTATAGTAGTATTCTCGGATATACTTTAGCCGGTGGCCCACTCAGAAACGGGTCAAAATATATACCATTCGATTCGTCTCGGCGAGCTGAGTTTTTTTTCTAGCCAAACTTTTAATTAATTAAATTAATTTAAATTTTTACCTTTAAAATTAAATTTTAGAGAAAAAGAATTTAAGAGAGAATTTCCTTAAATGAGTGAGGGCATAATCAGGAGGGATTTTAAATTTAGACAATGGAAGGTGAATGAAGAGGGAAGGCAATGAAGCGCTATTAATTGTCTGAGAGGGGGATAATGCCTTAATGGCTAAAGATTAAAAACGTGGTCGATGTTGGGGAATTTATATTGATTTTTAATCATTAGCATTTTCACTACCCATAATTGTATTTCCTTTTATATAATGGCAGCCATTATATTTTAAAAACCTTCCTCACTGCCGGTTTAATAGAGAGTCCTATTATATTCAAGAAAATTGTAACTACTACTGCATTTTCTCAAAAAATTGCCCTAGATAATTATTGTTTTACTCGAGGAGTTTGTGGTAATTATTAGAAGAATGTTCCCGAAAGATTTTTAACCGAGAAATAAATTATTTAAAATTAAATTAATAATAATCTTAATATGAAGCCGATATTTAATTAAATTTAACCTTTTAATTAGAGTTGCACTCCGAACCCCACCTCCGTTCCCGAAAGATTTTTTAAAAACATTTCCCCAGCACGAACCCCGCCTTGAAACAATTCGAAAACCCCGCTCCAAAAAAGTTTTGGGGTTTTCGGGGTATACATCCCATAATATGTTATTTTTTAGAGAATTTGAAGAAAAACTCAGAAAATTTTCTCCAAATTAAGTCCAATAACAGTTAATTTTGAGTATCGGTTAATTTGATTGATTTCGGAAAACTTACAAAAAGTCTTCAGTCAAGACAAGCTTTAATTTAAACAATAACCGAAAAAATATTTCCTATTCTACTCAAAAATGGGGTACTTTACGCGAGAGCTTACAGTAAATTTAATTAACAAAAATTTTTAAAACTTATATCATAAAAGAGATCACACCCTAATCTATCAAAAAATAATTATTTTGGAATTTTTAGGTTGAAATTGGATTTAAAAAATTTTTTTTAATGCATGCATCCACTTGAAAGCGCATACATTCGGATATTATTTTTGCTAGGAAGACGTATCATATTTCAGATATGACACAGTTTAATTTATAGAATGTAAATGTCAGAGGAAAAATCATCGACATCAGCAATTTCTACTATGAAAAAAGTTTGTTTTGGAGAAATTAAAGAAGTTTTGGGAAATTTCTCAAATCGGGTTTCAGATCGAGAAAAAGTCCAGAATTCTGGTAACCCATCCCATCCCAGTTTTCCAAAAAAACTGGATCCCAGTTTTCCATCCCAGTTTTCTAAACCTATTCCCTAAAACAATATTCAAAAACACAAATTCAAATATAATATTTATTTAGCAATACATACAACATACATATATTATAATAGAGCGCACAAACAATATACAAATATACATTTCAAGATATGGTATATATACAAAATAGGGTAGTAGTATAATACTCCCAATGCGCGCAAATATATAGGAAGATATATTATAGGAATACATATTATATGAGGGAAGAGGAAAATAATTATGGGGATACAATTTAGGTAAATGTTGAATTATTTTAGATATATTATCCTATCACAATCATCTTCACTTCTCTTCTTCTCTCCCGCTCCTCTCTACTTCTTCGACGTTGCCCCTCCAGCCTTCGATGTCGCTCCTCCCTTCGTTGTCCCCGCAGCTTTCGATGTAGCACCGCCAGCAGTTGTCGCTCCACCGGTTTTGGCTTGCGTCCCTCCAACAGTAGTCATTCCGCCGGTCTTTGCTTGGGTCGCTCCAACGGTCGTCCCACCAACTTTGGTCTTCGTCTTCGTACCTCCAGCACCTGTCATTCCCATTTCCATTCCCTCTTCTTCTTCACCTTTTCCGCGGAGCACGAAGAACCAGACAAGGCCACCAACTACAGCAAGCCTATAATTTTATTTTGAATGTAATTTTGTTAAATAACCCAAATCAAAAATATAAAACTCACAGGACTACAACGGCGATGACGATGCCAATGATAAGACCCATGTTACTGCCGGAAGCTTCAGCTCCACTGGATGGGCCAGACGTGGTCGTTTCAACAGGAGCAGTGCTTCCATCAGGACCAGTCTTTCCATCAGTCGGATTTGTCTCAGGAGGAGTACTACCACCAAGCTGTTTGAACCGGCTACCACTCTAAAATAAATAAAAATTTTGTAAACAAAATATTTTAAATTTATTAAATAAATTTTACCAGTCTGAGGGACATCTCGCACTTTGGACCTTTGGACCCATCAAGCTTGTTGTCATGTTCGATGTTTTGTCGATGTGACGTATGCTTGGGTACAATCTTCAGTGGCAGAATGTTCAGCGTGAAGAGATGATTGAAGGTACGGCTCTTATGCGATTCGTCTGTGATCTCCCATTGCTCAGCCTTGCGAAGAACCTTTTCAGTGTGGCAGTATTTTTCATGCTGATCGTAGTCCAATGCGTTCTGCCCTCCGCAACCGTGAGGAGACGACACCCGCCATCCTGAATATGTTTTTGGATCGAAGTTGATTGTGATAGACGCGATGCTTTCGGCCTTATTTGTTCCAGAAGCGCAGTACCAGATTCTCGGCTCACCAACTAAAAAAATAAATTTGATTAACAATCAATGATTATTTTCTTAAATGATTAATGATATTTATTTAAAACTCACGGATGTGCACGTTGTAGAGAATCATGTCACCCCTTCGTCCAAAAGCAACATCGAACTCGGTCGATACCAGGCATTTTCCGAAACGTTCGTTCACACATTTTGTATGACACCCAGAGGGGACACCTGTTTGAAGCCCCTCTTGCACCAACTTTTTGAACCCTTCTTCCCCCAGACTGAAGGTGAACGGAAACCTAAAGAAAAATTGCATCAGGTCAGCAAACTTTAACAGAGATAATTCACTCACAAATTCTCGTCGCCGACCCTCTCGTCTTTAACGCCATTCTTATCAGCCACAGCGTCCGTCAAGCATTCCATCAGATTCCCGGTGACGTTGAATTCCAGCTTGATTCCTTCTGGATTCGTGAGCAGATCAATGGAGCATCCTTCTAACGCATGTTTATGGCCCTTTTTGTACCTGATGATCCTGTAAAAAATTAAAAACAAAATTTTTAAAATATTTATTTTAAAAAATAAATGTGCTTACATATCCCCGTTAGGCTTCGTGTCAACTTCGCAATCAGTCCCTTTGCCTGTGACCAGCTTTGTGATCTTGTTGCCCTTCCTTTCATGCTTAGCAAATCCAACCAGGTCGCACCAGACAACGCACTCGAGCAGCAACAGAGCGACCGTGAGCAGAAGAAGAGCACGCGAAACCAGAGCCGATGTCGAGGCCATCCCGTTGACGCCTGAAGAGTTGCAGCAGCGCTTCCGCATTACAGGTACGTCGACGAACGTAGATGAAGAGAATTTGTTGTAGATGATGATAGAAGATTGATAGTTGTGTTGTTAAAGGAAAAGAAATGATGGCGTTTTTATAGTGTTCCTCTCACAAAAAAAAGAAACAGACTTTGTTGCGTAATATAAAAGCTAGTCTCAGCATCAGTCTAGTTGGATCATACTAGCACAGCTAGTTCCTGATCCCCAGTGCTCGTCAACAGTCCGGCAACCAGTTCTCGTCTACTGTCCGCAACCAGTGCTCGCTCGTCAACAGTCCGGCAACAGATCGTCTACAGGCGTGTTCTGATCGACAACAGCAACAGTTGAAACAAGTACTTAATGAAGTATTGTGACGGTGTAGTGAATTGCTGATTTAAGGTAGAGATTGGATTGTAGGTGTAGGAACAGCGTACACTGCGTTCCAAAATCATACGCACCCCTAGTTTTTTCATGTTTTATAAATTTTCCTATGTTATTTTAATCAGATATTTTATCTATTGATTCTTCTTGATAAATTACATGATTAAACAAGAAAATAAAAAAATCCGTAAATTATTTACTCTTTTATGCCAATTTACTTAAAATATTAGTGTTCCAAAATTATACGCACCCCCCTCGAAATTGAATTATTTATGGGCAGTAGACCTTTTGTGGTAGTCACTGGAAAAGAGGACTTAGTGTGGTTGCCAGTAGTCTTAAGATAGAGAGGAGTTGCCTAGTGGTCCTGAAAGTGTAGGCTAAGTTTTCTCTCTCAAAAAAATCCTCTCTCAAAAAATAAATAGGCTCTCTCAAAAAAGTAGACCTTCTCTCTCAAAAAGAAAAGAGAGAGATTATGGAAAAATTCGGTTATGGAAAAAATAAAATTATTTAATAAAATTTTTCTGAGAACTTTTTTTGAAAGACTATCACAAACTGTCAGCCAATCATTTTATAACCTATGGGTAATATGTAAAATAATGCTTTTTCTCTTCAGTCTCTTCAGTCTTGTTAGGTGGTTCCGTGACTTTTGCGCCGAGAACATTTGCGCCGCGACTTATGCGCCGCGACTTTTGCGCCGAGCGACTTTTGCGCCGGGGGACTTTTGCGCCGCGACTTTTGCGCCGCCACTATCATTAAAAATATATCAATAACTACAGCCGGACCTCACTTTAGTAGGGTTGTCGAATAGTTGGAAATCTTCGGATCCGATATCCGAACTGAAAATTTCGGATATCCGGCATTTTTCGGATCCGGATTTTTTAAACAATGGCGGCGCAAATGTCGCGGCGCATAAGTCGCCCGGCGCAAAAGTCGCGGCGCAAGAGTCGCGGCGCAAAAGTAGCCCGGCGCAAAAGTCGCGGCGCATAAGTCGCGGCGCAAATGTTCTCGGCGCAAAAGTCGTGATACCTGTTAGGTAAAGCAAAGAAATTACATTGAATTGAAAGACATGAATTACATTTCTTAGGAAATTAAAAAATCTAGGAATTCTTTTACAAAGGGTTTTTCAAAATTAAGAATTTCGGTTTTTCAGCCTTCTGAAATTTCGGATTCGTATATCGAAAATTTCTGTTCGAATATCTTTCCGGATAATTCTTAAATTATTAAAAATTCCTTAAAATTCCTTAATTATTAGAAAATTTTTGACACAAATTTCATTTGGAAAGCTATCAAAGGATTAAAGGCGATATGGCTGTTGGCTGCTAAAATTTTCTTTTTAGAGCTCGAGTAATACGAGTATTATGATCACGAGTTTCGAGTCGAGTAATCGAGTAACTCGTACTCGCTCGACTCGGGCGTACTCTAGTATATAACCAATTCTGGTCGGCAAAAATTCAATAGGAGATATTTAAAAATCTACATCTAAACTCAAAAACACGATGATTCAAACAATTTTTTTAATTTTTCGAGTCAAAACTTTAATGTACGGTATTAATTAAAAATATTTTAATTTAAATATTTTAACTGAAAAAATTATTTTTACTAAAATAAATTATTTAACTCTTCCTTATCCTCCCCCCCCCCCCAACGCCACGTTAGAACACAAACAAAACATATACCACATGCTCAACGCGTGCTAAATATACTACACGTATACCTATTTAGTATTTTATATATTTTTTTCTATATTATACTACATGTATATTTTTTATAGTTTTTACTACATTTAATTCTACTTAACCAGTAGAATTGGAGATTAAAGGTCCTCTAAACTAGAAATTAAAAATACTGCCGTCCTGATTCCTGAAATTATGACTTTATTTTTTATGTCGGCAAGAATCCCAGGCACACATAAAATCTGCCATTTGCTTATGTTAACAGTTGCTCAGTCTTCACTTTCCAGTTAGCACATTTCATGTCCACAGTAGTCCCTTTGTATATGCTCAATCACGATAGTCTAGGGATTTATGTCAACAAAAAGAGATTTGGATGGATTAAATTAAAGTTGTGGGGGATTGTGGGGGTTTTAACTTTCAAGATTAAAATTAAATATTTAATTTTAAATTTAAATTTAATTTATTTAAAATATCAATATTTCTATAATCAATAATTTAAATTTTCCCTCTATTAAATTTTCCCTTCATTATTGGCAATAAATATTTTTAAATCAATTTTTTTTAATTTTTTTCATTGTCTAAATTTTATCTCCATTTTAAATTTTTATATTTTTCCTTTGTTAAATTAATTTAATAAAAAGTTATTTTTTAAAAATTAGAATTTTAATTCTCCAAATTTGGGAGAATTATGAGAATTGACCTTTTATTTTTATTTTTATTAATTTTTATTTTAAAAATAAATTGGTGCAATGGAGGTAATTTAAATAAATAAATAGATTTTTTTAATTTTATAAATTTTAATTTATAAATAAATTAATTTTTAATTTAATTTCGATAATTAAAAATAAAAAATAAAAATTGAATGATAAATTAATTTAAATTAAATTTTAATTAAAAGAAGAATTTGATAGGGAAGAAGTTTATTAATTAAAATAAAAAATTGGATTTATTTTTAAATTAATAATTATTTAAATTAAAATTTAGAAAATACTACAAAGAAAAATGAAGAAAAAGGAAAAAATTTGTTGATAAATGAAAAGAATGAAAAATTGGAAAATGAAGAAGAAGATAATTAATTTTAAATAAAATAAATATATTGAAAAATTATTTTTTAATTTTTGTTTAAATTCTCCCATCTTTTAGATTTTTTAAATTTTAAGAAAATTTCTAAAATTAAAAAAAAAAAAACAAAAAATTCTTTTCCGATTTTTAAAATTAAAATTCTTTAAAAATCCTTTAAATAAAATTAAAAAAATATAATTCTTTTTTTTTTAAATAAAGAAAATCCAAAAGAAGAAGGTGATTGGAAGGAAGTAACTAGAAGAAAATGGAAAAAATCAGCAAAATTAATTAATGAAGTTAACGCTTTTAAACAAAAAAGTTTTTTTAATTTAATTTTAAAAAAAATTTAATTTTTAATTTTAAGAAGAAATAATTAAATCAACAGAAGATATAAAAACTATAAATAATTTAGAGCCTCAAAAAGACAAAGTTGGAGGAGAAAATATGAATTTTTGCCAATTAGTAAATAAAAGAGAAAATGTACAAAAATTTATAAGTAAATATTTTTAATTATTTTTTAAATTAATTTTTAATTATTTTATTTTCCCTTATTTAAATAAATTTATAATTTCTTTTTTAAATGAAAGAATTTTTAAAATAAAAAAAATCCAAAATAGGAAAAAAAATTTTTTAATTAATAAATTTATATATTTTTTAGACAATTTAAAACCTAAAAAACCAAATGGAAAATTAAATAAAATAAATTCATTTGCGAATTTAGAAAAAATAGGAAGTTTAGAACCTCAAGAAATTGAAAAAGTAAATAATGAAGAAAAATCTAAAAGAAATATGGCTTATGTTGTAAATCAAAGAATGATTGCAGAAAAATTTAAAAGTAAATTTATATTTAAAAAATAATCTATTTTGGCTTTGGTCTAGTTTTTTAGTCCAATAAAGAGTTTAAGTCTTGTGAAAGTTTGTAAGTCGATAAAAATTTTATCCGTTCAAACAATGCTGTAGTGAGATTTTGTGTGTCTCCGGCTCCGTACTTTTTCAGATCGGTTTCGGATAACACATGACATCCTGCTACTATGTATGAAAAACATGTAGGCATTCACCTCCCGGCATTCGCCGTCAGAAATCCATTCTACTTCCATCAATTCTTAATTGAGAAGACTACTTCGAAGTCTACTTTTTGGAAATTTTCCATTCGGTGAAGGAGGCTTTGAAAAAAAATTTATGCTTCAATTACTTATGAGGCAATGTCGTTCACCAAAAAAAATACTTTAGGCTTCCCAGTTCCAGTAGCAAAAAATCGAAAATATTAAGTTTTTTTTATAAATTTTTATCGGGCATAAACTTTTAATGGACTAATTAAACATTCATTCAACTAAAAATTAGATCAAAGCCATTATTTTTGTAGATAGACTAACAAAAAAACAAACTGAAAGGATAATAAAACAATTAGAGGAAAATTATGAAAAACAGCCATTTATATTTAAATGGTGGGATAAAGTAAAGGCAAATAAAAAGAAAGTTATAAGTTCTTTTATTATATTTCTTCTTGGAGTTATGGAATTATCTGCTGATATAATTAACAAAGATAAGGTAAAAATACATAAATATTTTTTAAAATACAAATAATTTTATTTATTAATTTTTAATAGTTTGATAGTGACTGGAATGATGAATTAATTGCTACTCAAAAATGTAAAAAAATCAGAATATTTAATAATTTAAATTAAAATTAAATTTTAAAAAAATTATAAAAAATATCAGAAGAATATTAAAAATATCATAAATGCTCTAATAAAGGCTTATATTTTTCAATATTTGGGGGCTTGAGATGGGCTTTTATTGAAGACTGGGATCTAACGAAGACTAGGAACTTCGCGTAAAAATTTTGTTTGGGCTTCTATTTGAGAGTATATTAGAAAGTGGTTTTCAATGAGTTCCCCCTGGCGAGCTTATATTAGAGATGGGCTTCTAATATTTAGAGTAGGGCTTATCTATTAGAGCATTTACGGTTTTTTAAAGTTATATCGCATAAAGAAGAATTAAATCGTGACAAAAGAAGTACTGCTAAATTAGACTGTAAATTAGTGGATAAAGAAATTAAAGATTCGATAGAGTATTTTACAAATTGTAATTTTGAGGAAACAAACCCAAATGAAGTAAAGGGAATTTTGTATGAAAATATTGATGGTATAAAGAAATTTTTGTATGAGGGGAAATGTTAAGGAATGTTTGGAAATGTAAAAAAAAAAAGAAGTTTTTTTTAAAAAAGATTTGTAAAAAACCCCCAAATATGTAAAGATATCCACTTTAATTATTTTGTAAATTTTTATATTTTTTTAAATCAACAACAAACAAGTAATTCAAGATATTGATGAGATATAAGAAGAGTTTAAAAATTTTAAAGAAAAGTTAAACATTTTTTTTAATTCTAAAGATGCTTCCATTAAAACAAAACAAATATTTTTATTTTTTCTGTTAATTTATATTTTTTTCAATTATTTTGGCTCTAGTTCAGCGCCGATGGCGTTTTATGGGAATAATTAAAAATCCCATACGGATTCCGGCACGTGCCTAACTCTTATACTATTTTGGGACGCTTTTTCTATTTCATGGGATGCATGTCCTAAACTAGAGCCATTATTTTATTTAAATCATACATATTTATGTACATATTTCTCTATATTTATTTATAAAGTAAATGTTTCAAAACCCTCATTTCCTATTTGTTTTTAAATAAATCTGCGTGTATTTTACGGGTGACACGACTCGGGCACAGTGATCCATTTGCACAGTAAGACTTTTACACAGAGGGCATCTGCACAGTGGACGATTGCACAGTAATTTGTGGTTAAGTGGATTCGTGTTAGGTTTTACTTATTGTTATAAGGGAATAAATGTTACTAATTATTAATACCTTTACTAAAAAAATCTTAAATTGTATTAGAACTGAACATAATTATTGCCACGAGTCTTAACAACATTTTTAAATTAAGAAAAATTTTTTTTGGATATGTACCCCTTTTCAAATATCTGATTTCTGATGCACTGTACTACCCCAACGCAGTTCGACCTAGTCGTACCCAGTCAAGTGCGTGTCCAGCAAGAAATTTTTTAAAAAAGTGAAAGGTGTTTATTTAAAGCAGACTTAGGACTATAATGGGTTATATGTAGTAGCCTTTCCAACAAAATCTATTTTTGATATAACAGGTCGTCAAAAATGTGCGGTGTGAAGCAGCATTATTTTAATGGCAAACAGGGGGGGGGGGGTAATTAGCTTTATTGACTGTATTTAAATTTAGAAGAAACTATTTTATTATTAAGAAACTTATTAGAAAGTAAATTATTTATCATTAAAAATTAGTAAGAATTCATTTTTACAACAAATACTTGCACTCTTTAATAAAGATCTTCTAGAATTTGTCCACTTGATAAGCGAACGAAAATTTAGAATATGTAAAAAAGAATTAGGAAATACTTAGGTTAGAAAAAGAATTATGAATTCTAATACAATTTAAGATTTTTTTAGTAAAGGTATTAATAATTAGTAACATTTATTCCCTTATAACAATAAGTAAAACCTAACACGAATCCACTTAACCACAAATTACTGTGCAATCGTCCACTGTGCAGATGCCCTTTGTGCAAAAGTCTTACTGTGCAAATGGATCACTGTGCCCGAGTCGGAGCGCCATTTTACGGATTTTAGAAAATGTTGGCATAATGTCTTTTAATATTCGCAGAAATGTTTTTCCTATTTTTCTGCCTTTTGGCAATAAAAATAGGAATTCTGTGATTGTTGGAAAGAAGTTCGCCCGGCAAATGTGATTATACCCAGCGCTAAATTTAAATTGGGTTTTACTGAAATTTCTATTTTGATTTAAAGAAATTATTCCAAAAAATTACTCAATTAAAAATTATATATTTTTTACTTCAAAATAAAGAAAAAAAAATAAAATAAAAATGGCAACAAATATTCTAAAATTAAAAAGTGGACGTAAAATTTATTATTCAACAAAAGAATCTATAGAAAATAAATTAATTTCAAATAAAATTAAATTAAATAATTTAACAGATTTGGAAAATAAAGTTTATGAAGGTTTTTCTTTAAAAAAAATATTTTTTTTTGAATTTTTATTTTTTAAAGGAGGACTTAAAATTTGGGAATGTTCTTTAGATTTAAGTTATTTTATTGATTCAATGTCTTTTGAAGGATTTAATGTTCTCGAGGTTTTTTTTGTTTGAGAAAAAAATAAAATTTAAATAAATTAGCTTGGTTGTGGTGCTGGTTTGCCTTCGATTGTTGCTGCTTTAAATGGGGCAGCGTCTTTGACATTACAAGATTTTGTGTGAATTTTAAAATATTTATTTTTAATTGATGACATTTAATCCCAAAATTTTTTTAAAAATTAATTTCTGAGAATAGAAATGTTAAAATTCCAATCATAGCTAAAAAATAATAAAAAGTTTAAAAAATAATTTCAGAATGATTATGTTTTGGAGGCTAACACAAAAATTAATTTCCAATTAAACGGAATTGATTTATCAAAATGTAAATTTGTAAAGTGTGATTGGGCAAATTGTTTAGAATTGGAGGGATTTAAAAAGTAAAATTTAAAAAATTACCTTGTCTCCAATAGTAGCCCAAACCCTATCAGAAGCCCTCTTAATGAGGGTTAGGGTTGGGGTTTTCGAGCTGGGCTGACGTTCGAGTCATTTTTTCGGGCCTCATTTTTAACGAACCGGCCCGACCGAGTCTTTTTTGGGCCAAAATTAGATGCCCGACTCGATCTTTCGGACCGGACCGAGCCCCCAACCCTAATGAGGGTTACTGAAAAATAGATGCCCAGGGCTTCTATTAGAGGCAATACGTTAATTAAAAAAAAATATTTTTTACAGATTTGATATAATCCTTACATCAGAAACAATTTATAATGAAGAAAATTATTTGGATTTACTTGAAATAATGAATAAATTATTAAATAATGAAGGGGAAATGTTTGGAATTTTTAAATTAAAAATTAATAATTCTTCTTTTTAAAGTTATTTGGCAGCCAAAAATTATTATTTTGGTTTAAGTGGAAGTATTCCTGCTTTTCAATCATTAATAGAAACACAAGGAATTTTTAATTGTCAACAAGTTTGGAAAACAACAAAAAGTGCTGTTGAAAGGAAAATATTGAAAATTAAAAGAATTTAAATTTAATTTAAATTATTTATTATTTTGTTTGATTTCTGTCTTTTTCCCCTAAATTATTTTTTGATCCTCTAAAAAAATATTTATTCTTAGATTAATTTTTGGATTTTTTATACAAACAATTTGTCTTTTGTTAATTGTTTTTAAAATTAAACACAAAACTATTAATCGTTTCCTTATAACAACTTCAAAAAATAATTATTAATTATTTAAATATTAAATAATTAAATTTATTACAAAACAAAATAATAATAAGACAATATTTGCATTATTTAATTTAATATTTCCACTACTAGTTAAACGACTTTGTCTTTCTTCTTCATTATTATAATGAATTTTATGTGAGAAAAAATCAAAACCAAAATTATTTTCTTCTTCCTCCTCCTCCCCCTCTTCTTTATTTTCTTCTGTTTTGACTTCTTCCTCCTCTTGCTCTTCCCCCTCCTTTTCTTCTTCATTCTCATCGTTCTCTATCATTTTTCTTTTCCATTGTTGCCAATCTTCTTCACCATTCTTTATTTTATTTTCATCATTCTCTTTCACTTCCTCTTCCTTTTCTTCTTCCCCTTCTTTCTCTTCAATAACCTTCCATTGCTGATTTTGTTTATTTTCTTCAGAATTTATTAAATAATTTTTAATTAATTCTTTTTTAATTGTCGAAGTAATTAATATATTATTATTGTAATCATTATTATTCTCTTCCTCTTCTTCCTCCTCTCCCGATCTGTAATAATTATCAAAATTGCACATTGGCATTAAAATTCTAAAAAAAATTAAATTTATTTTTAAATTTATTTTTAAATTTTTAACAACCTAGAAGTATCTTTCAATACTCGAAATATAACATTCCAAGCTTCATTTCCACAGCTTTGCCTAATTGGAGGGCGAACACATTCAGAAAAATAATTTAAAGCACTAAAAATACAAAGTATTTCTAAATTAAAATATTTCTTTACTTGCACATTCTCTCTAATCTATTTACAACAGTCCCATTTTGTTCATTATTTGCTTCCTCAATTTCTAAAAGTGTTTTATCATGGCATCCTTTAACATTAGGTTGTTGATCTAATTCCATTAAACATTCTGCAGACCCAACAAAAACTGAAAATTTAAATTTGTTGGGGACAGAAACAATTTAAGGGGGGTATTTCAATAACCCCCATTTGCCATCGCAAATTTCTAGTAAAGGTTGCCAGAAAAATATCTGGCAGATGGCAAGTCAATTCTGATATTTAAACAGATTTTCTCGAAAATAACGTGTTGAATTCTGGCAAATGGCACTATTGCCCCTCTCTCTCAAATGGCAGGATATTGCCCCCTCCCCTTTTCCCTCCCTAAGAATTAATTCTGTTTTTATTTAAAAAAATCAAAATTAAATACTTTCATAACCCTCATTGCAAAGATATCCATAAGATGCTTCAATTAAGCTAATAGTTATATGCCTTCTACATTTAGTTCTATAACCACTCACACAACGTTCAAAATGCCTAATTAACAAACACAATTCTTGAAATATTTTCCCTCCAATAACTTTTGTTGGCCATTGAATTCCCTGAATTTCCTCATAATTTTTATTATTTTTTTTATTTAAATCCAAATAATTTTCAGAATTTTCTTTTTCATTTTGTTGATTATTAACTGCTTTAGCATAATCTGCTACAGGCTGTACACATTGTTGAATTCTTGTATTAACCCAAATTGGGCAAAACTTTTGAGATTGTTGTTGTTGTTGGAGAGATAAACAAAAATTATGTAAAAATATTAATAATGTTGTTAATTGGAAAATAAAAGATTTTATTTTAAATTTTTTCATGAAGATATTAAGGAAATAATATTTAATAATATTTTATTTTTTTGTGTCATTGTTTGTTGAAATAAATAAATTAAATCAGAATATATTTAAATATTAATTCTTTATATATATATAACTAAAAATTCTGAAAAATCAGAAAAAAAAGAAAAATAATTTTAGAGAAAGTCGGGAGGTTTTCATTTAAATAAAAGCTAAAATAAATATAAAAATAAATTTATAATTTACAATATGTGTTAGCTCACCTGCCTTTAAGGGGTATGGCTTCATCAGTCATTCATTTAAAGGGCAAACAATGAAATTTATGGCATACTACTGGTAATTTTGGGAAATATTTTTGGTTGAGGATATCAAAAAAAGGAGGGGAAGTACTATAGACAAACACAAAAATAAATAAATATATATTTAATTAATTTAATATTAAAATTTTTTAATATAAAAATATATTTTTAAATTAAAAAAAAAAGATTTTAATTTTAAAATCAAAAAGAAAAAATATTTTTATTAAATAATATTACTTTGAGTTGTGTAATTGGCAAAAGGGAAAGAAGAAATGAGAGAAAATGTAAAAAGAAGGGTCAAGTATAGGAGGGAGAGGCTCTTAATGACAAACAAAATTTTGAGTTTTTAGTTTCAGGATAATTAAATTAATAAAAAAATTATTTTAGAGGATTTATGGGGTAATTTATGTAATGTTCTCCTCTTTTTACAAACAAATATAAGTTTTTATTTATTTAGTTAAAATCTATGCTGAAGGGCAATCAACACACTGTTGGAGGTTTTTGGCGGTTTTTTATTTGTTGTTTAATAATAATAACTAAATAACCAAACCAATTTTCATATTTTAACAAAAAAAATAAAAATTGTAGGGAGGGTTAAAGAATAGAAGAAAGGTGTTTAAAATTGCCAAAAATACGTAGTCCAACCTTCTTTCTTTTTCTATTAAAGCCTCCCAAAATATTTCCTTTCTTTTTCATTTTCACACTGCAATGGTTCCCCCTTGTTCCTAAAAATCACAGAAAAATAAAAAGGACATAAAAACCTAAAAACCCCCTCCCTCCCCCTCCCCCCCCCCTCCATTCTTTTCGTCCATAAGAAAATTGGCTAATTATTTTCCCATTATTTAAAGGAAGGGAGGAAACACATAAATACTTGCATTATTATTTTTGTATTTTATTTGAATAAAGCCACCATCATTTTACATATGGTATTGAGAATTTGGAAATAAAAAAAAAACATTTTTTATTACACATATTTTTACTTAAAAAAGAGAATTGGAAATAATATTTTTTGAATCTTGTTTTTGTCGGAAAATCAGCAATATTTGAAGATAAAAAGAAAAAAAAAGTAAAAAAATTTTTTTTAATTTACAAAATTCTGAATACACTACATTACTACATATTAAAGCCTCCTCAAAAATAACCCCCGTGGGTTATTTTTTCGATCGACCTCAAGAGAGAGGGGGCTATTTTTAGATTTTTAATTTTTATAAGGATTCGATTTATTTTTACAGCACTGAGCTTTTAAAAGAAAAAAAACCACAAAATTGTTAACTTATAATTAATAAAATGACTGCCAATTTTTTTATTTTAATAGAAAGGCACACAAACATTTTCTGCAAAAGTTTTTTTGTTTAAATTTTCTCTCTTGTTAGAAAATGACTTTTTCCCTCTTTTCTTCCTATTGTTCAGATTAACATTAAAATAATACAATAGAGAAGGAATCTTGATGGATATTGAAAGGATTACAATGAGGGAAGGAAAGGAGGAAATGCCCTTGCATTTAATGAGCACCTCGAAGGATTATTATTTATTAGTTTGAGGTATTAATTAAAGTGTGGCTGTGCAACGGTGGTGAAGGGAAAGGAATAGAGAAAGGAGGGAGACTAGAGGAGTCTAGTTAAATTTTTAGGTAACTCCGTGAGGGTAAATCCGGCATGTTTTCAATTATTAATCCAATAACAAGATAATCCAGATATTTGTAGTCATACAGTACTGCACAAAAGTATAAAAACACTTTTAAAAAGCTTATAACTTGGGACATACTTGACCAAATTGTACCGAATTTTGTATAAATATGTGGATTAGAAAGAGAAACACGATTAAATAATCTAAATTATAAATTTTTTAAAACATCTCTCCAAAACTTAAAATTATTAAAATTGCGTGCTTTTTTTACTGCACAAAAGTATAAGAACACTTCACATAAAAGATATTTCCAAGATTAGGAAAAATTTACAAAAATTTTGGCAAAGATACATAATGATATCATGAAAAAATAAAAAAGAACTAGACCCATATCTTTACCTGGAGCCGAGATCCTGAGACCCCGAAAATCAACGTAAAGCAGGGGTAAGGCTCTTTTAAAAAATTTTTCGACCCCTTACGGATTATTTTCAATTTTGATTTTGGGCTCATTCGAAAGCCCTTGAAATTTGCTACAATATAGCAACAATCTTATTTTTCAGAAAAATTTTTAGAGAGAGGTACATGCATTCAAACTTCGAAAGCGACCTTAAGGGGAATTTTATGGGGCATTAAGGCGTTTTTTACTGCATCAGAAGTTTAATGTTTGCTTCTCTCTTTAAAATTTTTTCTGGAAAATAAGATTGTTGCTATCTTGTAGCAAATTTCAAGGGCTTTCGAATGAGCCCAATATAAAAATTTACAGTAATCCATAAGGGTCGAAAATATTTTTTAAAGTTGAAAAACCCTGCTTTACGTTGATTTTCGGGGTCTCGGGATCTCGGCTCCGGGTAAAGATATGAGTCTAGTTCTTTTTTATTTTTTCATAATATCATTATGTATGCTTGCTAGAATTTTTGTAAATTTTTCCTAATCTTGGAAGTATCTTTTTTATAAAGTGTTCTTATACTTTTGTGCAGTAAAAAAACGCGAAATTTTAATAATTTTAAGTTTTGGAGAGATGTTTTAAAAAATTTATAATTTAGATTATTTAATCGTATTTCTCTTTCTAATCCACATATTTATACAAAATTCGGTACAATTTGGTCAAGTATGTCCCAAGTTATAAGCTTTTTAAAAGTGTTTTTATACTTTTGTGCAGTACTGTATAATGGGGTGGTAAAAATAAAATGTTATTGTTTTGAGAAAGAAAAACAAGGGTCGAGAAGAGAAAATTTTAATAAAATCTCAGAGTAATTTCTCCCAATTTTTTACTCAAAAAGTATATAAATTTATGAAAGCAAGTGATTGGCGGATGTGTGTAATAATAAATAAATAAAGGTCATCATAATTATTGTCGCCCATTATTTGGTTATTCATTCATATAACAATACAAGAAAATAATAAAAAAAATTGTTGAACCATCAATAGCAATTTTTCAAAAAAAAAAGTAGATAAAATTAAATCTGCTTTCCAAAAAAAATTTTTTGGAAAATAAAAAATTTTTTTTCGATTTATAAATTCTTTAAACTGACGAGATTTATTTAAAAATATTTAGGTACTTTATGGATATGTCACCCCCCCTCCTTTTTTGAGTCTCAAAGTTTTCCTTATACGTATAAAATGGTCAGAGATTATTTTTTCTCCATGTCAATCATTTTCTTTCTTCAAGCAAAATAAGTGAAATGAGGAAACAAAATGAATGAAATGTAAGTACAAAATTCAAAAATATAAGTGAAAAGGCGAAATAAAAAGGCAAAATACTTGAAGAAGAAAAAAATGATTGACATGGAGAAGAAAATAATCTCTGACCATTTTCTACGTATAAGGAAAACTATGAGACTCAAAAAAGGAGGGGGGGGGTGACATATCCATAAAGTACCAATATTTAAAATATAATTGAGTCAATTTTAATATAGAATCATAAGAATACAAAGATACATATATTTATATGTTAATTTTATTTTTTTTAATATTTTTAAATTAAGAATCTGAAGTAATTTTTATCTATTTGAGTTGGTTTCCACAAAAATTATGAAAACAAAAAATTTTTTTTCCAATATTTGGTCAGAAAATAAAAATTTTCAGATCCTTAATTTTTAAAATAAATGTGTCGTTGCTAAATTGAATTAGTTGGAGACAGGCCCGTAGCCAGGATTTTTTTTCGGGGGGGGGGCCAAGGGGGGAAAATTTTTTCTGCGCCGAATTTTTGGCGCCGAAGGCGCCAAAAATTTTTATTTTCAGCGCCGCAGGCGAAAATTTTTTGAATTTTGGACCTCAAGAAGCCAGATTTCTTCCTTTTTTAGCGCCGCAGGCGAAAATTTTTTAAATTTCAGAGGCCGTAGGCCAAAAAAATTTACTTTTTTTGCTCCAGCCCTTCCCCAAATTTTTTCCTTTTTCCCATTTCGGGGGGGGGGGGGGGGGGAATTCCCCCCTCACCCCCCCCCCCTGGCTACGGGCCTGGTTGGAGAAGAGGAACAGAGAAAATTTCAAAGCTGAATTTTCAGGCAAATTTTTGTACAAAATAAAAACTAATTTTCCTATTTTCTATTAATTAAAAATAAAAACTTTTTTTTAATTCTAAAAATTAAAAACAAATTTTCAAAGGAAAATTAGCAAAATTATAATAAAATATAATTTTTATCATGCAAAGGCAGAGGAAGTATTTATTTATTGAAAAAACGAATTAATCTTTTTTAAAAAATATTTACTAGCACCCACACCAGCCGCTCGACTCGTAATCCCCATTTTTCAATTGAAGTCGCCTCCGCATTGCCAAATTAGATTCCCAAAGTCCGGGTGATTGAAGAATCTAAAATTTAAAAAAGTAAATTAACTTTCTAAATAAAGAAAAATAAGAAAATAATTTCTGAACAGACAAATTAATTTCTCAATATTTTACTTTTTCTTCAATTTTTTCAGAATTTTAAAACGAAAAAATGTAACCGGACTAAAAATAATCTAATTTAAAAAATACCTTTTGAACAAGCTCTTCAAAAGCACATTGAACACCCTCACGAGTCTTAGCACTTGCCTCAATAAAAAGCATTCTGTGCCGACGAGCAAATTGAGCACCTTCATCTCTGGTTACAACACGAACATCCTTTTTAAATTTTAACAAAATTATTTTAAAAAATTAAAAGCAAACCTCGTCAATTTTATTTCCAACAAGCATTTTAATAGCATCTGCCCGTGTGCAATAAGTGTCAACTTCTAAGAGCCAATGCTCGAGACTTTCAAAAGACGCTCGGCTAGACACATCATAAACCAAAATAATACCTTGACCTTAAATTGAAAAAATTTAAAAAAGGAAAGAAGCTTGTTTAAAGTTAAATGTTTGGTTATAGAAAACATTTTGTGAGCCAAAACTAGAAACTAAAGTGGCTAATATAAACTTTAAAGTAACGGAAGGATTAATTAAAATTCCTTGAAAATCAAAAACCTCCTCTATAATAGCTCGGAGTCAATGTCCGAAAGCGTTCCTGTCCAGCAGTATCCCAAATTGCTAATTTAACAAGTTTATCGTCAATTGTAATTGTCCGAATGCGAAAATCTACTCCAATTGTTGCAGCCATTTCTGGGTCAAATTTGTCGTCCACAAAACGAGAAATTAAACTAAAAATAATTTTAAACAATTTTTAATTCAAATTAAATACCTCGATTTGCCTACACCACTTTCACCTAAAAAATAAAATTTTATTTAAATTTATTTTAATAAATAAAATTTACCAATAGTCAAAATTTTCAGCGTTGTCAAAAAATTCTCTTCTACCATTTTTAAAAATGTTAATAAATAATTTGTGTTAAAAAAAATAAATTTGTCTGAAAAAAATATTTAAAATTAAGATACAAATAAAAATATATATTTTTGTTGATTATAATCAATATTTAAAGGAAAAATGATAAGAAAGTCTATTTAAAATAAAAGAAGTGAATAAATTGTGTAATTATATTTACATTTATTTTTATGTAATGTTTAAAAGTGTTTTTGCTATTTTATTTAATTTTTATTTTTTATTTAAAAGTAAAAAATAAAATCAAAGAAAATATTAAACAAAGAAACAATTTTCAAAACTTGTTTTAATTAATTTTAAAAATTTTAATTTATTTATTTCGAAATTTTGATTAAATGAACAAGAAAAAAGAAAATAGTGCAAAATTAAGAGAGACGACAGATCACGAGAGAAACTAGATAGAATGATAAGAAAAAATGTTAGACGGTTAGATTGAGTAAAAATTGTGTTGTTTGAGTCTCAATTTTTTTTATTTGTTCTTATCTTTTTAATTGGGTATTTATTTGTATTTTTTATTCAACTAATCACAAGAATGGCATCATTTGTAAAATCTAACAAAAATGGAGAAAAATTAATTTATGATGGATTTATTTATGTTAAATGCAAAAATGGACCAGACAACAAACGTTATTGGAGATGTGAATTTTGGAGAAGTCATAAATGTAATGGATTTGCTGTAACTGATTCAGACAATATGGTTACTGTTACTAAACAACATGACCATGAAAGGTCGCCGAATCGTGTTGAATTAGCCAAAATAAAGGATCGTATAGTTCAGGCAGCAGTTACTACAACACTTTCTCCTCGAGAAATTGTAAATACTCAGATAGCTGGAATTAGTGATCAAGCAAAGGTTTTTTTTTAATTTTTTATATTAAAATAATTATTTTAGGCAGAACTTCCAAAATTGGTTAATTTAGAAAAAACAGTTGGAAGGAAACGTTATGCTGACGGACAACCTGTCCCCCGTTTTTTATCAGAAATTGACATTCCTGAAAATTTGAGAAGGACAAAAACTAATATCAGTGAAGATTTTATTTTGGTTGATACTGGAGCAGATGATTCCAATAGAATAATTATTTTTGCTTCACCTACAGATGTTGCGCGTCTTTCAACCTCCGATGTTTGGCTTTGTGATGGAACTTTTAAAAATGATCAAAAATTATTTTATCAACTTTGGGTATTTTTTATAAATTTATTTAGCTCTGTAATACCTCTCTTTTTTAGATTATTTCTGGCCAATTTTATCAACCAGTGGTTCTTCCCTTTGTTTATATTTTACTTCCTTCAAAAACAACAGAATCTTACCTTAGAGCATTGGAACTTTTAATAGCAAAAATTGATGAAATGAGTCCTGGTTATAGGCCCCATACTGTTATTTTTGATTTTGAAAAGGCTGAAGAACAAGCATTGCAAACGGCTTTACCTTTCGCAACAATTCATGGATGTTTCTTTCAATTTAAGGTTCTTTTCTTTAAAATTGAAAAAAAATATTTTTAGCAAGCATTATGGCGGAAAATTCAAGAACTTGGTTGGGGAAAAGCAGAAATAGAAGGACTTCATAATTATTTGAAAATGTTTGTTGCACTTACATTTGTGGATACAGGTATGTATTAGTAAAGGGCGTAGCCAGGGTGGCTGAATTCCCCCCCCCCTCCCCCGAAATGGGGGGATATCCCTAGATTTACGTTGCCTTTAAATATAATTATTTTTTTATTTTAGCAAATGTCCCCGCTTTTTTCAATCAATTGGCCCAGAGGTTCCTTGAAATTTTTGGCAATGGAGATTCGGAAGGTCCACATGTTGCTTTTATAAATTATATGGAGAGAAATTGGATTGGAAAGGATTTTATGCCCCCACGGTTTCCTTTGTCAATGTGGAACAGCAAAGATATAACTTATGACCAAATGCCTCGAGCTACAAATTCTGTTGAATCTTGGCATTTTACTTTTGCAGGAATATTTTATCGCCATTCTTCAAATCCATATAATCTTGTAAAGGCTATTTTAAATGAACAGGTTTTTTAGATTCTAAAAAAATTTTTTAATTTTAATTAAAGCTCCGTGTCGATGCCATTGCTGTAAAAATTGTATCTGGTGAAGAAATTCGAACATTTAGTAGACCTGAATATAAACGCACAAATGATCTGCTTTTGGATATACTGAAAGGAGTTGGTGGGCCTAGAGATCCAATTGAATATTTAACTGCTTGTTCATATTATATTCCTTTATAATGTCTTTTTTGCAATTTTTGATGAGCAATTAAAATAATTTTTTAGAATGTAGATTTTTCTAGTCAATAAATTCTAAAATATAAATTATTTATTTAAATAATCCTAGATTTAATGGTTATTATGAACATTTTAATTTTGTTGATGTGAGACTTTGAAATAGTTTTTTTTGTTTTTTGGGGACCATCGTAAAGAATATTGCTTTGATAAATATTTAAAAAGAGGAATTTTTGTGTTTTTTGATATATTTTTGAGGCTTATTTAAATACATAATTAAATTTTGTTTTCATATTTTTGGATAAATTTTCCCCAATTTTTAGATGGTAGAAAATAGTCAAGAAAATGAGTTGGTGGAATTGCTAGATGATGCTTTAAAGGACTTTAAAACTTTACAAAAGACAACAGATGATGATTTGGATGAATTTATGCAAAAAATTGATGATGAAGCAACAGAAAAAGCTGCACAAAAATTTGAAGGTTTTAAAAATTAATTTTAAATTTATTCTTTTATTTAAAGAAATGTTAAATCAAATGGCTGACAAAATGCAAACAGAAAATCAAGTGAATTCACCATCTTCTAATGTTCGGAATTCAAAGAACAGTAATTGGGAAAATACAAAATCTGTTTTTAATGATTTATTATTAAATAATGGAACGGAAAATGATGATCGAAAATTAGTTGAAGCATTTGCAAATTTGTCTTTTAATCAGGGAAGTACAAATGATTTAATGGAGTCATTAATTCAAACAGCTGTTTCTAAAGATGTTATGTATGCTCCTTTAAAGGTTTTTAATTTTATTTAAATTTTGAAACTTGAATAATTCTTTGATTTATTAAAAAGATTTTCTGAATAAACAATTCTCTTAATTTAAAGGAAATGCACTCAAAGTTTGGAATATATTTGGAAACAAAAAAGGATTCTCTTGATTCAGAATTGTTACGAAATTACAATGAACAATTTAGGGTATTTTTTAAAATATTTTAATAATTTTTTTATATCGTCGGGCATTTTAACTTTTCTAAAAAATGTTGAGTTTTGTTTTTCTAATGTTACATTTATGTAGTATTTTTATTTGTTACCCAAGTTCTCCTTTTGTAGAATTAAAAAATATTGATTTAAACTTTTTAAAGATTTTAACTCTTCTTTTACAACTTTATGCTGAAGAGGAATCATTGCCTTCTACCTCAACATTAAATGAAGAAACAAAATCTGCAAAGGAAGCGCGTGCTACATTAATAGCTAATTTATGGATTGAAATGCAAAATTATGGCCTTCCACCACCAGAAATTACTTCAGAAAATAATTCTGCCTCTTCAACTTTAAATGAATGCTCAATTATTTAATTGTGAAGAATCGTTAGAAAAATTTGTTCGAGCTGGCCTTTAATTTTGAATATTTTTTAGTTGGGAGGTTTTGTCAAAAATTAGTTGGAAAACTTTAATTTTTTGGTCCCTTCTCATTTCTTCTCTAATGTAAGGGTTAATAAAAAAGATCCATAAAATACTTACACTTAATCCATTTTTATATTTTGTTTATTCTTGCTCAATAATATTAATTAATTATTTTTATTTAATTTTTTGTTAATTAATTATTATTTTAAGAAGTATTTTTTAATTTAATAAATTTTTATTAGAAGTTTTTAAATAAAATTAATGAATTCACCAATTTACCCTTCATTTATTGAACGTACTTTCAAAAGTTTTACAATTGAAAATAACCCTGGAATTCGTTATTTAAAACATCCAACAGGAGTGATTATTTTAACATTAAATTCTGATCACGAATTAATTAAAAGTAAAGAAGAAACAAAAATTGTTTCAATTAGTTGGAATATTTGTGGAAAGAAAAAGGGTAGCGGAGGATTGGATAGAAGTAAAATGGAAGTTAATGGTAAAGGGAAAAAGGTATTTTTGTGAAATTATTATGAATTTGAATTTTAAAGAATTTTAAATTAACAATAATAGGGAAAAATATTGGTTCCTCTTATTTTGTCACACAAGAGGTTCTGTGGCAGTGCTGGGCTAATTTTGCGTTTCGTATCTTTCGCATATTACATCTTCCAGCGCGAAAAGTTTCGCATTTCGCTTTTTATTTTGAGATTTCCCCTAACCCTGATCTGTGGCTAAAATAAGGGAGAAATAGCGAGGGAGTAAATTGTAGGAATTAAAAAAGTTGGAAGGTGGTATGGAAGACAATAATTGTTTCAAAAATATTTGTTAAAAGCTGCTAATTTATTCTAAATAATTTTCAGGGCGGTCTTCAATTAATGCCTGATACGAGAATTTGTATTGTAAATGATTCTAATGGGTTAGTAAATTCTTTTAAAAAATTTGATTAATTTTTAGTCGGGAGCATACAATTCGTGCCGGACTTAAAGCTACATTGTTGGAAGTAAATAGTGAACGTTTAGCAATAAATCCAAATTTAATTATTGATGCATCAGACAATCATGGATTTATTGCTATTTTAATTGTAACGAATAATTGACAAAATTTTGTTTTTATTAATGTTTACAATTTTTAAAAAAATATAAAACAATGATTATTTTTAATTTAAAGGTGCTCTTTTAGAGAGGAATGAATTTACGATTTTAGCCCACTAATACACAAAAATTTAAAATTCTCTTGTTCTTGCCTGGGTAAATCTCTCCTAGAACATTTTTCCTTCTTCCCTTTTCCCCGTTCTCCTCATTTCTTCCCTGGAACGGAAGCGACGCCAATTTGCGCATTCAAAATTGAATGAATTTTGTCTGTTTCTGATGAGGGGCTACACCTACCCCCCCCCCTACCAGGCAAACACTTTTTATTTATTTATTCATCCATTTTTTCCTTAAAGTCTCTCTCCAATACAATAATATTAAGTAGTCTTTACTCTAAAAACTAGAGATCGGAATTTTGAAAAAACCGGGACCGGGAACCGGGAAACGGGTTCTGAAGGTCGACCGGGAGGGACCCGGACCGGGAAAACCGGGAATTCCCGTTCCCGGTTTCATCCCGGTCAAAAATGACCGGGACCCGGACCGGGAAATTTAAAAAAAATTTTAAATTCATTTAAAAATTTTAAAAAGTTATGGGCGTAGTTATTTATTGAAAAATCTGATTTATAAATAGAAGAATTTAATAAATCAGTAAAATAATCAATAAAACAAATGTAAATTACAAAAAATTAAAACATAAAGCGGATTAGGTAGGGCTAAAGGGATTTGAAAGGCTAGAGAATAATTGTGGGATATTAGGAGATTTTGAAGTTTAAGATCTCCCGATAGGCTCTTCAAATTTTTTATATCGCCTATAGGTATTCCTCATCTAATTCCCTTTAATCCCTGCTAATCCACCTTAATGAAGATTTAATTTGTATTTAATTTAATTTTTATTTAATCCCTCCAAATCCACTCTGATCTTCTCTGTGCAATAGTGATATCAGGGATTTAAAGAGATATCGAGAGATTCAAGTATTTGTTGGGAACATTAAGAGAGAGTATGGAGAAAGACCTCAACCACCTATATCACCTGATATCTATTCACATCCCTTCAATTGGAAGGCAATGATATCATATGATTAAGGCAGATCTAATGGATTTAGAGGGATAAAGAAGGCTAATCACCAGGTCCTTTGATAAAATCGCACTATAAACTAATTTCCCTCAACTTTTCCTCCAATAATACCTCCAAATTTCTCCGTTCCAAATTCTTCCGCGAAAATTTTGAGAATTTTGGAAGGCCAAACAGCCAAATTTCATCCTTTTTCAGCGCCGCAGGCGAAAATTTTGAGAATTTTTGTAAAATCTCCAATATTTTTAAGTCAAAAATCAAAACGCCAAGCAAAAATATTTAAAATTTGCTGCTAGAATTTTTCCCGGTTTCCCGGTCCAAAAAAAGCCGGGATCGGGAACGGGAAACGGGAAATGAAAATTAACCGGCCGGGACCCGGACCGGGAAAACCGGGAATTCCCGATCCCGGTTTCATCCCGGCATCTTCAAAAAAGCCGGGAAAAAGGACCGGGAAACCGGGAAACGGGACCGGGTCCCGATCCCGTTCCGATCTCTACTAAAAACAGTTAAACAAAGTCTACCAAAAATTATCCTCTCCCACCCAAACTGTTCAATAAAGGAGGGCACACGCAAATAATTATTTTTATTTGTTTTAAAAATTAATTTATTTACTTAAGATGTTAATTATTTAATTTATGTTAATTTTAATTTTAAACGAGACAATTTTTTTAGTATTTCCCAGAATTTTAATTTTTTTTGTTTAAAAATTTTTTTTGAAAGAGTTAAATATTTAAATATAAAATGGGTAGGAAATGAGTAAATCTCTAAGATTGTTCAATTTATTGAACAAAAGAATTTAAAAAAATGATGGCACAAAAATAGGAGAGAAAAGATTAAATATAGAGGAAAGAATTGATGTACTTTCCTCATCAACCTCTAGTAATGTTTTTTGATAATGGAGGGGAAGAATTTTTTGAATGAGAATTAGGTATTCTGTAAATAAATTCTTCCAATTTCCAATGCTAACACAGAAAAGTTATTTTTTATTGTTTATTTGTTTTTAATAATCAAAGAATATATTTTGGTTTATGTATGTCTTATAAACTAAAATTTTTGTATAAAAAATGTCCAGTATTTTAAACATAAAAACAATTTACTTTTTATTTACCCTCTGATTAATTTTTTCTGGTGTTTTAGAATAATTTAACTTAGTATTTTAAATTCTTCCAAGATTCTAATTTTGCAAACTGGATCCGGTTAAAGTTATTTTTTTATTGGGAATAATGGAACCCTCCTTTTCAGAAATTTTTTTTTAATTTAAAATTTTATTTTCCTAATATTTTTAACTTGAATCGTTATTAAAACATTAAATTTCAGATTTTATTAAAATGTTGTTTTTTGTTTTTAAAGTCGATAAATCCCCTTTAACTAACATATGTAAATATATTTATTTTGCCACGTTCTTTAATTTTATTATTTTTTAAATTAGCTTTTCGGCAAAATAAATAAACTAGTTTTTTTTTTAATTTTGCAACAATTTAATAATAATTATTTTATCGTTTATTAATTTAATATACTAAATAATTTTTTTAAATATTTTATTTCTTTCCTACTTTCACAGAAAATAAAATATAAAATTTAAATTTACTAATACTAATAATGTTTAATGGTAATTTAGAACAACAATCTATTGCAACAATAGCAGATACCCATGCTATGCAAATGGCTAATTTGTAAATACTTTCCTAAATTTATTTAAAAAATTAATTTTATTTATTCAAAGAATTCTTTCCACAAACCAACAAAACAATCACTCACAACAATCCCCACATTCTTTTTATGGTTCAGTCCCTTTAAATGGTTGTAATAATAATACAATAACGAACACCAATTCCCCATCAACAGTTGATGTACAAAGAATGCAGCAGTGGTTTAGACATAATGATACAAGTCCGTATACGAGTCCTTTACCTTCAAATGTAAGTAAAATTGAAATTATGATTTTATTTTTTAATTTTTCTGTTTTGATTAATATTTTCGATTGTGTTTTCTTTTTTTCTTGTTATTTTTGTGTTTTAATTTTTTATTTTTTCCCAAAAATCAAAATATTTATTTTTAATTCTAATTTTGGAAATTACCCTTCTCTTCTCTTTTTTTGGCTATCCAAACTACTCATTAATTACCCTTTCTCGCCTGTTTTTTTTAAATTATTTTTTTTCTGTTTTGCTTTCCAGGCTCCTTCAATTGGGGATATTTCTGGGATTAGTTTATTTACTGACAACACAAGCACTCTTACTTTAAATTCTCATTTGAGCAACAATTCAAGAATTATAAAAACTGAAAGTTTTGAAGCACCGACGGCCAGTAAATATTTGGAAACTTTTAAAACTATTTTTTCTGGACAAGATACGGTGAAGGAAGATTTTTTTAATTAAAAAATTCGTTAATTTTTAGGATATTTTTAACAGATCTTTAAAAGTTTTAAAATTATTTTTTGAAGCTGTGAATAAAAAAGGGTTGCTAATGAATAGCGATTTGAAGGATTTTCGAGAAATTATAAGGTAAATAGAAATTAATTTTAAAATAAATAAATATATTTTGTGTTTTTTAGTTTATTGCTTACAAGACTGGCTACGGCTAGGGATGATAAGGCAAGTTTTTGAAATAATAAATTAAAAAAAATTATTTTTGAATAGATGATTAATTCCTTGCTTGATAATTTGGCTTCAATTTCTTCATCTCAACATTATGTAGCTGTAAGTTTATAAAAATTTATTTTTTTAGAAGGGAGTGGAAGAAATTAAATTAACTATCAAGAAAAATTTTTTATCCAAATTTTTTTGAAGGGATAAGGATAATTTTTTGGAAAATAAAAATATTTACTCATTACCTGTTTAAATATAATTAAAAATTTTTTTTTACTTTTTAAAGGTAGTTAGAGAACAACCAATCCAAATTTTGCGTCTTTTCGTTGAATTAATAATTCGAAATGCAACATATCTACAACAATTAAACGGAAATTATTCTTCTTCTATTTCTTCTCCAAATTTAACCCAAAGAATAACCCATTTATTGAGAATTTTTTACAATACACTTTCTGAAATTCCTGACAAGAGCGAAGCTAGAACCGAACAAATGATGGCTTCTTTACTTCAATTTTTGTTAATTCAAAGCTCAAACATTAAATTCTTTTCTATGGGAATTCTTAGAGTTTTAATGCATGCAAATGAACAATTGAAGGTAAAAAATGAGAGATTTTTTATTTATGGGAGAGAGGAGAGGGAAATAAATAAAGTTTCTAAAAAATATTATTTTATTATGGATTTATTTTTAATTTTAAAGGGTTTTCTAAATGAAAACTAATAAAAAAATATTTTTAAAAATTTGTTTTATTTTAAGAAATTTGTTCTTGACCAGCGCGGATTAGAATTAATTCTTAAAATAATTTCTGAAAATCAAAATCTTCGTCTTCTACGGCAAGCATTACGTACTTTGACAACTTTAATTGATTCTAAACAACAAATATTTGCCGAACATTTTGTTCGGTTGGCGGGGATTGATGTGAGTAATTTTTTCTTGTTTTTGAAGAATTCTTCTCTAAAATTAAAAATAAATTATTCCTTTCCTTTAAATTTAAAATAATTTCCCAATTTTCTTCTTCTTTTTTTAGTTAATAGTTACTCGAATTGACGCTATCCAACCCTCGTCAGACGATTTATATCCAGCTTTACTTACTTTAAAATTAGTCAGCGATATTCCACAATTGGCTTGTATGGAGTTGGACAGAGCAGTCCATTTAGCTATTCGGGGTACTCTTCCTCCCCCAATACCCCAAACAACTAAACCTGGGGGTTGTATTTCTGCAAATGCTGTGGATACTTTTTGGAGGAATATTGTTAATTCTTTGGGCTTTTTGAGAAATGTTTGTGCTTTGAATGAACAATCTAGAGTAAATTTTTTGTTTATTTAGAATTATGTTTTAATACTTTTTTTGGGAGCCAGACATAGCGCGACGGATATATTTGGATATTTCAATGTATGAACAATCATCTTACTAATTTCGGGACCTACGGCCAAGGGTCCGGGATAGAACATTTCCTTATTCAAGAAATCGGTCTTTATGTTCTAGTACCAATGTAAACACACAAGAGGTTATTTTTCTCACAGCAATCCCGATATGTCCGTGCCGATTTTTGTTTTTTAATTAAAAAATAAGAAAATGATGAGAATATTAGAGTAAAATTTTTTCTCTTTTTTCCCCTTTCCCTTATATTTAAATACACAAATTTAAAACTTTGGGAATGAATTTTATTTTAATTATTTTATAGAATTTATTTAAAATTTTTATCATTTTCAGAGTTATTTAATTCGATTAGACGAGGGAAGAACAATATCTCATTTAGTTGAATTGGCAGCACAAAGTTTTGATTTACTTTTTTGTTCACCATCTCCCTCGTCTTCTTCTTCGTCCCCTTCAACTTCAACAACAAATACAAACACTACAACATCCTCTTCTACTCCTTCAAATGGTTTTTTGGGGGTTTTTTGGGAAAAATATTTTTAATTTTTAGTTGAACAACTTTGCTGTATTAGCTCTGAAGTTCGAAAATCTCACGTTGAAATTGGTGCCAAAAGAAGGCAAATGTTAAATACAATGTTGGATGAATGTCTTTGTTTATTGGCTTTAGTAAATAAAGAATATAATAATAATAGACAAAATTGTAATAAAATTAATGGAATGGCTAATAATAATAGAGAACAAAAATTTGCATCGAAAAAGGTAAAGAATTATCTAATAATTATTTTTTTAATTGAGGGGGAAGGTGGAGGGGAGAGGAATAAATTGAAAGAATTTTGAAGGAAAGAAAATTAATGGAAATTTATTTGGATAAAATTAAGGGGGTTTTTAGTTGGAAGATTTTAAAAATAATTTTTATTTTAAAAAAATGGGGTCAACCCCGAAGACCTACAACTTTTCTATCAACTCGCATTTTTTTTATTTCTTACATATTACTTTAGAATTTTAACCGGTGGGTCTGAGGGATCAAAGAGAAAATCCCTCCAGATCCATAGATATCACCGTTAATCCTTCCAAGTCCCCCTTTGCTTTTTTAATCTCCCAACTAAACTTGTAAAGAAATAAAAAATAAAATCTATGTTGATCAAAAAGTTGTAGGTCTTCAGGGTAATTCGGCATTGAGGGTGTAAGTCTTCAAGGGTGGACTCAAAAAAATATTAAAAAAATTTTTGTTCTAAAGTTAGCAGAAGATGAACGTGCAATGCTTCTTTATCAATTAATTTTGAGACTTGACAGAACTGAATTTCATAAAAGTGTTTTGACTGTAAATAAATAAATACAAATATTCTTTTTAATTTAAATTTTTTTAAAGAGTTTGCGAAGAATTTTGAATTCTGGTATTTCTTTACCAATAGAAAGCCGTGGAATTAAATTAGCAGAAACTTTACTTAAATATTTGTTTAGTCATAATACACAAATTGTGAGAGAATAATTAATTTTTGATTTTTAAATTTTAATTAAATTATTTTTTAGCATTTAACAAAAATAGCCGTGGAAGTTTTAATTGGATTAGTTTGTGATCAAAGTAAATTACACTTGAGTGTTATTACACATTTGTTGGGGTAAAAAAATAAATTAAATAAAAATTTTTTAAAAATTTTTTAGTGAGAATTACCAACCATTTAAATTACTCGATATTTATTCAAATAATATCGATATGTATTTAGCTATATTAAAATTAATAAAAGAATCGTGTCAAAGAGAGGTAAGTAAATATTTAATTGTGTTTTTGGTAATTCTCTTTTTTTAGCCAAATTTGAAAAGTCTTTGGTTTAATCATGAAAATAATTTAAATACTTTAAAATTGTTGAAGACTACATCGAATAATGGGGAAATTGGTAATTTTATTTAAAATGTGGCTCTAAAATAGAATATGCGTCCCATGAACTTTTATACGTCTCATGAGCATTTATGCGACCCATGAGAAAGATGCGTCCCAAAAGAGTATAACAGATGTCCGAATTATTATGGGACACAAATACCCTCACGGGACGCATGTCCTATATTATAGCCTAAAATATTTTAATTTGGAAATTTTGTATATAATTAATTTTAGTTAAAATTTGCTCAAAAATTTTTGACATGCTACAATTGGAAATGGAAGAGGTAATAAATGAACATTTCTGGGTTTTCTAGGGAAATTTAAAAATAATTTTTAGGAAGCATCAGAATCAGTTTTCTATGAGATGTTCACTCAAAGCATGGAATTAGATCAGAGCGGGATGTCATAATTTACTAATTATAAATACTAGGGTTGGACACAACCTTAGTATTAACCGGTACTCCCGGTTTTCGATTTTTATCAAATACCGGTTTTATTTTGGGGGAATTTTTAAAGAAATCACTCACTTTCATAAATTTTTGGTTTTTAAAATTTATAAAAACGGTTAATTTTTGTCAAAAAATCTCAAAAATTCCAGTTTTAAAACCTGTCGTGTCCAACCCTAATAAATACATACATACATAGTTATTCTTATCTTTTAATATACTCTAAATTTATATCAAAAAACATTTTCATGTTTTATTTGTTTGTTTTTATTAAATTACTGTTTTTAGCCTCAATTTATATTTGCATTTTTTGTTTGAATAAATTCTCTATTAATATTTTAGAAATATTCGAAATTTTAGATAAATTATGTTAAATTGTTGCAAGTTTATTTTTAAACATGTGTGTGAATTTTTTAATTTTTTGTATAGACATTTCTTTCAAAACTATTAAAGAAAGATAGAATTTCAAAGTAATTTTTAGTTTAAAAGTAAAAGAGTAGGTAAATTAAAGAGACTGGCTGAGAAAACGATAAAAATGTTAAAAAATGGAGATGAGTAATTTTTTTAACTTTTTCTTTTTTACAATAATGAAACAAAGAAATTTATCTAAAATTTTTATCATTTACAAATCTAGTAAATGTTCTTTTTATATTTAATTTGTTTCTGCGCGACCAAACAAAGAAATATTGATTTTTTGTTTTTAATTGGGATTTTTATTGTACAGTTTTTAAAATCATTTGTCATCTTTTTTTGAAAATATTTTAGCTAAACATTTGTAGAAAGAGAGAGGTAATTAAAGAAATAAAAGAGATATTTGCATATTAAATGCAAGAATCTGATTTATATCAACAACAACAACCAACAAATAATGTAGTAGTTAATAATGGAGTTGGTGAACAAACATCGAATTCAACAGATTCTTCTGGAGAATTACGTTCTTTGGTAATTCGTTCAGAATGCCGTCAAGGCGATGTTATCACGTTAGATTTAAATTTCTCATTTTTTTAATTTTAATATTTAATTTTAGGCCTCACAGGGCGGTACTTACTCTTTCGAAAAGTATGTTCAATGCAGGTTGTTTTTCATTGCCTTATGCCTGGATGCTTGGCGGAAAATGGGTATTTTCTTTTAATTTTTTGGAGGTCTCCATTCCTGTATTGTCCTCTATGGTGAATTCAGAGCAGACGGCCAATTTTTTTTCTTTCCAAATTCCACCAGATTTCAAAACGTTTCGAACCTTTAACCTCATTTTAGGTATCTTTTATTCTCACTGTTGTTATTGCTGGTTTTAATTGGTTTGGGAATCATATATTGGTTCGTTCTTCACAACATCTTGCAAAAAAGTTTAAAATTACAAAATTCCTTCATTTTTTTATATTTTTTCAGAACGGGTGTTCCAAGCCTGGATTATGGACATTTTGCAAAACGGGTTTGTGACAAAAGCGATATACCTTTTTTGAGGAGTAATAGCAAAAGAATAATGTAAATTGTTTTTTTTTGTTTAATTTAAAAATATATTTTTTAAGGTATATTGTTAATATTACCATTCTTTTTTACCAACTTGGTTTTTGTAATTTTCTTTAAATAAATATTTTTAAAATATTTTAAGGAATGTGTTCAGTTGCAATACTTTTTATTGCTGAAAATTTAATTCATTTGTTGGGATGGTTGTTAGGGTCTTCGACAACGATTATGGCAACAATAGGTTTTTAATAGAGTATTTTTTGTTAATTTAATTTTTTAGCAACAATTTTTATAATGGCAACAAATATGTTTACTGAAATGCGGGTTATTAGTCTTTTTGCAATGATTTCTTCTGTTTTCTTTTTACTGGGAGCTGGTGTTATAATGCATTTTACTTTACAACAACCAAGTCATTGGAGTGAATTACCTGCTTCCACGAATTTTGCTGATACAGTTGAATATATTTCCGAAAGTTGCTATTTTAAAATTTTAGATAATTTTTATTGGAATGTCTATGTACGCTTTTGAAGGCCAAACAATGATTTTACCTATTGAAAATAAATTGGACAACCCCGATGATTTTCTTGACAATTTTGGTGTTCTTCCAACAACAATGTGTCTTTGTACTCTTTTTATGACGGCAATTGGATTTTTTGGTTATAATGCATTTGGAGATAAAGTTGCTGAAACTATTACTATTAATGTGCCACATACTGGGTAAATTTTGAATTTTTAAGTTTATTAAATTCCTCTTCTCATTTAGTCTTTATTCTGTTGTGAATGTATTTCTCTGTGTTCAGTCAATACTTGGTCACTCAATTGCAATGTATGTGGTTTTCGACATGTTTTATAAAGGATTTCGACGAAAGTTTAGCATTCGGTTTCCAACTGTTTCTGATTTTGTGAGAAAATACCTATATTTTTTATTACATTTTTAAATAATTTTAGGTAATAGACAAAGGCTTTAGATTCTTTTGGGTATTTATTACTTATTTAATGGCTGTGCTTATTCCTCGTTTGGCGGTTTTAATTCCATTAGTTGGTGTTACTTCTGGAACGCTTTGTGCTTTAGTATATCCACCATTCTTTCAAATAATTACTTTTTGGGAGGATTGGAAGGTAAACTTTTTTAAAAATTTTGAGAAATTAAAAATAATTTTTAAGCTAAATTTAACTCGAAGAGAAAGATATTTTTATATTGGAAGAAATATTTTTGTCATTTTACTTGGCTTTTTTGCAATCATAGCAGGGATTTCAGCCAATATTATTCAAATAATGAATCTAAAAGTAAATTAAAATATAATTAAATGTTTGAAAAGAAGTGCCTTTTTGTTCTTTTTTTGTCTGTATTCGATGACTAACTAATGGCTATTAACACAACGATTATATATTTATTTGTTACTTTTTTGAAAAAAAAGCTTTTTCCCTTTCGAACTGGTTTGATTGACATTAATTGTTATATTTTGGTGAAAAATAAATACGGACAGATTTTTTTCTCTGAAGAATTTTAAAATTCATTTAAGTATAATTTATTTTAGTCGAAAGGTAAATCTGTAAGAAAATGTAGTTTGGAACCAAAAGCAATCTACTTGCATAATTTAATGTCAATCTTGAAACCTTCACAGTCCTTTCCAATGCTTTTACTTATTTTTTAATTTTTTAAAATGTTTTGATAAATTTTGATTAATCATTTTTATAATTCTGTTTAAAGATTTGTTTCCATCATTATAGTATTCTTTTTTGTTTTTCTAATTCATATTTTAGAACTTTAAGGATTGTTAAATTAATGATAATATTTAAAATGCAGAATGAATAGAACAGCAAATTCAGGTATTCGTTATTTTCCGCCTAAAGTGGAAAAGCAACAAAGAATTTCCTCGAAAAAGCTTACAATTAATATTGACTTGGTAACTAGTTTGGTTAAAGAATTGGATTTTTGTATTGATAAAGCTGTGGAGAGATATTTTGGTGATATTTTGGAAAAAATAAGAATTTTGTTGGAGAAACAATGTGACGGTAAGGATTTGTTCATTTATTTACTTTTATTTGGTTAAGGCTAAGATTGAAATTTAATTTTAATTGACATTCTAATTTGGTCATAATAAGGATAAATTTTAGGACAGATTCCATCAATGGTTCTTTCCGGCCACTGTCTTGACTGGACAACCTTTATTCGTTTACTTAATGAATTAATTCCAAATATTACTATTAAAAAAGCAAAATCTTCTGATATTTGTAAAATTTTTGATGAAATTGAAGAAGACAAGTTAATTTTATTTTTGGAACATGATGGTTCTGATTATTTATTTTTCAAAGAATTCATTGAGAAAATTAAAGAAATGAGGTTAATTATTTTTAATTTTTTATTAAAATAAAGATTTTTAAAATTAATTTTAGAGTGTCAACTTATTTAATATTTCTCACTTCAATTTCATTTTCATCAGTTTATGAAAAAATGCCTCGTCGTGTTGCAATTCACCTTCGTCTTTCCAATGCTGCATTCCACCCATTTGACGCCTTTCTACGGGTACTTTTTGAGGAAACTCTTCCATTTTGTTTTCTCCACTCAAATGGCGTTTTAATTAAAGCTCCGACTCAACGGCTTTTTGAAATGGATAATCGATCCCTGAATAGTGTACGGAAGTCTTTACTTTTGGCTCTTTGTTTTTATTCAACTCTAAACAGAAAACCTCCTACAAAGGTTTGTTATACCTTTTTTATTCTGTGAAAATTTGCTTTGAACAATTTCTCAAACTAACTGTCTTAACAAATTTCGAGTTTGAGATCATTAAAAGCATTCTCAATGTTTTGACCACCATAATTACTATATTTTCTTTCACATTTTAGAAAGAACTTATTACTATTCAAACCCAAATGAAAATTTATTCTTCTCTTCTTGGTTGGTTTTCTATAATTTTTTGTGTTAATGGAGGGAAAACTGCATTACATTGCAAATTACAAAATGACTCGGAATTCTTCAAAACATTATTAGAGTATTTTATTTTGGCAATTTTAAAAATAAAATTTTATTTTTTAGCAAACTTAAATCATCTTCTAAAAGTTGGACGAAAGATAACTGGAAAGGAAAGTTACAATCATTATTATTAATATTGCAACAATTGGGAGCAGAACTTGAAAGAGAACGTGTCAATTGTAAACAACTCATAAATAGTTTAGAAAATCATAATAAATTGAACGAGGAAGTGGAGAATAATGCACCTGATTCTGAAATTGGTATTTAATTTTAATTTGAAAATTTTTAATAAATATTTCAACAAGGCAGAAAAAAATTCCCTACATAATTCATCTTAAAATATTTCAGTTAATTCTACAAAAAATGATGGCAACCCTCGATTATCTAGAAGTCGTTTCCCAATCAGAAAATCTCTAAACACCTCAACCTTTTTATTGCAAAGAGAAAAAGATTTAAAAAGGCTACGTAATCCATTATCGGACACTTTATATAATGAATTGTTAAATTATTTGAATACTTTATTTTTGGATAGATGCGTGGTAAATTTATTTAAAAATGCTTAATTTTTTTAATTTTATTTTTAGCAACAAAAATGGAAATTTATCGCTGAATACAATTTTATCGATGCCGATAATTGTTTTTCTGCCTCCTTAAGTCCAGCACTTTCTGCTCAAATCGACTATCAATTAGGAGAGATTTCAAAATATGAATTCGAAAAAGTTGGACAAAAACAGCAGCAGCAATTAGATATTTGTTTAGTTTATGGAATTTTAGTTCAACATGGAATTGATAAATCGGCAATTCAATTGACAAAACTTTTTGATAATTTTTATGAATTTGCACCAGAAATAGATGGAATGGAATTTAATGCACGTTTTATGGCTGCTATTGCTCAGGTAATTTTTTTGTAAAAACTGTGGATATAAATTTACCTAAAAATGACTTTTGGGCCTTCTTTACATACGACACGAATTCTAATCTATTTACTATTACCGGTCCTGAAAATGTAAATACAATAAAATTCCTTTGTTAAATTTTTTTCTTTAAGTTAGAATATATTGGAGCAGTGAAACAAATAAGTGAAGGAATCGTTCGTTTAATTTACTTGCCGGTTGCAACTTTTACTCAGGATCTCTACAAAACTACTTGATTCACTTACTCAAAATTTGTGTCTTTCATCAATACATTCCAAATTGAATTAATTTTTTTATTTTTGAGTCGCAATTTGTTAATTGATTAAAATTTGAAAAATATTTTCTATTATTTTAAATTGATTTTTATCATAGAATATTATTTATTTTTTAATTTTATTTAAAAAAATTTATAATTAAATAGAATATGAGTACACATTCTCAAAGCAATGGTGAAAGTATTAGCATTGTTGATGGTGATGAGGCATTGAAATCTCAAGGAGGCGTGGATGTTACTGAAGATAAATTGGTTTCAATTAGTTCTGTCAGCTCTTCGGCTGATGATCGAAGTGTTGGAAATAGTACTGATGAAGATGTTCAAGGTTTGGTGATTTGGAAGGGAAATTCGGATGTTGTCGAAAGAGTTTAGGGTTTCCAATGGGCAAATCATTTAAGAGTTTACTTTTCGTATCTTCAAAAATTCTTTTGGGATTATTCGCAATTCAATTTATAAATTAATTCATTTTTAGCGTGTTCATTTTTAAATTTAGACAATGCTGATTTAGAAGAACGTGAAGAATTGTTGGCTACTGGTGATGAGCTTCAAGAGACTGATGTGGAATTGATTGATTCTGGTAATGAAGTTTCTCTGTTAGATGAGAAACATGAGGCTGCCCGTGGACGAGCTATTTCTCGACTTATTGGATTTAGTTTGGTTTTGATTATAGTGCCGTTAACTGCGATGTACTTGTCATATCGATTTATTTTTACTGGTAATTTTTATAAAAAGATTAGTTTTATTATTTTGGTAGCAACAAGTATTTTCTTTTGGACAAAAAATAGCTAAAAAAATTCAAAAATATATTTAATATTAATTCCTTTTATTAAATTAATTTAAAGATTATTTCCATTTGCCTCGTGACAAAGCTGTTTTGTATGGTGGACTTGTTGCTGCTGCTTTAGTTTATGTTATTTTGGGTTTGTTTGCGTGGATTGCTTATAAAGATGAACAACAAACAGAAATAACTGATGATAAAACTAAAAACGTGGAAAGTAAAAAAATTGATTAAAAATAAATTTTATTGATAGGGGAGTTAAATATATTGTTTTTATTAAATAAATTTTCAGAACAAGTTGCGAAATATTCTTATATTTAAAATGATTTTATGACTCCACCCCAGAGTATCGACACCCAAAGTATCGACACCCAGAGTATCAACACCCAAAGTATCGAATGACCCAAAGTATCGACACCCAAAGTATCGAATGACCCAAAGTATCGAATTTTTTAAACTTCATAATTAAGTATTTCAAGGACGGGGAAGTCTTTTTAACATAGGGAAATTGTTCCAACAATGGATCAAACATCGATCATGATCAATATGTCCAATCAAAGAAGAGTGATCGATCTCCAAGTAGAATCTTGTTCGGTCTCTATGCTCAGTTCGTTCGAAAACACAATTCCCCGATGTTAGAACATCATGCCCGATCATTGGAATACTTAATTATGAAATTTAAAAAATTCGATACTTTGGGTCATTCGATACTTTGGGTCATTCGATACTTTGGGTGTCGATACTCTGGGGTGATCCCGATTTTATAAACCTCAAGGTTATTATAAAAAATGTGTTTATTTCCTTTGATTATTTTTTTTGGTTTTAAAGTCTTTAATTTATCTATAATTGTATTTCGCATTTCTCTTTGTCTCGCCTTAAATATGTAACTTGTGTCCCTTTTTAAGAATTATATATTCCACGACAAATTTTTCTTTGAAGAAAAAAGCGCATATCCAAAAATATAAAAGAAAATATATTTTAGAGAAAATTTTTTGATTTGCCGAAATATTAAAATAATTTTACATTTGGAATTAAAATTAAATTAAAAACATTTTTAAATGAAAGCTTTTTTCATTTTTAAATTTCAAAAATTAAATCATTTTTATATTTAAAAAAGCAATTTCTTTTAACTTGAATCATCTCGTAATTTCTTTCTCTTCGAGTAGTAAATTTTTAATGCATAAATTTATTTGATTGACAAAAGATTTTAATTTTATTTGTTTTTACAAAATTATTTGAGTGAAATTAGAATGTTTTTTTAAACTATTAATTAATTAAAAGGAAAAATGTCGGCATCTGAAGTTATTCCAAATCTTCGAAATCCAGTAGTACAGAAACGAATGAAAAGTTTATTTACTTATAGTTTTTTGATTTTGCTACTTCCTTTGGGTTCAATGTTTTTACTTAAAAATTTTGTGTTTGAAGGTAATTCTTTTAAATTAAAAGTTGTTTTCAAAGTATCCCTCTTAAGGAAGATAGTTTATATCCGAGGGGATTTTTTGAAACTGAAATAAATTTGGGAAAGTATTTGTTCTGACATGAGCTAATTAAGTAAAATTTAGGATATTTTGGAATGCAAAGTCGTGATTCTATGCTTTATTCAGCAATTGCAGCTGTTTTAATGGTACATGTAGTTTTGGGGTTGTGGATTCATGCAGCTTGGGATGAAGGGAAAGAATCTGCAGAATTCGAAAAGGAAGACTAAAAATTAGTAAATAGAGGCAATAATTAAATCTCTTGTCACTTGTAAATAAAAATTTTATATTCACTTTAATATTTCTTTAAATAATAAATATTAGTATTGTAAAGCATATAGCTATTAATTTCCTAAGGCTGAGCAGTAGGCGGCGTGGTGTAATGGCTAACACATCAGTCCGGTCTACTGAAGATGCTGGTTCGCTCCCAGCCGCCGAATAACCTTTTGCTCTAGCTAAAGGAGAGAAATAGCTATACCCCAGCTGCTTTACTGTATATTAAAAATATTTTTTAAAAACAATTATTTAAATTTGATTTTTATTTGTTAAAAATTTTAATTTTTAAAAATTTTTATAATTTTAGTAATTTTTAGTTTTTTTTCAATGGCTTCCATTACAGCAGAAAAATCTTTGAGTGGATTAGCTGGTAAAATTAAAAATAATCCTGATTAAAATAATTCTGATTTTTTGTTTTTAATTTTAGCTCCAAAGGCAGCCAGTAGGCGGTTAGATGATGCTTTTGGAGGTGGTGGGGCTATCGAAAATGAAGATGAATTTGGTGCTCATGATTATAGAAATGAGATGCAACTTAAAAAAGACCATTCTTCCAGACCTCTTTGGGTAGCCCCTGATGGACATATTTTCTTGGAATCTTTTTCCCCTGTTTATAAACACGCCTCCGATTTTTTGATTGCTATTGCTGAGGTTTTTTGAAATTTTTAAAAAATTTCTTTTATTCTTAAAAGTTTAAAAAAAAATTATTTCTTTAGCCAATTTGCCGTCCAGAATTTATTCACGAATATCAATTGACTGCCTACTCCCTTTATGCTGCTGTCTCAATTGGATTACAAACTGGTGATATTATTAAATATTTGGACAGATTGTGCAAAACTTCGTTGCCTGAAGGAATCAAAAAATTTATTGAAGTAAAGGAAAATTTTTTTAAATAATTTTTTTTTTATTTTTAAGGCTTGTACTTTAAGTTATGGAAAAGTAAAATTAGTTTTAAAAAAGAACAAATATTTTGTGGAATCTAGACATTCTGATGTTATTCAACGTTTACTTAAAGATTCGGTTATACAAGAATGTTTAATAAATACTGGAGAAGAATTAGTTTCTCAATCGTCTAGTAGTGGGGATGTGACACAGAAAATGATTAAAATAAACATGTTGGATGAACAACAAAATCAAATTCAATTTCCAACGTAAAAAAAAGATTTTAAATAAAATTTTATTTTATTTTTTAGTTCAAAATTAAATGAAGAAAATAAAGCAAACGAAAAAGACAAAACAAATTTATTATTACAAGATAAACAACAACAAAAGGATATTGAAGAAGAAGATAATTTTTATGGAAAATTAACTGAAGAGGAGGATGACGAGGAAACTGAGGCTTTGAGAAGTTTGGAAGTTTTGGCTTTTGAAAGTAATTAATTAATATTTTTAATGGACAAAAATTGAATAGGAAAAATATTTTTTAAAATAATCTTTAAAAGTTTTTGTAGTATTAGAATAGAAAATTAAGTGAAAAACTATTAAATTAATTGGGAAAAGCTATATTTTCACGGTGATGGGGTTTCGTTGATTTTAGCTACAGGGGGGGGGGTTCTGGTAAGAAAACCTCACCTATCCCGGCGAATCCCCGTGAACGGGCGTAAAATATCAGTCCATTTAACTTCATAAAAAATAATTTTGTCTAAAATTTATTTTTAAAAGTTCGTCAAGAATGTATTGAAATTGTGCAAAAACGCTGTATTGAATTAGAATATCCTTTACTTGCTGAATATGACTTTAGAAATGATACAAACAATCCAAATTTAAAAATTGATTTAAAACCGGCAACAACCTTAAGGTAAAAAATAAAGAAATATTCTTTTTTAAAAATATTTTTAAAGGCCTTATCAAGAAAAAAGTCTAAGAAAAATGTTTGGAAATAGTAGAGCCCGTTCTGGAGTAATTGTATTACCTTGTGGGGCTGGCAAAACACTTGTTGGGGTTACTGCAGCAACAACTATAAATAAACGATGGTAAAAAGGAAGGAAAGAAATTATTTTTAAAAATAAATTTTTATTTAAAGTTTGGTTTTAGCAACAAGTAATGTTAGTGTTGAACAGTGGAGAGCACAATTTAGGGTGAAATAAAAATTTATTTTGATTTTTTAAAAAATATTTATTTTAGCTTTGGTCAACAATTCATGATAATCAAATTATTAGGTAGAAAAAAGTTTTTTTATTTTTTTAAAAAGTATGTGAATATAAAATATAAAAATAAGAATAAAATTATTTTTCCTCACAATTTTAATAAAATATTAAACAAAATAAACCCTTTTTATTCAAATAAATAGATTTACTCGAGATGCCCGTGATTCAGTCCCAACTGGAGCAGATGCTCTTAAACCAACAATTTGTATAAGTACATATTCAATGGTTGCTTATACAGGAAAGCGTGCTTATATGGCTGAAGAAGCAATGAGATATATTGAAGGAAATGAATGGGGATTGCTACTTTTAGATGGTAAAATATTAAAAATTATTTGAGAAAAATAATTTTAAAAAAGAGGTCCATACAATTCCTGCAAAAATGTTTCGTCGAGTATTAACAATAGTTAGAGCCCATTGTAAATTAGGGTTAACAGCAACGCTTGTTAGAGAAGATGATAAAATTACTGATTTAAATTTTTTGATTGGGCCAAAAATATATGAGGCTAATTGGATAGAATTACAAAAAGCTGGGCATATTGCTAGAGTACAGTGTGCCGAGGTGTGTTTTGGGTACAGAAAAACATTTTTTTTAATTATTTTTAGGTTTGGTGTCCAATGACTGCCGAATTTTTTGATTATTATTTAAAATCAGCAATTAATAGAAAATTATTATTAGCAGTTATGAATCCAAATAAATTTCGTTTTTGTCAATATTTAATTAGATTTCATGAAAGAAGGAATGATAAAGTAAACACAAAAATACCCTTTTTATTTTTATTTAAAAAATTTAAGATAATTGTTTTCTCAGACAATGTTTTTGCTCTTAAAAAATTTGCCATTCAAATGAATAAACCTTTCCTTTTTGGACAAACTTCACAACAAGAACGAATGAAGATTCTTCAAAATTTTCAATACAATCCACGTGTTAATACAATTTTTGTTTCTAAGGTGATTTTTTTGTAAATTAATATTTTGTTGAAAAAATATTGTTAATTTATGAGGGATTTTTGTCTTCGTAATTAAATAATTTTTGGAAAAATTTGAAAAAAATATTTTGAATACTTTTAACAGATTTTTCTTTTCTCCAATTTTTCTCTCGATACATTTTCCCTTCCCCCTTCAACTAACAACATTTAAAAAAAATTTCTTTTTCTAGGTTGCAGATACTTCCTTTGACTTACCAGAAGCTAATGTCCTTATCCAAATAAGTGCCCATGGTGGAAGTCGAAGACAAGAAGCCCAAAGACTTGGACGTATTTTACGTGCCAAAAAGCTTAGTGCAGATTTATTTAATGCCTATTTTTATTCTCTTGTTTCACAAGATACCGTTGAAATGGCTTATTCCCGGAAAAGACAACGTTTTTTAGTTAATCAGGGATATGCTTATAAAGTTGTTAATGAATTTCCGGATATGGCAAAGGAACATTTAGATTTGGGGCCGAAGGATGAACAATTAAAACTTTTAAGTCAAGTTTTACAAGCATCAGATATTGAAACATTGGAAGAAGATACAAAAGATGAATTAAATGATGGAATTCAAAATAGAGTTTGAAAAGGAATTAGAAAAAATTTTTTTAAAAATTATTTTTAAGGCAATTAGAAAAGATGTAGATATTTCTGCATTTTCTGGTGCTAATTCTATTAATTATTCAACACAACAAAGAACTGGAGGAACTAGTAAAAGAAATGCTGATGAAAGACATCCACTGTTTAAACGTTTTAGAAAATAATATTTTTTACTAAAATATTTTTATACATTAATTTTTTTTAATTTTATAAAGAATATTTTGGTTAAAATTAGGTTTAGAAAGAGCTTAAATGTTAACAAAGGTTTAAAATAGAAATGGGAACCATCAGGAAATTTTTGAGATTGAAATTTTGTAAAAACCGATCCCAAGAAGTTGAAGAAAACCGGAAGAGCCTAACCGACTGAGTTGGTTAATAAACCAAGGAATTGGAAAATGGACAAAATGTCTATAAAATTTACAAAATTTATACGTGATTTAAAATTTCTTTTCATTCAATAGAGAGTCTCAGCATCTCTGCAATACTTTCAAAAGAATCCTTAATCAATTTTTAACATGTAAATTATTAATTTTAATTTGATCAAACACATTCAATCACAAAAACCCCAATACATAATTTACTCGAAAAAAAAAAGACAAGAAAATACATTATTACAACAGGATTTTACTACAATAAATGGTGTTATTCTTTTTAGATTATCGCTTATGAATATATACTTCCTTCATTTATCAGCTTCTATTGCCGTTGGGATATCGTCATTATTAGCAGGCAATTCAGGCACCTCAGTTCCGGCTGGATTAGCAACCAAAGCAGGACTATTACTGCTAGCCAATAAGTTTTCTTCGCTAAAACGATAAGTGTATTTTAGGAATTTTGTGTTAATAATTAAAGACTCTCACCTTGGGGCAACTCTAGCGGTTGAGACATCATCCCACTCGAGGGCGCTGACTGTCCTTGACACAGCTGCAGTACTGTGCTCGTCTTCAGTCGGTGGTGGCGAACGAACACGGGCCGAACGTGTGGAAACCAAATCTGACTCTAAAAAGAAGGAAAAAATCGGAGCAGTTCAACTGAGTCCGCACGATTGAGTCCCCACGATTGAGTCCGCACGATTGAGTCCCCACGATTGAGTCCCGGCACAATTGAGTCCCGGCACGATTGAGTCCGCACGATTGAGTCCCCCTTGTATATACCTCAATTGAGTCCCCGTGGATTTAATTATATTAAAAAGGATTAAGAGGGATATCGGGGGATTTTTAGAGATTAAAGTGAACATCAGGGGACTTGTATTCGACATCGAGGGATCAAGTTGTATATCGGTGGATATGGAGGGATTTAATGCAAATTTAAACTTTTAAGGGTGATATCGGTGTATTAAGGTAGATATCAAGAATTTGGATGGATTTCTTGATTTTTTTCTTCCTCTCCCAGCACTACATTATCCTCGTTACTGATGGTCTCCCTTGCAATTTAATGAAGTTCACGGCGCGAATCGACGCCCCCACTGGTTCGTCTTCGGCTAGCTCATATTTCTCGACGATGATGTCCCGCTGCGAGTCATCAATGCTATCCGGCAGATGTTCCGCGCTGAAGCTTTGCTCTTCCACATTGATGGCCGTTGTACCCGTAGTGCCCATTTGGACATGTTGAGAAGCGTATAGATTTGTAAAGAAAATTGAAGAACTAAAATTTAGAAAAAATGAAAAAAAAGATAAAAATATCCTAGGATTTGGAGGGATTAAAGCTAATAACAAGGGTGCACACCAACTGTAGGATCTCAGAACCAATTTGCCGACATTTATTTATAAAAAATTAGAAATTTCAAAAAATTTTTAAAAATTCAAAAAAATTAAAAAAACTTGTTTAATCTCAATGCTGAAGTAAGGAAACATGTATTGCAAGCTGATACTGTCAACTAACTACGCCCCACAACATTTTTGAAATAATCCCGCATGCCGGATATGGAAATTTTAACTTATTAAATCCACGGGGACTCAATTGAGGTATATACAAGGGGGACTCAATCGTGCGGACTCAATCGTGGGGACTCAATTGTGCCGGGACTCAATCGTGGGGACTCAATCGTGCGGACTCAATCGTGGGGACTCAATCGTGCGGACTCAATTGAGGTGTACCGGGAAAAAATAGCTAATTTAATTTTAGTCAAATATAAAACTGACCAGGGACAGAAAGTCTACTTTGACTTCGCATAGCTTCGAGCAATTGATCAACCTCGTAAGGATCCAACTGAAAATTTTTTATTCAAACTTACTCAAAAAGATTCTTATCCTACCTCCTGATCTTTAGCAGCGTTTTCTCGAGTTCTACTCAGTTCTGTATGGGTACTGTCAGAATCCGTCCTGGAATCGGTTTGCACAGTTACGTCAGATGAGGTTTCTGATGTTTGATTGGTATCACTGTCACTAGTCAATGACAATGATCTTGCGGCCTCCGCCTCCGTTGCCGCCTCTCTGCTCTCTTCACTGCTGCTACTAGATGGAGTAGGATTCACATCTCGTTCCGCCTCCCCAAGTCGTTCCCGCTCAGCTTCTGCTCGCCGCTCCCGTTCAACGATTTGATCAACCTGTTGCGAAACAACTTGAATTGCCTAAATTTGTAAAAAGATTTTTAGAGAAGTTTAAAAAGTAAACAAACACACCTCTGCGAGGCCGTGAAGCAGATTAGATAACACCTCCATAGACGAAGATGGCTGAGCACGTTGAGCAATGTTGAATTGAAGACACGAGCAACGAAGTAAGTTGACTGATGTGAGTGAGTAATCTGACGCGTATATTAGGTTTAGGGACAACGCTTTTATAGTAAAACATTTCCTGTTAGCATAATAAACAAATTTACACAAACATCGGCTGCAGTGTAGTGTATCGGTGTTAAAAGTTCGGGACGTAAATGTTATTCAATTCGTCTCGACGAGCTGAGTCGAACAGCACCACTCCCTACTTTAGGAAATGATTCTTGACCGAGTTATAGGCCTCGAAAAATTGACATACCATAAGAGGAAGTAAGCTCGATTTTGGGGTGATTCCCATTAATGCTGCTACACCGACGCAAATTAGATGGCAATTAAATATTACAATACTAATTTTAATTTACCAGTTTACTTACTATATTAAAAAATTTATTTTAGGTCTATCTGAATTTTATTTTTAAAAATATAATAACAAAATAACAATTTTTTCCAAAAATTCAACAATTAATTTTTTTCATCTTCACTTCCTTTAACAACAAAATCTTGTTTAAATATAAATTCTTTAACATATTCATTACTTTGACAACTATTTTTGCAAGTAAATATTAAAAGAGTTGCCTTAAAAAATAATTTTTTTAATTAAAAATTAATTCCTAACCCAATCTAAACTTTGTCCACCAACAGAGTCAATATCAATTAAAGAAAGTAAATAAGGCATTAATTGAAATTCAAATTGTCTAGGCCCTCCACACAATTCACAATTAGGTATTAAATTTGGAGAAGAAGAAAAATCTGTTGCCAAAATAAAATGTCCACCCCTTTGATAACGCAAAATCTGTTTTGATTCTTGTTGAATTATTTTAGTAAAATTATTAAATGCTAAATCTTCTTTTTCTTCTTCAATTTTATTTAAATCATCTTCAATTGTTTCTTCATTTTTATTTTCTATATTTTCATTTTCTTTTGCAATCATTAAATCCTAACAAAAGAAAATTTAAAAAAGAAAAGGCCCTTCTTGTTTTCAACTACAAATCGTGTAACCCTTTGTTTGGTAAAGGTTAAATATTGTGATAAATAAAGAATTAGAGAGAATAAACTAAGGGTGTGTTCACTACCGGTGGTACCCCCGATTTTTGGTTAATCCAAATTAAAAAACGGTTTTCGGTTTTGAGTTTTAGACAAATACCGGTTTTATTTTGAAGGAATTTTTAATAAAATCATCCATTTTCGGTTTTTTAAATTTTGAAACAACGGTTAATCTTGGCCAAAAAATATCAAAATTTTCGGGTTTAAAACCGAACGTGAGCAACCCTACTTGAACCCCTAAAAACTTGAAAGAGAAAAATACCTCCAATTTCTTTCTTTTTTCTTCTTCATTTTCATCCTCCTCCATTTTATTTTCATCTTCATCATCATCACTATTCTCCACAATTTCTTCCTCCTCTCCAACAACCATTTCAATTCCATATTCTTTAAAAGTAAATCCCTGTTTTTCTCGAAGTTTTGCTTTTTCGGCACAAGTTAACAAATCTTTTAAAAATAATTTTTAAATAAAAATTAATTAAAAAATATAAAAATTGCCTTTCTCATCTGCACCACATTCTTCTCTATGGCCTGTTTGCCAATCCTTTAAAATAAAAAAATAATTTTTAATTAACATCAGAAAAAAATTTTTTTTTAACTGTTATATACAGAAAAGTTTTGTGTAACGTATGAAATAATAATTGTTAGGGGTTTTTACTCAAATTCAATATTTAAAAATTAAATTTCCTTACAATTATTTGATGATTCCTCGAACAATACATTCTTTTTGAACATTTAGAGCATCTCTTCCCAGCCCGGCATCCACAAACAACACAAAGCTTAGGAAAAGTTTCAGAATTAAAAAAAGGGTCAAAAGAAGCTGAAGAAGTGGAAGGTAAAGGTGTTGGCCCATCAAAACTATAAAATTGATTGTCTCGGGGTAATTGACAACGAAAAACAGAAAAATTAGAAGAATCATTTGGCTTTAAAAAATTTTTTTTAAAAATTAAATAATTTAAAGAAAAATACATTTGCACATCCTTTTCGACAAGCAAATAAATAAAGAACACGATGAAAGGCATGTGAAGGTTCTGATGAATTTGTGCAATATATTTGTAATAAAAAAGCCATGGGTGAGTGGCATACCTAATTTTTTGTTAAGATCCAGATTAAAATTTAAAATGTCAATTATTTTATATTTTATTTAGAGGTACATATAAACAAAATATTATTGCTCACCCCAACCCTCTATATATTTAAAAGCCCTAAATCCACTGGATTTGGAGGTTTAAATGTAAGCCTTCAAAAGAAACTAACCAAACATTCCAAATCTTCACTTTGAGGAATTGTCACTGGATTTAGCCACGCAGGAAATCCACCAACTTTACCTAAAGGTAAATATTGACGTTCAAGTTTGTAAATATCATCAGGTTCCAACTTTGTTGCTACACCAAAAAATACAGGAGAGGAAGGCAAAACAGAATTAGACATCAAAAAATTAGAAAAATTTTTAAAAAAACTTATAAAAATATTTAAAATACCCAAATAAAAAAGTTAAATTAAAAAATAAAAAAAACAAATTTAACAACTTTATTTATTTTCTTTCAATACTTTTAATTCAACAACACAATTTTTATAAAATTGATATCAAAAAATAACTTTTCTTCTTCTTTTCAAATCTCTTAACGTTTCACAGCAACTTGTGCTTTAGGTGCCTTAGGTTGTTTGCTAGTCTTCACTTTTGGTTGCTGAGCGGCTTTAGTCTGAAATATTTAAAAAGTTACTAAACCCGGATTAACGACTAAACAAAAATATCAAAGAAATAAACTATCCCTTCTGTATTATTTTAATTTGTCTGCTCAATTTTACCCGCAAATATCAAACAATTCTGAAATTTGCAATTTGTAAAATTTATTCATTTATATTTTTGCATTGTTCCGACACGCGATTGAAATATAAAATCAACAAAAGCGTTATAATACAATGCCCTCTTATTTCTTAAATTAATTTTAAAAAATTAACCAATTTAACAGCCTTTCGCTTAGTTTCTTCCTTCTTAGCGCGCACAGCTTCTTTAGCCGCCTTAATTGCAGCCTCGCGTTGTTGCTTTCGAAATTCCGGTTTTTGGTTACGTTGTGCCAATAATGCTTCAACAGTCATATCAGCAACAGGACGAGAAGTAGCATGAACAGTACGTTTAACACGTTTCTTCTGCTGACCTTCATCGGCATGAATTCCCTAAAATGAGAAAATATAATTATTAAAAGTTACAAAAGGAAATGATAGAAATTGTTAAACCATTTGGAAGAGAAATTGGCTATTAAAAAGCCAGATCCCGGAAATTTAGGTTTGATTAATTTAGCGCATTTTACCTTTTCGATAATACCAAAAGTTTAGGTAAATCAAATGCTACATGCGCAAAAAGAAATAAAAATGTGACCACTTGATAAACTAAATATAAAATTGCATGATAATAGGGACAAGAAACTAAACTTTATAGTAATTCAATTATAATACCAAAAATACACTTCAATAGAAACCCTATTTAATCAACCGGTTAAATTTTATTTCACAACTTGTATTTAATATTTGATGAAACACGTACACCGATCAATAAATATTACTAAAAAATAATTTAAAAAACCTTCTTATGTTTGCGACGATAAAGTACAGTCCATGGAACATCTCGTGGATTACGCTTCAAACCAGAACCCTTCTGACATTTGGCACTCAAAAAAATTTGTACCTTAAAATGATTATTTCTTTAAAAATTTAAATATTTTAAATGTAAACCATTTGGAAGGGAGACTGGTCGAATAGACCAATATCCGGCAAACAGGATTTCACAATTTTATTTAGCACAACTTTATGCCTTTGAAAACATTTTAAGAATCAAAGGACTGAGCGTTGTGCAGTCAGGGAAAGATTGCTCGGGTGACTCGAACCGCGATAGAATCAACCCCCAAAACTAGAGCATAACCAACTATACTAACCAAACAAACAATTGATTAACCAAAATAAACCTTGTAAAAAAAACAAAATAAACCTTTCCATCGGAACGAATCACACGTTTCCCATGTCCAGGATGGATTTTGTAACCGGAATAAGCGCAAGTTTCTAACTTCATTTTAATGAAAGATTACCAATATTTTTAAACTTAATCTGAAACATTTTGTATTTTTAATTAAAAAATTTTAATAAAGCACACAGCTAAATTACTAATAAAAACAAATTGACGTGTAAATTTAATGAGAAATGGCTACGGAACGGGACTGTTGAGTTCCTAAGCTAAGAGTCGAAATGAGGATTGGGCCATTAAAAATGGAAGACCAAAAAACGTTTCAGATAAAGATCCGAACATTTGGAATTGTTGTAATTCAAAACAATGACAAATATAAAAATGTAAAATAAATTGGAGGTAAGAAAACTGGAATAACAGTTCAAAATATTTTTTGATAATATTTATCAATATTTATTCGAAAACTACTATGTATTTAAAGAAAATACTACATAATTATAAGACAAGAATTAATGAAAACTAAGCTTTTTTAGAATTATTAAGGTTTAAGATAATGTTAACGGTGACCGTTTTAAAAATAGAATTTAAGAAAATGGGGGATTTAATAGAAATTCTCCCAAAACAGTATTTGACTGAAAACTGGGGGTCGCCGCTAACATTAATTTACAATTAAGAGAGAAAAATAATGATTATACAAATTTCACAAACTAAAGGTTTAAAATATTTTTCAAAATGCAAAAATATAAAATTGAAAAAATGTAAAATAAAATGGGAGAAATTATCTTGAAGAATATCTTGTAAATTTAAGATATCTAAATCTTGGATGGGAATCAATTTTTGTTGTGCACCCAGTAGTAAGCCAACGAGCACTAATCATTTGATCTCTTTGTCTCTTGTCTAGCCAAGTTATCCAGCGCCTTCTTCGATCCAATACTTTTTTCTTGCGAAGACTCTATTAAAATGAATGGAAATTAAATTTAAAATCTCAAAATAATCAAGTCACCTTCCCTAAAACACCTTTCTTTATAATTATGTCTGTTTCAGTTCCTCCATCGTAAAACATATCAAATTTCATTTCTTTCAAAGGATTTTGAATATTTAACAATTTAAAAAATCCTCGACTAATAAAGAATTGAGGTATTTTCTTTTTTGTAATATTTTTTTCTTCTGATTTTATTTCTGATGAAGCTTCATTATTTTGTAAATTTTTAAGTTCAGAAAGTTTGAGTAACAATAGTCGTCGATGTCGTAAATTTCGAGAAACGTAAGTTTTGCATTTTTTTATTCCTGTTATTTTTGTTGCCAATCCTTCCTATAATTAATAAAATTAATTTTTAAAAATATATTTTATTTAAATTTAAGCTTCTACCCTACTAATATTTTTAATTGTGATTTGTGTGAATAAGATAACTAACTAAATTGTTTTAGAAGAAAGAAAATGCGAGATAAATAAAAAAGATATCAAGAAAAATTTTAATATTTAATAAAGAAGAGAAATAAAAATAAGCAATATAAAAACATAATTCAATTAATTAACAATCACCTTATATTTTATTATTATTTTTTAAAATTACATCTTTCACCCCACTTACATCATTCACTACATGTTTTTCAAGAAATTCAGGCCAAGCTAGCAGAGATACAACATTAGCACTTTCCTTTACTTCTTCCTCTTGCTCATCATCAATATCCGATCCACTTCCAGGTTCATTAGTGTCAATCAATTCAATTGTCACAATTGGATTTTCACGATTGAAAAAGAACATTTTGTAACAATTTTGATTAATTAATAACTTTAAAAAGTAATTTAAATTAAAAAAAAGAACTTTAATTAATTCACCTTTTCGGCTAAAGCTTCATATTCTGAACCAACTTTTTGTGCCCATTCCCCATGTTCAGCACCCTCCAATCTTTTTCTAAAGTAATTTTCAAAGAGTTCAATACATTTCAAATTAATGTTGTCAGACATGTAACTTTTGAGATGATTTGTTATTGTACTAACCAATTTATCCATTGTGAAGAGAATATAAGCACGAGTGTCAAACATACTTCTAAAAATTAAAAAAAATATTTTTATTATTTATTACAAGTCATTTCCTTTTAAATTTATAATAATTTAAATGTAATGTTTAGTCTCTATCTTCCTCGACTTTAAATTAATCAAAAATTAACTATTAAAAGTAAAATAAATTCTCCACTTGTACCACCTTAAAGTATCCTCAAAACTTGCTGCATCTACACTCCCATCAAGCAAATTCTTCATTTCCTGTAACATTATTTGATAAAAATTCTCTGGATTTTGCAACGGTTTCTTTAATTCTCTCAATCCTTTATGAACATCTACAGCATTTAATAAATGAGATTCTTCACTATCCCCATATTTTTTATAAACACGTCTTTGTTTTTCACGAAATTTAATTTCTTCGTCATATTCTTCTACTAATTCTTCTGTACATTTTTTAATGGTAGCAAGACGGTCACATAAAATTGCATGGAGGCGAATGAATAAAATCCACGAATTTGTACCAAAGAATTGAATATATAAGAGTTCTTGTTGTTGCTAAAGAAAATAATAAAAAATATTTTTACCTCATCAAACCTCATCATGTTGAGAAATATCCTCATTTCTGCCTTTCAAAAGTGATTCTTGAGGTTCGTTATTAGAAATAATATTTGACACAGTTCCTCTGCCAAATTTATCATCCTTGTCGGAATCTGCTTAAATTATATATAATTTTAAATATTAAAACAGAATGTCGTTAAGGACTAAAAAACCATCTTTCACTTCTTAAAATTTTGATGTTTAATATTCAAAAGATACTCTAATTTATTACTCATTTTACCTTCCAATTCCCCATCCCTCGGTGTTGAAGCAGCTGTCTTCTCTAATAGTGAGGAAGACACTCCAAATTGTTGATCATCCCATTTTGCTTGAAGCAAGAAAACACGAGGAATAATTGATAAAAGAAGCGATTCAATGCCTTAAACGTTAAAAATAAAACTTTTAAAATTCTCTCAATTAATAGAAAACCTTTCTTTTCACGCGAATTCAAATGTCTTTTAACATAATGAAGTAAAAGTTCATTTGCATCATGAAAAATTTGGCGATCCGCTGAATATTTAATACATAAATGTGGACCCCATTCAACCTGACGGCCTTCTTCGAGTTTTTCACGCCTCTTAAATTTTAAAAATTTTAAATTAAAAATTCTAAAATTTTCTTAAATATTTTTTACCTCGTCATAAGCACTTTCTAATTGATTTATAATACCACGACTTCTAATATTTTTAACATCATTAGCTTTAAATGTAAGTGCTTGATGGTCCAAACTTTTCAAATAATTCTTTTCAACCTGATCACGCCATATAACATTATATTCATCCCGAACACCTTGCCATTCTATATCCTTTTCTTTCATTCTACTTAAGACTTGCTGTAAGGCAACAAGTGGTTTTTCACGTAAAGCTGTTAATATTTTATTGGCATATTCGCTAAAAATATTTAAATAATTTTATTTATTTATTATAATTGTATTAACCCATATAATTTCTTAATAGCTCTAGAAATAACAGTATAAGAACATCCCAAACGTTTTTCATTAGCAACCATCCACTTTTTTGCTTCTTCATTACTCATTGTTTCAACACGACGAAATGCATATTGTAATGCGTCAATTGCCGTTGAATTTGTTTCAATAAGAATATCAACCTTAAAGATTGGTTGATTAAAATTGAACTGAGAATATTACTTCAAAGCGTTCATCCTCTGTTCGGCACATAACTTCTTCATAAATTGACTTTCTTAAAGTTACAGATGAGGTATCTTCACTTGACCATGTCGGATAGCAAACCCAACGATCATTCAATACTTCTTTGCATAATTCAGTTCGACCAGAACAGATGGGGTATTCATAATCCGCAGGCATACAACGATAACTGACACCAAGTTGTTTTGTATGAGTAAAATCTTTAAAATTTTTATTGAATAAAAAATCAAAAATATATAAGAATTACAGAATATCATATAATTTTCGAGATTTTAAAAGTACCCACCAATTTGATAAGCAGATTCAGAAGGTAAACGATCTTCAACTGCAAGCTGTTTGTTTGGTTGGCGAGCTATGCCGCTTTTACCACCGAGTATATCTTTGAATTGCTTCAAAAGCTCCGGATGAGAACTGATACGGAATTCATATTTAATATAAAATTAAACAAATTTACGAAAGAAACGGTGTAACCAAATCAAGTAATTCTCCTTTAGAAACTATAGATTTTGTATAAAGTGCTAGATGATGGAGAAAATTTTGGAAGATTTGCTCGCTTTGAAGTGCATCATGTACCTACAAGCAAGATAAAGAAAATAGAAAATAAATTCAGAAAAAACTTTTTCGAAAAAGACGAATTCTTGAAGTGGGATTTCTTCCAATATTTTGTTTACCGATGTTTCGTAGACAATTTTATTTTGAGTTTTCAATTTCTAAAAAACATATATAATTTTATTTACAGAAAAATCCAAAACCTTTTGTGCCAAATATTCAGAAGGTGCAGTTGTATTCGAACGTTTTTTAGCTGCATTGGTTGTCAAATTAGAGTCGACCATATTATTGTTTGAATTGTTTTGTTCAAGCTGAACAAAGTCGACAAATCCTTCTTGGACAAAATTTTCATCATATTCAATATCATTTTGCTGCAAAGAACGCTGCTCAGTTATTGGTAGTGGGTGGTCTAGTTGAACTTGTTGATCAACGGGAAATTCAATACTAGCATCAGGCAGAAAAGATTTAAAATCTCTCATCAGGTCTTCTTCGTTATGGAAAAGCTTTGCGACTTCTTGGTAAACACCCGACTCTGTTAAACGCTAAAAAATCCCAAGTAATATGAAATTTAATAAAATAAAAATTACCTGCGGCCCATCTGCACGTTGATAATTACTCAAAATGGCCAAAAATTGATGATAAACTTCTGACCTATTAACAAAACGTTCCTAAAAAATAAATTTTCTTAAATTGTCTTAATATTGAAGGAAACCTTAATTTTATTTAAATAACCCAATGCTTGGTCAAAATGAATGGGTTGTTGACCATTTACAGAAAGTTGTTGAGATTGGGTGTGTTGCTGTTGCCGAGATTCATGAGTAACATTCAAAGCATTTTGATGTTCACTAATACTTTGTAATTGTTGTGCTGCTGTTGTCGGGCTTATTAAAGATGCCCCAATCTGTTGAGATCCTCCAGTAGAAATATTGGAGTTATGGACAGGTTGACTCTTTAAATATTTCAATTGAATGTTTTAAAATAAATTTAAATAAACCTGAAATTGTTGTTGTACAATTTTAGCAGCATTAGCAACATTTCCAATAACCATTTGATGTTGTGGTGATGAGACTCTTTCAAAAGTTGGAGAGGAAACTGCAGATAAACCGCTCGGACTTTGTTGATGACGAACAACAATTGAAGCAGGTATACGATTTATTGGTACAATAGGGACTTGAGAATGATGTTCGGACCTTAAAATAAAGCAAATTTAAATAAAAATTAATTTGAAAAATAATTAAGAAACTAAAAAATAATTATGAACTATATGAAAAATAAGTAGAAAATAAGAAACAACTAACGGAATTGCATTTATTTGCTGAATAAAAGGTGATCCGGCAGACACAGAACCAACTTCTATGACTTGGCCAATCGCTAAAAATAATTAAAAACTTTAAAGTAGTAAAAATAACCATTATTAATCAGTTTGTTAGTTCCATTAGGTTCTCTAATTTGTGTAAAATCTCCACTAACATGCACCTCAAATCCTGGAGGCAAAAAAGTATTGAAGCCATCAATTAAATCAGGATGAAATCGGAAAAGCTTAGTGACACGAAGAATAACCCCATGTGTGTCAATCCTTTAATTAACTTATTTTTTTAATAAAAGTAAAAATCAACTAACGTATGAGATTTAAATTCTTTCATAACCTCCAAAAACTCATTATACTTAACAGGGGTTTGTTCAAATTGCTGACGAACACGTTCTAAAAATAAAATTAAAATAGTTAAGAAATAACTTAAAACCTAAATATGAAAGTGCATCGTCAACTTGAAGTTTCTAAAAAGCAATACAAAAAATTAAAAACTAATTTCTATAAATACTTTATTTCTCATAGGTTGCTGGATTGGAATCGCATTTCCACCGACAGGCGTGGCTGCTGCGATGCGTGGTTGTCCTCCATTAAAATAAATTCCTTCATGATGTTGGTCAGAATTTTGTTGTGCCATAGTATTAGAAGCTTGATTTAAATAAACCCCAGAAATTGAATGAGGTGGCACAAAAGTTGTATGGTGATGCTGCTAAAGATAAATGCAAAATATCGAAACTAAAATCAACTCTAAGAATTGTCATGCTTCAGTCAACTTTCTTGTTAGATTTCACTAATAAATTTTGTTCAGCCAAAATTTAGCTAATATTTACAAACGATATAAGCCTATAGCAACAATGATAAAATTCAGATCGAATTTCCTCCGAACCAGCAATTTTTTTGTAAAAAATACCTGATGATGACCACTTGAAATTAAATGCGCTGTTTGTTGTTGATGATTTACCAATGAATGATGAACGGAAGCTTCGTGTTGTTGTCCAGAACCAAGTCCCCCAATGCCTGTGAGGGAATTTTGATTCATATACGATAAAATTTCACAATTTAGTTAAGGCTAGAAATGAGTTGATTAATGTAAAAAAAACAAATCCCAATGTCTAGTTAAAACGATTCTTGCTTAAAATAATATGTACTTTCCCAAACAGGAAAGAAAAATAAAATTTATAAAAAATAAAAAAAATTCAAAAAAAACAAATTTTATTTATATACTCAAAGTAAATAAAATTTTTTAAATAAAATTAAAACGAAGAATTTGATACTAGCTGAACAAATTGTAAAAATTGTTCTTCAGTAAGTAAACAAGCTCGACGATAAGGCCTATACACTTGCCCATTCTGTCGAATACAACCAAAACGTGATGTACTTTCTACTTCGGATTCAACAGGATATTGGAAATAAGGAAATTGTTGCTGCATCTAAATTGAAATTTATAAAATTTATAAAGTGAAAAAAGAATGACTTAAAAAGTTTTTTTTTGAAAATAATTTGGGCCGACTATTATAACATGAAGATAGAAAAACCAGAATTATCAAAATTATTCGACAAAAATTCCTCTTAATTTCCATTTCAGAAATCTCTGTTCAAGTTATCTCATATCATTAATTATAAAAAATAATTAATTACCGTAAAAAGCAATTCCTCTTCAGGATTATCAAAAATTATATCACAAGTGTTGGCAGATAATCTACGACGTTCAGCCTTTCCGAGCTTCTTGTTTTGAGTCTGAATCCCTTCAGAACTTTGGTGTTCGCTAAAAATGTTATTAGAATTTCTAAATTAATTGTAAAACCAGTCTTTTGATGAGCCCTCTTTATTAATTCGAATTTTTATAATAATCAATAAATTTTTATAACGTTCCTTTTTAGGTAAAGAATTGTAGTCATTACTTAAATAGAAAAAAAAGAATTAACAGGATAAATAAACTGACTAAAGTGAATCAAATGCCGGAGCTGAGATCTGAACTGGAAATTGTAATAAACGTTCATTAATCAAAAATCCAGCTTTTAATAGTGAATCCCCACTGCATTCATCAGTTACTCGTAATAATTTTTCAAATTGTTTAAAAACACTTCCAGTTGCGAATTTCTTTGCTCGTTGTAGGAGAAAGTTGGAAACATCAGCAAAGTGTTTCTAAAATAGTTTGAATAAAAAACTTGGCCCTCATAAAAATATTAGTTAAACCTCTGTCCCAGTCAAACTAACAATTGATAGAACACCACAAACTATTGATTGAGACTCATCATCCTCACATTCTTCTGCTGGTTTATAAATACAACCAAACGGGCTTATTCTAATTATTGAATCAGCCAATTCTTTCCGATTAATTTCAGCTCGTAAAAATATCTTAAACAATAATTTATTTAATCGGGAAAATTTAAAAAATTAATTTACCTGTGCAAGTAAATTTTCTAATCCTTCAATATCTTCTTCAGAGGGCGGAAATGCCTCAAAATCAAAATTCATTTTCTCCATTTCTTTGACGTCTTCACCAGGCATATCCATTTCATCATCTTCACTTTCGTCATTATTACAGACGTTGTCGTTTCCCGAATCTTCCATTTGTAACCACCTTGATTAATTAAAAAAATTAATTTGATAAAGACCAAAAAAATTAAAATTTGCAAAAATAAAAAACGACAAAAGGGTTATCAACGGGAAAAGTTATAAAACGGTCAGAAGCAATAATGGTCAAAAATGCTAACAATTTCTAATTTTCAAATTAAACTAAATTCTAAACTTTAAATGAGATTTTCTTTATTTTTATTGATACGAGGTGCGCTAAAAGCTAATGATTATATACTTACAAAGGATTTTATAAAACTTTCTGTTCATTCTGGGACTGGAGGAAATGGGATTTTGAGGTTTTTTTTCTTTAAATTATTTTTTAATTTTTTTCTTTTTCCAAAAGATATAATGGAATTGGTGGAAATGGGGGATCTGTTTTTGTTAGAGCAAATGATAAAGTTACTTTTGAAGAATTTTGTGAACAATTTGAGGAACGTCCAGAATTAAAAGCTGAACATGGCCAGCATTCTAAACAAACAAAATTAATTGGAAAAAATGGAAAAGATTCTGTTAGTTTTTTTAAAAGAAAATATAATTTAAAAAATAAATTATTTTTGGTTGTTGATGTGCCATTAGGTGTGGAAATTATTAATCAAGAACACAATAAACTTTTGGCTCGATGCTCAGGGAACAAACAAAGATATTTATTGGCAAGAGGTGGGAAGGGTGGCTGTGCAGATAATGATTACAGGTATTTAACAAAAAGAAATTTTATTTTCTCGGCTAAAATTAAATCGTGGCGCGAACTTTGCGGACCCGAATTTTGCGGACCCGAACTTTGCGGACCCGAAATTTGCGGAACGAAAGTTGCGGACCCGAAGGATGCGGACACGAAATTTGCGGACCTGATTTTTGCGGAACCAAGATTTTAGGACCGACACTTGAGTAAAAAGGAAAATTAAAAAAAAAATTTTTTGGAGGATTCTGGCAGAGTTTACCATGATCCGTACCACACTCAAGATTTTTTCTTGATTTTTTAAAATTTTTATCAATTTCTTATCTTAAAATTATTTCACAATGAAAATAATCAAGAAAATTCCTTAAAAAATCATTTATATGGCCATTTCATAAGGTCATGATGCCTGGATTTATCCTAATTAACGCCGCAGGCTAAAATTTTTGAAATTTCCGAGGTTCACTAGACTCTATTGTCAGTTCGCAAATTTTTGGTCCAAAAATCTCAGATCCGCAAAATTCGGGTCCGCATAGTTCGGGTCCGCAAAATTCGGGTCCGCAAAGTTCGAGTCCGCAAATTTCGGGTCCGCAAATTATTATCCGCAAATTTCGGCGCGCCAATTAAATATCAATTTTAGAGGATTTTAAAAATAATTTTATTTAAATAAAGCTTTTCCATAAACACTCGAATTCTAACTGCCTTTATTTTTTATTTAGAGGTAAAATTGGTGAACATTTAGATGTAAGTATTCATGTCAAATTACGCCCAAATATTGGTTTAATTGGCTATCCAAATGCTGGAAAATCAACATTATTAAAATCTCTAATACCTAGCGGGCCTAATATTCAAATAGCCTCTTATCCATTTACAACAGAAAAACCACAAGTTTGTTTTCTTGATTATGAACAAACAAATTTAGAAAGAAGAGAAGAAAAGGTTTTTTTGTAATTATTAAAATTTAAAAAATATTTTTAGAATTCCTCCAAAGAATTGAGAATTTTACAACCTCTCGAAAATACTCAAAAACATTCTGTTAAACCATTTCACGTTTCTCTTTCAATTGCTGATTTACCTGGGATTGTTAAAGGAGCTTCACAAAATTTATATAACGGATTAAGCTGTTTAAAACATTTGGAATATTCGGAAATAATTTTGATGGTTGTGGATGTTCATGGATTTAGACTTGAATTAAATGATAAATTAATGTAAATATTGGATATTTATATTTTTTTAAATTTTGTTTTTAGAACTCCACTTGAAACAATTGCTTTATTAAATCGAGAAATGGAGGAATATGACCGTAAAATGATACGTAAACCAATTGTTTTGCTTTTAAACAAAATTGATGTTGAAAACGGGGAAGAGGTTAGTAAAAATAAAATATTTAATTTGATATATTTTGGATTTAGAATTTTTTTTGAATATTTCTGAGATAATTTTACTTTTGTAATATTTTTCTTCGTAGCGCAATTTTTAAGGGTAAGTGAGTCTAGAAGATGATTAACAGTTATGATTGTTCAGGCATGTTAATTTCTGCCTGTGGCGACTCATGCTCTGTTTATTCTCCACTTGAGCCACCACAGGCAAAAATTAACCGATCATGAACAGCCCTAATTAGCTGTTGTAGCTGGAAGATTATTGAGATTTTAGAAATTTTGTATATTTATGTAAATATTTTATTTTCTCAAATAATTTATTAATAAAATTTATTTAAAAAAATTTTTCTAGATTTCCCAACAATTAATAGAACATTTCATTGGCCCAGCTTATAATACTTCAAATTGGACAAAATCCCTTCCTCAAGACATTAAACCAAAATTTCCAATTAATTTTAAATCTGTCCATGCAATTAGTGCACAAAATGGACAACTTGGAAATTTACGTGAAATTATTGGATCTATTTATTCAAAATTACATCCTTTAAATAAACAAAAATTTGAAGAAGATGAATTGGAAGAAAAAAGAAGAAGAAAAATTGGTAATAAAAAATTGTTATAATTTTATATTTTAAAACCTTTTTTGATTTAAAAATAAATAAATTAAAATTTATTAAAAATGAGGGGATTTTTTGTTTTTAAATTGCTATTTAAAAGAGGTAAGCAGCCAAAGGTAACTGAAAAATTATCCTCAATTTTTTACATTAGAAAAAAGAATTAAATTTTAAATTAAAGAAGTGTTTAGTTTTTTTACCATATTCAAAAATATTGGAAATCGACCGATTTTTCTTGATATTAATCTCGACCCTCAATCAGCTCTTATTATTTTGTAGAAGATTTCCTAAACTAGCTAGCTATCTTTTTAAAATATTTTGTTAATAAACTTGTTGGAAAAATTTTTCTACTTTGGGGACTTTTTATAAATTATTTCAATCTGTTAGACATCCAAACAATATCTCCCCTCTTCCCTTCCCTCTCTTCACCTTTCCCTCCCATCATTTAATGAGTTGAAGAGTTTAGTTAAGCCTTGTTTGTTTCTTTTGTTATTAACTATATAGTAAATAAATAAAAAGGGATTTTCTTCCTCTTTTCTTTTAAAATTCTTGCGATCTGTTCAATCAATCGGATTTAACTTTAAAATATTTTTGTTAGAGAAAATATTTTTTTTTGTTTTAACTCATTCAAAGAATTTGCCAATAAAATATATCTTTTTTATTCTTTAAATTTCTCTTCTTTCTTCTTGCCATTCAACGTAAAAAGATGAACGGAAAGAACAGGCGGGATTAAGAAATAAAAATTTAATCGACAACAAAAAAACTTTAAAGCTTATCTTTCTTAAAAAACTTTTCATGCTCAAAAATTTATTTTCATCTGAAAATATATTGATAGACTTAAAAAATTAAATTTTAATTTAATTAATATTCAAATAATTTTTTGGATAAATGAGTAGCATTGTTCGTCAATCAAAATTTCGACATGTAAGAATTACCCTAAATTTTAATTCAATGAATTTCCTCCTCTATTACTGTATTCTCTCATATTTGTTAGAGATAATCAGCAAACGCATCGAAGATTGATAAATAAAAAAAATTTTAAATTTTCACAAAATTATTAAATTTTAAATAATTTGAAGGTTTTTTGTAAAGCAATCAAACAAGAACAATGTATTCAAGATGTTCGAATAACAGAAGTTTCTTGGGATTCACAATTTTGTGCAGTTAATCCAAAATTTATTGTTTGTTTATTATTGGCATTTAAATTTAATTAGATAAATTTATTTAAGGCAGTTATTGTGAAAGGAGCAGGAGGGCCGTTTGTTGTACTTCCAATAAATAAGGTGATTTAAAGAAATTAAATTTAAGAAAATCAACTAATAAAATCCTCCCTCATTTTAAATATTATTTTAATTTTTATTTTAAAAAAGGCTGGTCGTATAGACAAAGATACTCCGTTTGTTGATGCCCACAGAGCAGCTTGTTTAGAAGTTCAATGGTCTCCATTTAATGACCACGTAATTGCTAGTTGTTCAGAGGATACAACAGCAAAAGTTTGGATGATACCAGAATTAGGGTTATTAAGAACTTTAAGTGAACCTGTAGTTGAATTATGTGGACACCAAAAAAGAGTTAATACTTTGGCTTGGCATCCAACTGCTGCAAAGTAATGAATGAAATTTAAAATATTTTTTTCTGTTTAAGAAAAACTTGAATTGTTTTTGAATGGAGTAAAACTAAAAATATATTTATTTGTTTAGGACATAGTGACTTCAATCTTATAATCCAACCCCTGATTTTATAATAAATTAATTACAAATTTTTAATTAAGTATTTTATTAACTGCTGGAGGAGAAAATAAATTACTTCTTTGGAATGTTGGAACAGGGGAAGCTTTAATTGAAATTGCGGGACATCCAGACCAAATATGGAGTGTTGCTTTTAATTATGATGGGAGTAGGTAAAGAATTAAAAATATATTTCTTTTACAAATCTCTTTCATTTTTTTCTCTATATAGATTTGTAACAACTTGTAAAGACAAACAAATACGAGTTTTGGATTCACATACAGGTAAAAACATTTTAATTTAAAAAAATATTTAAAATTTAAAGGTTCTGTTCTCGTATCTGGAATTGGACATGAAGGTGTAAAGCCCCAAAGAGCAATATTTACTAAAGATGGAAGAATTGTAACTACTGGATTTAGTAAACGTTCTGAAAGAATATATGCTTTAAGAGATTCAAATACTTTGGAACCTTTACTTCAAGAAGAGTAATTGAAAAAATTAAAAATATAAATACTAGATTGGGCTGGGATGGTTAGATTTTTTCGGGAAAAAATTTAAATAATTTAAAATGTAGGGGTAACTAGTAGTTGAACATACTAGAGATCAAGCTGGGTCTGGAACTAGGCCTGGGTTTTTCCTGTACCCAGAGTCTAGGCTCGGGCATTTTTTGACCTTCCTGGGTTTTCCTGGACTACAGGCCCAGTACCCAGATCAATAAAACAACCCCAGGAACAGGCCCAGGCTTTTTAAAAATCTCGATCTCTTTTTAATTATTAATTAATTTAATAGATTAGACACCTCAAATGGAGTACTTTTTCCTTTATACGATGAAGATTCTGGTTTATGTTATTTAGTTGGGAAAGGTGATTGTGCAATTCGTTATTATGAAATTAATGATGATGCTCCATATATGCATTATATAAATACTCACACAACATCTGAACCTCAAAGAGGGTTTGGATTTATGCCTAAAAGAGGAGTTAATTCTAATGAAAATGAAATTAATCGGTAGGAAAATTATAGTTTATTTTTGGGGATAAGAATATGGAAATCTTTGGATATCTGGGAATTTTGTTCGGATCCAGCATTTTTATTTGGGAGTTAAAAAATATGAGGGTTTATTTACAATAAAAATCCTTTAATAAAAATAACCACAAAATACCTATAAATTTTCTCTCATTCTACAGTATTTACAAAATAACAACAAAAGGTGTAATTGATGTATTACAATTTTTTGTCCCAAGAAAATCTGACCTTTGGCAGGTATTTTATAAGTTAAAAACAAAAAAACAAATTTTCTTAAAAAAGAGTGATTTATATCCTGATACTCGAAGTATGGTCCCCGCTCTAACAGCAGAACAATTTGCTGAAGGGAAAAACGCCCCACCAAATCTAATGCCTGTAAATCCTGAGGCGGCATCTGTAAAGCCAAAAGTGCAGGTGGCAAAGAAGGCAAATATTTTGGCTCAAATGCCTGTGTATGTTTTGTTTTTAAATTCTGATTTGTTTGAATTTATTTTAGTCAAGAATCTTCTCCACAACAAAATAACCATCCTCCTCCCCAACAGCGTCAAATTCCACCTCAACAACAACCAATGGCACACAAAGATACAGGAATTGTTCGACAAACAAGAGAGCCTTCACCTCCAAATCCAACACACCCAAAACAACAAGTTCAATTAAAATCAAGAGAGCCACCCGCCGGCGGGGGTGCTTTGACTGCTGGGCAAAAACGGGCAGCCGCAGAATTAGACAGAATTAAAAGAGAACAACAGATGCATTTAGTAGATAATAGTGGAGGTACAAGTACAACTACTCCAAGCACAACTTCTGTTACTCCAAGTATTTCTAGAAGAGGAAGTAATTCGTCTTCAGCAGCGGTTAAAAAATGATTTTTTTAATTTCAAAAAAATTATTCTAGGTAAATTCGGAAGAATTAGAAAAAATTAAATCGGTGCTTAGACAACACGAACGACGTATTCGGTTGTTAGAGGATATGCTGGCCGATGCAAATATGTGAGGAAAAAGTATTTAAAAATAAGAAAAAATTAAAACCCGACCGTCTTATACTACCAAAAGACTTGAAATACCAAACGGCAAAATACCAACAATGGGAGATGTTATCCCAACACTGGGAAACTTGTTCCAAAAACAGTGTGAAAAGTTTTTCCGCGAAGTTTTTGCCGCTTTGGAAATTTGCCGAAAATTCTTCCAACGAAGATTCAGTTGGGGCGATCAATATCCTATTATTGGGACAAAATCAATATCCTGTTGTTAAGAGTGATAGATAAATAGCCGAAAGAATTTGCTGTTTGGTATTTATCTAGTTAACGTTTTTTCTAATTTGGAATTTCAAGGGCTTTTGGGTATTTTGTATTCCAAAAAATGTTATTTAAATTAACAGGGCTAATGCTTATGGAATATAAAAAATTCGAAAAAACAAACCAGAGATTTATATTATTTAACTTCAACAATATAAAAATATAGAGGAACAACAAAATAGCAAAAATGAAGATCAAACAAATTGAAGAGAAAAATAAAAATTTTGCAGTCTCTAAGAGATATTACTTCTAAAAATTGAATATTTTTTTAAAAATTAACTCAAAAATAAAATCTAGTCGACTTTTGAATTTACTGATTTTTTAAATTAAATTTTTGGTTTATTCAAACTTTTATTTTGAACAAAAAAACCCTTCAATTTTCACTGGGAAAATCAAATCCTCCCTCTAAATACCTTATTAGAGACTTTCTCATCAAAATAAACTAACTAAGTGACATATCCATTTATGATTCTTCATCATCTTCATCATCATCCTCTTCTTCTTCATCATCCTCCTCCTCTTCTGACGATGTTGAGGATTCTTCCATTTTCCTCTTTTTCCCCAATTCTTCTTTTTTAACGTTTTTATCAACTTCCATTTCGACAATTTTCTTTTTTGGACTCTGAACTTCTTCCTTTATTTCAGCTTGTGGAGTAGGTTTTGCAATTGAAGAAGATTCGCCGCTTCCTCCTTCCGTTGCTTTCTGAACAAGACCCATTTTCTTTTTGGATGCAATTGGACCTAGACCCCATTTACGCTAAAAAAATAATTTTTTAAATTTCATTTTCAATGTAAATTTACAGCGTATGTGTCTCTTTCCATTATAACTCGCTTAATTTTTGCCACAACACCGTGATCGGTAACCGAAATTGTTGAGGTAGTCATCAAAGCAATTGCTATAAAAATAAATTTTTTTAATAATTTATTTAAAATATTTTAACCTATACAAACCGCCTCCCCTTTTGTGCTAACAATAACAATTTCTTCATTTAATTCAATTCCATTTTCGAAGCGAAGAACGCCCGGAAGTAAAATTTTAGCTCCATAACAAATTGCATTTACCTTTAAATAAATTTAAAAAATATTTTTTAACTCCCCTACAAACCGAACTATCCTTAACAACAATTCTTTTATGTTGAACAAGAAGTGCTTCTAATGGACGAATAATTCTTCTCAAATATTTTTCATCTTTTTGGTTATCATACATATATTGTGCATCCAAAATGTCATGAAGTGTTATAATATGATCGTTTTCTGATGTTACTCCAGAACGAACACGTCTTAATTCTTGCATTTGTGCCCCAACTGAAAATTAGGATAAAAACAGAACTTAATAAAATCTAAAAGAAGTTTAAAAAATTGTCAAAAGAATTTCCCCAAATTTTAAATTTAGAAAATAACCTCCAAGCATAAGACCCAAATGAACAATATGCGTTCGTACATAAGTTCCAGCCTCACAACTCATCCAATAAATACCCATTTGTTGTGAAGGATTATACTCAATTAATTTGCATTCATAAATTGTTCGAATACGTAATTGACGTTTAACTGCAGAAATAAGCGGTGGACGTTGAAAAAGAGCTCCAGTCAACTAAAAATGGAAATTTTTTGATTTTTTAAATTTTTTGATTTTAACGGAAATTTTATGAAATTTAATGAATTTACATTATCCAGAGCTTGTCGAATTTGTTTCTCAGATTCAACGGCATTATGTAATTTAAAAATAGCAACATATTCTTTTCCAGCATTTTGTTGTGATTTAGCTAAACGAGTTGTACGATCAATACAGACGACAAGGACTCCAGAAACCTAAAAAATATTTTTCTATTATTTTAGCTTAAGAAACAATTTAAATTGATAGGAAAGAAATAAACACACAAAATCAAAGAAAAACATAAAAAATGAAAGACAATAAAATAATTTACAAACCTTTGGATCTAATGTCCCACTGTGTCCTGTCTTTTGAACTCGAAGAATTCGTTTAACCCAAGCAACAACTTCGTGACTTGATGGATTGCAAGGTTTATCCAAATTAAAATAACCAGCAGAAACATAATTTCGAATATCACGTTTAAGTGGAGAACAACCCTCAACCAGAGGAGTATAATGTGCAGTTCGAATATTCAATTTATCAAAATTCTGAAATTGTAAAAGTAAAATAAACAAGAAAAAACGCCTTTATTAATTTGTTGATGAAATCCAATTTAAATTTAAAAAAACTATAAAAAATAAAAACCTTTAAAAGCAGAGGCCAATCCTCTGAATGTGTTTTAGGCTCTTCATTCGAGGATTTTAAAATATAATCACTTTTCTCATCAATTTCCATACTAGTTTCTAAAGTTTTACCTCCATTCTAAATATTAAAAGTTTTATAAAATAATTTAAAAAGCTTTTCTTACTTGTTCAAGACGCTTCTTTCCCATTACTAATTTTCAAAAATGTAAACTGGAAACAATTTAACGACGACGGCTAAAATTAAAAATTTTAACTGAAAAATTACAAAATCATATGAGAATAAAAAAAGAAATATGTATTTTTAAACACGGCGGCCCAATTCTTGGCGGGAACCATTTTGGGCCGCCGTGTAATCGTTCAAAGATTAAAACTAACAAATAAATGTTAGAAAAAACAAGAATTTTAAGGTTTCTACAGTAAACTGTATTTAGTAAATGGTTTTTAAATTTACGTTAAATAATTTTTCTTGGCATTCCGCCATTTCCAAAATTCCTAAACATTTTTTCACTTTTGTAATTTTCCTAAAAAATTTTTATTGGATATACTTTAGCCGGTGGCCGGTTCGAAATATATACCATTCGATTCGTCTCGGCGAGCTGAGTCGAATGGTACCACTCCCAAGGTGCGGAAATGCCGGTGGACCGAGATATAGGTCCCTGAAATTTGAAAAACCATTTGAAAAACCAAGCACAATTTTGGGGTGAAAAATTCGATTTTTCGAGTGTTAGCTCATTTGAACGAGCTCCTCGAGCTGAGTCGAATGACACCAAAATCAATGTGATTGGACGAGTTTGAATCGAGATATAAGGCTCGAAATTGTCAGCGTAAACCTATGGAGCGCCGGCGAGGCGCTTGTGCAAAACTCCGCGCTTCGCGCGGAGTTTATTTTTTTTTATTTAGAGTTTATTTTCTTTACTTTCTATAAATTTATTTTTCAGAAATTGGAATGCCGGAAGTTATTTCGTTGGGTAGCGATTCAAGTAGTGATGATGATTTTTACGACAATTTTGACAAAATAAAATTAAAAGCCGCTCATTGCCAGAAAAAACGTAGACACCCAGTTACAGCTTCTACAAATAAATTTACAAGAAAAAATGCCCCTTCTGATTCTATCATTTCATGTATTTAATTTTGTTGGACCAAACTCCAAAAATTTTTTAATAATAGTTATATTTATAGGCGAAGAAATTGTATGTGTGGAAGACTTTGACTCTTCAACAAATTTTTGCACTAACAATTCTTCTATTCCTGCAGTTATTGAAATAAATTGTAATTTTTTAACTTTTTATTTTTTAAATTTAAATTTAGCTCCTTCTTGTTCAAATTCCATTGAAGTTATCGATCTTACACCTTTTGGCTCTTCATTGACAAATAATTGTTCTAACAAAAAATATAAGGCTCAAAAATCTAAAAATATAATTCCTTCACCTAAAAGTACTTGTACAATTACTATTCATTCTAATGGTGGAAAACGAATGTTTATTCAAGACTTGGTTAATTTTTTTTTAATTTTTTAAAGCTTTTACAAAAAAATTTGGAGAAATTTTAGAAAAACTCACTTTATTAGGTTGAAAATTGTTTTTTTTTCATGACAGTAAATTGTAAATTAATTTAATAGTCTTTATTTTAGGTCAAGAAGTTTTAAAATTTTTTGAAAATTTACTAATTTCCTAAAAATATTTTATGTCATTTTTAACTAATTCCAACTATAAAAAATTAAAATAATTTTCTCAAAAAAATTTCAGGATGATCCAATTAAAAATTTAATTGAAGACTATGCTGAACGTGTAAATGGTGATCCAAAACGAATTGTGTTAATTACAAAACAATTAAAACAATGTGCTTTAGAGGACACTCCACGGACTTTGGGAATTACTTCGGATGAAAGTTTTGAATTGGATGCTTTTGAACATAAAGACGTTGTTCCTTTAAATTTAATGGAAGATGTAAAAACTATTCGAATTAAATATCAACAAAAAGGGAAAAGGCCGATTGTTGCAAAAATTTTGAAGGTTTGTTGAATTTTCGTTTAAATATTTTTTTAATTTTTAGACTGCCAAATTTGCCCGACTTAAAGAAATATTTTGTCAAGAGAATGGTCTTCCCTTGGATAAAGTTCAATTTATTTTTGATTCTGTTAGAGTTGGTGACAATGAAACGGCAGAAACTCTTGATTTGGAAGATGATGATTGTATTGATGTTTATGTTTTGGAATGATTAAATTTAAATAAAAAAGAGAATAGGGTTTGAAAGAGTTTTTGTTTTATGATTAACAAATTCCCCCAATTGGGGATAACAAAAAATATATATTTTTATTTTAAAAGATACAAAATTCTTTCAATATTTTCTGGCAACATCGAAAATAAATTTTTGTTTTTTGAATCATTTTTGTTTACTAACTTATTTCTTGTCACTATCTTGATAAATTTATTCGAAATTTTAAAAATAAACTTTCGAGATTTTTATTCTAATTTTTTACTGAAAATCCATCCTTTAACACAATTTTTTCTTTTTCATTTTTACTTTAAAACATTTAAGGGTTTTCAATTAAAAAATGAATTTTGCAATAAATACAAATAAATTTGGTTTGTGTCATTTATTCGTGACAAATTTATCTTCAAAAAACAATTTCCCCTTACAATTTACGTCAACAGTATTTTTTTCCACGGCCTCTGAAACTCGAAAGGATTATTATAAAGTTCTTGGGGTGCCAAGAAGTTCTTCAATTGAAGAAATTAAAGAAGCGTTTTATAAACTTTCAAAGGTTTTTTTGAATATTATTTACGAAAATAACATTAAAAGTTTGGGGCAATTTTCTGATATTTTGAGTTTTTCGAGTTGAGACTTGAAAATAATTTAATCCGTAAATTATTTACAAATTAAGCCTATATCTAAATCTTTAATTTTTAGAAGTATCATCCAGACATGAATCCTGACAACAAGGAAAAGGCTTCCAAATATTTTCACGAGGTAAGTGATCTTAATTTTAATGGAATATAAATTAATGTTAAGACAATTTTTAGGTTTCTGAAGCTTATGAAATTCTCGGTTCAAAAGAAAAAAGGCGAGCTTATGACTCATTAACTGCCGAAATGCCAACAAAAATATTTAAAGCTACTCATCATCAAAGAACAAAAGCAGGTGAAAAACAGCAAAGGAAATGGGAAAAAGATTGGAGTGATTTGGATATTGACTATAAAGATTTTGAACATTTTCAAAATATGAGCAGGTTATTTGATTCTTTTAATATTAAATTTTGTTTTGAGTAAAGGCAATTAAAAATGATGAGGTACGTGGACATAGGGAAATTGTCGTTTTTTTATGGGAATTTACTTCTCAGAATTTCAAAAACGAAGTGAGAGTAATATATCGACTTAACCTTCCTTTACGATTATTACTCAAGACATTACACATTTTTTTTAATTTTTAGAAAGAAGAGGATGTTTCATGGTTCAGCGACAAACACTTCAGAAAATTTTTGGGCTGCACAACACGAGGCCGCTTCTAATTACCGAAGTAATTTAGCCAGAGAACGTGAAATACGAGAGAGACAATTGCATTTACAATTTGAAGAAAGAAGGCGCCGAGAAGAGCATCCAATGCCTACATTCGAGAAGTTGAGGTTGCAATCAGAAAAATTAGAACAGGAAGAAAGGAAAAAAAGATTATATAAATATTTGAGCTTATTACCTTTTTCCCTAATTTTTCTAATTTGTATGGGACCAGGAATAGCTAGAAGGGGGTTTTAGACTATTTGCTTATTTTTTAGTTGTAAATTGAAAATTTAATAAAGATTTTTTAAAATAAATTTCTATTATTTTCTTAGCGGCAGACTTTCCATTATTGGAAAGAATTAACCATTATATCAAATAATTACAAGAGTAACAAGTTTTATATATCGTTTCACGTTAAATTCAGAAAAATCGTGGCAACATTGAGATAGTCTAAATAAAGTCAAACAAATTGTCATTAAATCAATAAATGTAAAAACAACATATGTTTGTGTGGTGTAGATGTTTAGAGATTTTCAGGGTGAAAATTTTTAATTGCCCAAAAATTAGTTTTCTCCAGATTAAATAATAAATCTTAACATTATTAAACGTTAAAATAATCGCTTTGAAATATGTTAAATAAAATTTAAATTTTCACCCTTTCAATAAAAATTAAAGAGAAAATGTTTGGTGGAAGACTTTTACCATTACGGGGTTTTACTTCCCCATGTTATTCCAATCCTTATACTTAAATGTCTTCATCGTCATCAGGAAGCTCAGCATTTGCAGCCTCTTTCACTTCTTGTTCGTATTGTGCAGCCAAAGCCGGATCCATATGTACCTCAGGAGGTGCAAGAGCTGGCATAGCAACAAAGTCGAGGTTAGGATCGCCAACCAACTTCCTTGCGAGGTAGAGGAACGGCTTCTCAAAGTTGTAGTTACTCTTGGCCGAAATATCGTAGTACTATAAAATGAGATTAGAAAAAATTTAAAACAAAATAAGAACCTGAAGATTCTTCTTGCGATGGAAAGTGATACTTTTGGCTTTGACCTTCCTGTCCTTAACATCAACCTTTAAACAAAAAATATTTCAAAAATTTTCAAATAATCAATAACCTTATTTCCAACCAAAACAATTGGTATATTCTCACACACCCGGACCAAGTCACGATGCCAATTCGGAACGTTCTTGTAAGTAACACGTGCGGTTACATCGAACATAACTATGGCACATTGTCCTGAAACAACAAAATTATTTTATTTCTTTTTGAGTTCAAACCCTGAATGTAATATCCATCACGAAGTCCTCCAAACTTTTCTTGTCCAGCAGTATCCCAAACATTGAAACGAATTTGGCCACGAGTTGTGTGAAAGGTCAACGGATGCACCTCAACACCAAGAGTTGCTATAAAAAATAGATTAATTTTAAAAAGCTCCATTTAAAAATACCAATATATTTCTTCTCAAATTCGCCAGTTAAATGACGCTTAACAAAAGTAGTCTTGCCTGTACCGCCGTCACCAACTAGGACAAGCTTAAATGTTGGGATGTTGTCGCTCTCCTGAGTCATTTTATTTAGTTGGTTCGCAAACAAAAATAGTAAATGTAATTAACTGGAATTTTAAAAAATAATAAAAAAACACAGTAAAAACTATATTGTGAAAACTTTGAGAAAACACGAGGATAATGAAATCTTCGACACAAAGTTAAGGAAATAAAATCAAAACCCAAGAAGATTCAAGAAATGACGCGGGACGCTAAAATAAATTTTACAAAATTTTATTACAAAATCTATAACAGATAAAATGCCTATAATTAAATATGGACAAAATGTCACAACGCTAGATATGGACAAAATGTCACAACGCTAAATATGGACAAAATGTCACAACGCTAAATATGGACAAAATGTCACAACGCTAAATATGGACAAAATGTCACAACGCTAAATACGGACAAAATGTCACAACACTAAATATGGACAAAATGTCACAACGCTAAATATGGACAAAATGTCACAACGCTAAATATGGACAAAATGTCACAACGCTAAATATGGACAAAATGTCACAACGCTAAATATGGATAAAATGTCAACAAAGACAAAAATTTCAATAAGGACGATTTTTGATCTCAGAAAAATTTTAATTTTCAGCAAATTCTGAATTTTATATCTTGTAAAAAATGGAAGAGCAAAAACAACTAAGGGTTATACCTCATTAACACACAAATAAAATTTCAATTTCAGATTCTCTGTTTTCACGGCTATCGTCAAAGTGCAGAAATTTTCCAGAGAAAATCTGGTGCATTAAGGAAAGCCTTAAAAAGTCGTGCAAAATTTGGTAACTTTTAAATTTTTCTTTGAATTTTTCTTTTAAATTTTAGAATTTATTTCTGCCCCATTTACAATAAATAATTTAAACGGAGAGGAAGAAGAGGAGGGAGAAAAGAAAGGTTTGGGGGTTCTAATTCATTCAAATATATTAATTCCACCCTTTTAAATAAAAAGAAGGCCGTGCCTGGTGGTTCTCTAATCGTGAACAAAGATCTTTTTCCTCAAGGGAAGTCTGTACAATTGCGGATGGTTTTGAAGAATCAATTAAATATACACTCGAATTGGTAAATGTGGAGATTACTGGTCCCGAAAAAAAATGAGGAAGAACTGCTTTTTTGATATTTTTGAGGGTTGCCAGTAGGTAATCGAGTGTGCTGAGTCCGAATCTGAGTTTAGAATTTGCTTATTTCGAACCCCGGACCCGATTCCGACCAAGTCGAATTCGGGATAAAAATTCGAAATTTCAAATTTTTGTTTAATCGGACTCGTCTCTTCGAGCTGAGTCGATTGGTATCAAAATTATTGCGTTTCGACCATTTTAAACGAAGTTATGATGCCTGTTTTCTACACAGAAGTCTATATAACGTGTATTTAATTGATCATAACTTCGTTTACAATGGTCGAAACGTAATAATTTTGATACCAATCGATTCAGCTCGAAGAGCTGAGCCCGATTAAACAAAAAAATTTGAAATTTCGAATTTTTACCCCGAATTCGACATGGTCGAATTCGGGTCCGGGGTTTGAAATAAGCAAATTCTAAACTCAGATTCGGACTCAGCACACTCGATTACCTACTGGCAACCCTCAAAAATATCAAAAAAGCAGTTCCTCCTCATTTTTTTTCGGGACCAGTAATCTCCACATTTACCCTCGAATTTATTAAAAATAAGGTAATTTAAATTTTATAAAAATTTTTTGGTGGCTGGTAGGTGTGAAAAGAAAACAGTCTAAAAGTAAAAATAAATGGAATATGTAGAGTTAATAATAAACATCTTCTGGACTTCTTTCTTGTTCTGGTGGTGGAACAATAGTGCTTACAGAACACCACCGATTTGAAAATGTATCTAAAATGGAATTAGATATTATTTTAAGAATTGCTTTAGTGGTAATAAAAATGGCCGTAGTTTGAGTTTTTGAGATTGCTGATTGATTTTTAGGCCCACAATTAGTCTTTTAGCAATCACAAAAACTCAAAAATGCTCTTACAAGGGCGCTATAAATAAAATGTAAAAATACATCTCCAAATCCGTACAAGTCCATCAGCATAAACAGCACTTAAAATGTCACCAAGAATATTCCAAGCAAATCGAACTAATTGAGAATTTCCTTCTTCCAAAACATCCAAAGATTTAATTACAAAATGTTGTTGGATTGTTGTTTGTTCTGCTGTATTCTCTCCTAATTGATTTTCTGCTGTTTCGCTAGCACTTCCAGTAGATCCTTCCTGATTGTGGTCTTCAGTCATTGTTAATTGTAATTGGTAAATTAATAATCTTGTTCCAACAGCAATTGCTAATTTGTGTATTCCAAGTCCGCAAGAAGGCCCAAATGCAAGCATACTGACTGGATCTTCAAATAAAAATTTGTAGTCTTTGGATTTTTGGTGTTGTTGTTTTTCAGTAGGAGTTGAACGGGTGGAAGAAATTACACGTGCAGGGAAAATTCTTTTAAAAATTTTAGTTAAGAAAAAAATTAAAAAAATTAAACCCGGTATTGACAACTCTAAAGAGAAAAACTTTTTCTTCGGCGGGAGCGTCGGCATCATCTGAAGCTAAAGCAATATAGGGAGGATCAAAACGACTTCTACTCCATGAGAGAGAACAAAGTCGATGTTGACAGATTTCGTTGTCGACGAGAACTTAAAAAATAAATTTAAATATTTTTTCTAAAAAATCATTTAAACCATTCCAATTGTCTAGAGCCATTATATCCTCTGCTTCATATATTACTAATCTCCCTGAGGAAGTGCAAGCGGCCTGTAGAATTTTGATTTGAAAAGAAAATTAAAAAATACTAACTAATTGAAGACCTAAATAATGAGGGGCAAATTGAATGTCGGTAATGCTGGATGTGCTAAATATTTAATTTTTCTTTTATTTTTCCTTCCTTTAAAATACCTTTGCCGAAGCACAGTCCGACACACCCATCCATTACTAAAGTCAGAAGCACTCATTGAAGAGCGAGCATCCATTACGTCCACGGCTGAAAAAGAAAGCGATTTTTTTAAATTGAAAAATAATAATTAAATTTTAAGCAATTAGTTTAAAAATCGTTTTTGTTCAGAGAAATCAATCATCAGAAATTCCCCTCCTTTCTTCCAAAAAAGTATTTCTTTTAACTCACCATCCTTGTCAAATATTTGTATAGTATTGTCAAATGAACATGTTGCAAGCACTTGTCCAAATTCTGGATGAGCAAAACGAGCTTTCCAAACTGCACCACCGTGCTTCTGAAAATTTTACAGTTAAAAATAAAATTATTGGGATCACCCCAGAGTATCGACACCCAGAGTATCGACACCCAAAGTATCGAATGACCCAAAGTATCGACACCCAAAGTATCGAATGACCCAAAGTATCGACACCCAAAGTATCGAATGACCCAAAGTATCGAATTTTTTAAATTTCATAATTAAGTATTCCAATGATCGGGCATGATGTTCTAACATCGGGGAATTGTGTTTTCGATCGAACTGAGCATAGCGACCGAACAAGATTCTACTTGGAGATCGATCACTCTTCTTTGATTGGACATATTGATCATGATCGATGTTTGATCCATTGTTGGAACAATTTCCCTATGTTAAAAAGACTTACCCGTCCTTGGAATACTTAATTATGAAGTTTAAAAAATTTGATACTTTGGGTCATTCGATACTTTGGGTGTCGATACTTTGGGTCATTCGATACTCTGGGTGTCGATACTTTGGGTGTCGATACTCTGGGGTGGACTCAAATTATTTTAAGAAATTTCTATTCAAAAAAACCTTCCAGGAAGCACTTCTTTTCCAATTTCCATGTACTTCCTTGTCCCAAATACATACCAATTTGTCACTCGAAACTGTCACAACTCTTTTTCCATAAAAATCAAACTCGACATGATGAATAGTGTCGCTGTGAAATAATGGGTCTGAAGAAGCAAATGCTCCACTTCCCATAAATTGTTGAATTTCATGAGGAAGCATTTTTGTCTAAATATATGTAAAAATCTGTAAAATTGAAAAAAAATAAAATAAAAATTAAATTATTTACTGAAAATGAGATTTCCCTTTTAGGAAGAACATATCGTGAAAGGGCAAAAAAATAAACTTTTCGCCACTAAATATCTCGTCATTTACAAAAAAATTATTGGGTTTATTTTTGAGTTTATTTTAATTCTTTTTAATGAAAACATCGATATGGAGCAGATTATTAAAATAATTTATTCAAAAAAATTTAAAAATTAAAAAAATATTTCAGGGACCATTTGACGGCTTTCTTAGTTTTAGCCAAGGAGCTTCTTTTATCTATTTGTTACTTGCGTCAAATCCTTCATTAAATATTCGTTTTGTGATATTATTTTCTGGTTTTAAAAGTCTTTCTAGTTTTCATAATCAATTTAATTTTGTTAAAATTTGTGTTAAAAGTTTGCATATTTGGGGATTAAATGATGAGGTGATTTTTTTAAATAAAAATTATTTTAATAAAAAAAAGATTGTTTTACCCAAACGAAGTGAGGAATTATCTGAAGAATTATTTAAAAATGCTCAAATTTGTACTCATCCAGGAAAACATTGTATTCCACCGCTAAAAGAGATTCGAGAAAAATTAGAGGGATTTTTAGATCAATTTTTTTAAAATTGAAAATATTTTTTGTTTAATAAAGTTTGTTTTCTTTTTGGTTTTTCAATAATTTATTTTGTTGTTTTTACTATTTTATTTGATTTTTAATTATTTTTTTAAATTTAACTTAATTTTTCTAGGTCATTAAATATGCCAATTTTACAAGTTTTCACAAATATTGCTTCAAAATCAATTCCATCAGAATTTTCACAAGCAGCGAAAATTATTGCGAATTTGACTGGGAAAAAGGAAAATTCTGTAATGGTACGAAAATATTTATAAAATCCAAGGTTCAATTTTTCCAAGGTTCTAGTTAATGCTGGGAATGTTGGCTGTTTTGGAGGTTCTACCGATCCATTTATTTATGCCGAACTTCAATCAATTGGGGGATTTACTGATCCAAACAAAGTAACTGGGGAAATGACAAAACTTTTTACTGAACATTTTGGGGTTCCTGGTAGCCGAGTTTATATGAAATTGACTGGGCCTGATGCAAATCAAATTGCTTGTGATGGGAAATTAAAAGGATAATTTTTAGAGAATTTAATGTGCTCAATTATTTCACTTATTAGTAATTCAAGATTATATATTTATTTTTTCAATTTAATTTTTTTAAAATTAATTGTTGAATCGACAATTTTATTATTTGTTGAATAAGCTTTTTATTTTTGTTCTTTGTAGTAGTAAATTTTGGTTTTTATTTAATTTTTAATTGAGTGATAATTAAGTAGAAATGTGTATTTAAGTTTTCCGTTTTTGTTTTATAAATCTAAATGAAGTAAACATTCCCGAATGAATTTTTGCTTTAGACATATTTATTTTTATTATTTTCAGTTAAAAATAAAATATGCCAGTTTTGCAAATCTCTACAAATATTTCAACAGAATCTGTCCCACCTAAATTTGCAAAAATTGCTTCTGCTAATATTGCAACTCTAACTGGGAAGCCAGAATCCTATGTTATGGTTAATAATTTATTTTAAAATAATATACCGTAAATATTCTAAGCCCATCCGACCTATTGAAAAATATAAGCCCATGGCTTGTACTAGAATATTTACGGTACCTCTTGTTTAACTTTAATTAGATTTCACCAAATTTGATTTGCTACCCTTCAAGGACGCAGCTAAGGTGTCATTTTCAAGTCGGCTAAAATGGGGTGTGCGCCAAAATTTTGGCGTTTCGAACGCAAATTTTGCGGACGTATATTTTTATCTTTTTTAAGGCCACTGGCGAAAATTTTGAGAATTTTGGGGGCTGACTTTTTTGACCATTTCCCTCCCAAAATTTTTCATTTTCCCCATTTCAGGGAGGGCTTCAGCCTCCCTTAGCCCCCATCTACGTCCTTGCTATCTCCGAAAAAATTAAATTCAATTCTTTCAAGGTTCTAGTTAATGCCGGAAATGTTGGCTGTTTTGGAGGTTCTACCGATCCATTTATTTATGCCGAACTTCAATCAATTGGGGGATTTACTGATCCAAATAAAGTAACTGGGGAAATGACAAAACTTTTTACCGAACATTTCGGTGTTCCCGGTAGTCGAGTTTATATGAAATTGACTGGTCCTGATGCAAATAAATTCGCTCACAATGGAAAGACTTTTGCATGAGAATATTTAGAAGAGATTAGATTAAAGATTAAATTATATTTTATAGTTGTTAATTAGCAAAAATAAAAAAGAATTTTTGGCATTTTTGTCTATCTACTATACTATACGAACTAGTAATTTTAAATTCGTAAAAGTAATTTAATAATCACCCTGTAGAAACGGGTTTTACATCAAAATTTTATTTTCATCCATAATATTTTCTTTTAATTTTTAAATTAATTTAGCAGAAATTTACATTTACCAATCGTACATTACTATCCAAAAAGAGTAAAAATTAATTTTGAAATACTAACGTATGTTATTCTTCAATTATTTATTCAGTAGGAATTTTATTTTTATTTTGTTTATTTTTAATGTGAAGAAGCGGTAAAACACAAAAAAAGAAATTTTTTTTGAAAATATTTTCCAAAAATATTCCGAAAAAGTTTTTATATTTTTTCATTTAGAGCCTAAAATAAATTTTGTATTTTGAATTTTGCTAAACTACAAACAAAAGTTCATTGACAATTTTTAGGTATATTCTAGCTAACAAATGTGTATATAAATGAAATTAAAATTTGGCTAATTCAAATAAACAAAACAAAAATAAAAAAATTTTACCAAAAAAGTTTTTATTTTCTTAAAAACATTTTTGCTAGTAAATCCCCAATTTAGTATACATTTCTTAAAATTTATTTTGAGATGGGTGGGTGTGTGTGTATTTTGGTGTTCCTGGTAGTCGAGTTTATATGAAATTGACTGGTCCTGATATTAATAAATTATGTAGAATATAATGGAAAGATGAGTGAATTTACTTTTTTTCGCTCATCTTTCCATTATGAGCGAATTTAGTGCATCAGGACCAGTCAAATTCATATAAACTCGACTACTGGAAACACCAAAATGTTGGTTTTACTACCAAAATTTTTAATTTCTGTTAAAGAATCGGGGATTTACTAAAAAGTAAAAAATTTGTGGTTAACTACCTACATCCAAATAAATTTCTTTTAGTAGCAAAAGTGTTTTTTTAAATTATTTTTTAATTTAAATTATTAAATAAATCAAAAAATGACTTATTATTCAATAAAAATAATTTGTTGTTTATTTCTGTCAATAATATTATTTAAATTAACTAATCAATGCATGCCACAGACGGCTCATTGTGATAACTCTACCACTAAAAGTGGATGTTGCAAAGGTCCAGACTATTGTATACATACTCCTTTAGGATGTGGTTATGAATGTTCGGATAATAGTAAATGTATTAAAGAAGGTAAAACATGTGATTATTTAAAAGATGGATGTTGTTATGGAATGAAATGTGTTGCGTCTTCAAAAACATGTAAACAATGTTCATTCAATAAATGTACAACAACTGATGATTGCTGCATTGGTCATTGTGCTAATGGAAAATGTTATAAATATATTGACTGTTAAAAATAATTTTCTTTATAAAAATTATTTTTAAAGAAAAAATGGATGTTAAAAAAATAAATTTTGTTAAAAAAATTCTTTTAATTAACTAAAATGATTTTAAAAAATCTTTCCTTTTCTTTCTATAATTCTTTGATTTTTTCATACTTTTCTTTTTTTTCCATTGACTTTTTGTTAATTAAACTTTGTGGAATAAATGCATATAATTAATTAAAATCATCTTATAAAAAATTGAAGCAAAAACTGCCAGGATGTCGCAATACCGACTGAATTACAGGGATCTTAAACCCCCGTCTAGTAAGCATTTTAAATGGTAGCCAGCTAAATCTTTTTCTCTTCTTTACAATACTTTATTAATCCCTTGACAGGTAAAATCATTTATTAAATTTAAACAAATTTCAATATAAAAATGAGAAAAAATTATTATAAATAATGGCTCTTATAATTTTTAATCATATAATAATTTTTCTCATCAAACTAAGAATTAAAATACAATTATCTAATTTTTAAATTAAAATATTTATATAAATTTTATATTTTTCTTTGAATTTAATGAAGTTTTGTATGCTGTATAACAGAAATGATTTTTTAATATATGTAAATTGTTTTTTTTTCAAATTAAATAGGTTGCCAGGTAACCAAAAAATATTTTTAAAAAATTATCCTTCCATTTATCCCTTTATTTCTTTAAATTTTTAAAATTAACAAAAAAATATTTAAATGGAATTAAATCTCAATAGAGTAGATTATGCACATGTTGGGACTACAACAAATTGTATATTTAAATTAAAATTTAATTAAATTATTTAAAAAAGGTTGTCTTAGAGTAATTCACACAACTTCTGTAGACGGCCATTTAAATACTCGAAGACATTCCACAATTAAATTAGAAAATACTACAGAAAGTGGAGGAGGAGGGGGAGGAGAACAATTAATAATTAAACGGAAAGGGAGTAATAAAAGGAAAAATAAATTAAATGAAAATGAAACTGATAAATTAATTATTGGAGATCAAAATGGGGTTGTGTTGTGTATGGAAAGGAAAGATGGAAATACAAATGTTTGTTTTCCTTTTAAATTTAAAAATGAAGGGGAGATTAAAAGGGAATTTGATAAAAATTATTTGAGATACTTGTTGGCGGCCCTTTACAATTTCTATTGTAAGGATGATTCACCTAGAGCATTTAAAAAGCTTAGACAAGGGTTAAACTATCTAAAGGGATAAAAGAGAAAGCATTAGTCGATGCCCCGTTAGCTCGTGGTAGAGCTCCTATAAACGGTGAACGAAAGTGCCTAGCAATAACTGCAAGGAGATTGCAGGTTCGAATCCTGCACGATCCCTAAACTTTTGATAAACACTCTATATACATAGCTTTCCTTTCGTTAAAAATCTTTTTATAAATTTATTTAACAATTTTTAGATTCTCTATAAAACACCTCCTGGCCCTCCAATACGAAGACTTATGGTATTCTAATTTTAATTCGATTTTAAGAAAAATAAATTTAGATGGGAGGTGCTTTAGGTTCTATACAAGATAAAGCATTTATTGCTTGTGGAACTGAAGTATTTAATTAATTAATTTAAATAAATTCTTTTAAATAAAAAAAGGTTAGAGGCTATAGTCGAAAAGGAAAACAATTTTTGGCATTTAATTCGAATTTAACAGAATCAATTCAATCTTTATTTGTTTATGGTATTGATATGTTAATTGCAAGCAAAAATTCTTTTTATCATTTTCACGATTGTATTGAGAAAAGTGTTGGGAATTTTTTTGAAATTCTTTTGAAAATATTTTTTTATTAATTTTTAGCATTTTTCTTGTAGCGACAATATTCTTGACATTCTTTGTTTACCTATAACAGAAGGTGGATGGGTTGGACGTGGATTAACACCTGTTTTGGTTAATTATTTTTATTAAATAGTTGGGTGTAAAGAGTTTTTCAAAAATTGTTGAATTGGAATTTTTTAAAAAAATATTGGTCAAACCTTCTCCTTTAAACGTCTTCCCCTTTATATCACTCAGATCTTTCTCTTAAAATAGTTTAATGGAAATTATTCCTTTTTTTAAAGGCTTGTGCTGATAAAACAATTAAAGTTTTGGATGGTTCAAGAATTGTTTATCAAGTTTTTAAATTCTTTTTAAAAAATAATTTCTTTCTTAAAAAGGTTCCATTAAACGAAGTCCCGACAGTTTTACATCTTTTTTGTAATGATGGAGGGTATAATAAACAGAAAGTATTGTTTGGATGTAAAAATGGATATATTGGTTTGGTTGATTTGGGGGTAGATTTTTGGACAATGTGTCAACAATTTGAGACAAAATCTTTTGGAAGTAAAAAAGAAAAATAAATAATTTAATTAAAATACTATGTAGCTATTTCCACAATTCATTGTTATCCAATGATGGGAGAGGAGAATAATACACAACCAGATGTTTTGGTTATTTAAATTAAAATTAAATTAAATCCTTTTTAAAATTTTTTTGTAGATAGGAAAGGATGATGGACTTATTGAATTATATTCTGTAGACGAAAATAATAATGTAAATTTTTAAAAATAATTTTATATAAAAATAATTTTATATAAAAAATAATTTTATAAATATTTAAAAAAGTTAACATTTCGTCAATCATATCAATGCGAAGAAAGTATTACTGGATTACAAGGAGGGAGAGTAGGTAATGGGATATATCCAGAATTGATAGTTACTACTTATACAGGTAAATGAGAAAGAAAATTCAAAATTAAATTAACAAGGTTGGGTATTTGGGTTAACAACAGAGCCTGTATTTGCTATAAATTCTGGATTGGATGAAAAAGGAAGTGAGGCGCCAGAAATGGAAATTAAAGTACAACAAATGAGGTGGCATTAATTTACTTGAAAGATCTTTCTGTTTCTCTTTCAAGATTAGAAATAGAGCAATTAGAAATTAAAGTAAAAGATGAAAGAGAACGGTTTAATAATGAAATGACTCGTTTAAATCAAATAGCAAGTGAAGTACCTACAAATGGAGGAAATAATACAAGTTTAATGGCTTTTACTGTTAATGATAGATTTGAATTGAGAAAAGAATTGGCTTGGTAGAAAGAATTTTTTTGGAATTATATTTTTTTTACAGTTATAATTTGTCTGTTGAATTAGCAATTCCAATAGATTATGTATTATTACAGAGTGATGTTAAAGTTGATTTATTGGATGTTGAAAGGAATTCTGCAGTTATTTCTGTTACTGAACCAGAAAATGAAGTAAAATTTATAGAAAATATTTTAAAAATTATTTTTAGTCAGGAAATGCTCTTTTGGCTGTTTATCGTTGTCAGGCTGATATTACAAGAATGGTGGAAATATATTTAATTTAAATATATCCATTTTTGTTTAGGAAATGCGTATTAGATCAATTGAAGGACAATTTGGCACTTTACGTTTATATATTGTACCTAGACTTGTTCCCCTTACATGCAAGGTATTTAAATAAATTATTAAAATGAATTCCTTTTTTTTGTATAATTAAGGATTAAAATATTTTTACTTAAATTTTAATAATTCTTTTAATAAATCCAAACAAATTTTTTATTTTACTCGTTTTTAATTTAGCACTTTAATTAATTAAAAATCCAATTATTTTCTTAAATATTTTTTATTCAAATTCCACCAAAATTCTTCTCTATTCTTTCCAATTTTATTTTAAAATTTTAAAGTCCCAAAGAACAGCAAGATGCACATAATCCCATAGAATGGTAAAAACAGCCCATATTACAACCACAAAAATCTCCTGCTCCTCTTTTCCACTTTAATAATTACAAATTATTTAAATTATAATAATTTCTTTAATAAGCTAAAAACCCTTTTCCAAAATACCCTTTTGTGCGGAGAAAATATTTAAAATTTTTAAAACAAAATTAAATAAATTTTTCTAGGGAAAAGTAATACATATCTTTAAATAATTTTTTAAAAAATTTTAACTTTTTACCTTTAATAATTCACGTCTTCGTTCATTTCCTTTAATAATTCTTTCAATAAATGTTTGTCCATTTATTCCCCTTTTATTTATTTTATTATTTAAATCTTCATTATTTATTATTTCCTCATTTAAAAACAAAAAATTAGGTAATTTTGTTTTTTGTTTTTTAAAATAATTAATTTGTTCTTCATTTTCTCTTTTATTTTCTATTAATTTAGGGGAATTTAAATTAAAAGAATATTTTTCTTCTTTTAATTTTTGATCATTTGTCTAAAAATAATTTTTATTTAATTTATTTAAATAATTAAATTTACTTCTATTGGAGTTGAAGAAACTTGTAAAATTAAACAAAAATAACAATTAATTATCAAAAAAATAGAAAACATTAAAAATAAATTTTTGGAAAGCCGAAGATTGGAGTTTAAATTTATTGAAGAATTATTGTTAGTTTTTGGAATAAGTTGAGGAATAATTGGATTTAAACGGGGAAGATTAAATGGCATTCCTTTTAAATTAAATTAATTATTTGTTAAATTGAAAATTAGGGAAAGAAAAGGTGGGAAAGGAAAAAATTAAATATTTAATTAAAATTCGAGTAATTCAAAGTGAGTATCGTAAATGTAACTTTGAATTTTTTTCTATATAAGGTCTATAGTATGTACATACATCTACTATTGCAGGACAGAAATATATGTACTAGATTTATTAATGTTATTTTTGTGTAAAATAAATTTAAAAAATAATACTGGATACGGCACGGCGCTCGAGTTATTTTTAGTATAACTCGCTTCAATTTTATCAAAAATTTTAATAATTTGATGGTACCACGTGATAGAAATATGATCACGGACAACAGGGACAAACCTATCAACGAAAATATTTTTATTTACAAAATTTTTTTATTTTTTAATAAAATTAAAAAATAATTTATTAAGAAAAAAAACTAAAAAATTATTAAACAACAATTTTATTTTTGAGTTTTCAAAGTCAAAATAATTTTTATTCAACTTATTTAAAATGCAAAAAAGCGTGTAAATGTGCGTGTTTAGTTTTTAACGTGTAGGAGGAAAGTAGGAAGAAAATTTTTAAATTTTTAAGAAATAAATTGAGGAGGAGGAGGGAAGGGAGATGTTGTTTAGGTAAAATAATTTACTAAGAAAATTCTAAAAATGGATTTAAATATATTTTTTGGGGGAGGGAATAATAAATTTAGGAAAAGTTAAATAATAGTCAAGAAATGTCTGAAAAATTATTTTTTAAACTTTGACTTGAAATTTAAATAAATATATTGAATAATTAATTTTAATATTTTTACTTAAAAATTGTAATTTGGAATATAATTTAAATAATTATTATTAGGGGATTTGAAATAAAATTTCTTTTTGAGTTTAAAATTCAAAAATTTTTTTAATTTATGGAAGATTAACTTCGAGAATAGAAAGGGCATTTTTTAAACTTTAAAAGTATTTTTAAAAATTTTGGACAAACTAAAAACTAACATAAGTATTTATTAGTTTTTAAAAAATAAATGGGAATGTTGCCCATTTTCTTAGACTTTTTAAAGGAAATTTTATTTAATATTTTTATGGAAATATTTAAATAAACGTCAATTTATAAAATTAATTTTCAATTAAAATACTTAAAATAAACATTTATTCTCATTAAATTTAAGACAATTTACTTGAAAAATTTGTCATTATTTAGGATTTTAATTGTTTTATTTAAGTAATTTAATATACTTTTAAATTTATTTTCTTTTAAATTAACAATTTTGGAAATCTCAAAAATTGCCAAAAATGTTTTTCTTTATCTTTTTATTTTAAATAATTCCCACGTTTAAAAATATTTTAAAAATATTGGAAAATAAATTTAATTAATTCTACGGAATTTATAAGGAATTAATTGTATATATGTGTTTTAAATTTAAAATTATTTCCAGGTTTGTTCGTACCCAATAAAACCCCTTGCCCTCCACGAACGTATCCACTATTTTGATGAACATCGCCCAATGAATACTTTAACTCTGACAGGCTCATTTTCAATAGCAGAAGCCCATTCTTGGTTAGCTTTGTGTTTAGCTGAAGTTCCCGAGCGTTGTCCACAGGCAGAGACTGTTACTTTTAATTTTCGTTCAACATTTAATGGAGGAACTCAATTACAAGCTAATTATAGGTGTTTTTTAAAAGAAAATTTTAAAAAAATACTTCTAATTTTTTCCTCAAAAAAGTAAAGGGAGAGTTAGTTATCGTTCTGACAATTTATCCACAATTGTTATTTTACGTGATGTTATTAGCAGAATTGTTTCTATGGGACAAATAAAAGTACATATTGCTTGTGATATTAATGAGGAAAGTATTAAATGTTTAGAATTAATTTGGCCTAAATTGGAATATCAAAGTCGGTTAGTTAGACAATTGGAATTAGCGAGAGGTTTAAAGGTTATTTTTTAAAGAATATTTTTTGAGAAAACATTTAAAATTTTGTTTATGTTTTGAGTAATGTTTTGTTTGTTGTTATTGTTGTTTGTTTGTTTGTTGCACTATAAAAACATTAAACTTTTCTCTATTCTTGTTTGTTAATCAAAAGTGTCTAGTTATTGTTCGTCGCCTAGTTTTTGTATGTTTATTTCTTATTTTGTTCCCTTTAAAAAAATTTTTTTTAAAGTTCTTCAAAAATGTTTTTATCTAAATTAATTACAAAACAATCATTTCTTCATATCTTCTTCTTCCTCAATGTATTATCTTCAATATTTTTTACTTCAACGGCTGCACAAAACATTCAATTAATTGATCCAAAAGCAGAAAGCCGAAAATTGCCAAAATCGTGGGATTCTATTTTGAATGATTGGGAAAGACATCCTTCAACTAATTGGTGGCAAATTATTGTTACTTTTGTTTTTCCTGCTATTGGAATGGGGTTATTTGGTCTTTTAATTGTAAGATTTTTAAATGATTTCGACAAAAATTCATTTAAAGTATTCCTGTGTTCGTTTGTGTAAATGGTTTCATGCAAGACGTGAAGCGCTTCTTTTGGCAATGGAAACAAGAAGAATTAAACGTTCTCGTTCACGTTCAATTTCTCGTAAAAGCACAGCAGAAAAACCAAAAAAAGAAGAAAAGAAAGAAGAGAATGATGATATTCCATTAGAAAAAACCAAATCCCGTCCAGAACTTTCAATCGACATCGAATCAAAAACTGTTGGCGGCCCTCCACAAATAATTTCTGGTGTTCACATAAACGAATCAAAAAGTGAAAATTCTCTGTCATTAGACTTGGAATTTCGGCCAACAAAAACTTCAGAAAAGTCAATTAGAGGAAATATTCAAATGCTTGGATCTATGAGGGATGGAGGAGGAGGGGGAACTTTTAGTGGAAGTGGCTCTTTAGGTTCTCCTTCAATTGTTGGGGATGGTGCTCCAGCTGTTGGATCATTACGAATTAATATGCCTGCTAGTAGCTCTTTGCGAAAGAATGAAGGAAGTTTGAAGAAGAAAGAAGAAATTAGTAGTGGAAGTAAAAAAGAGGGGAAATAAATAAATAATTAGAAATGTATTTAATTGTGTGTATTTTTGGTGTTTTGATTAGTTTTATTGTATGTAAATGTTAATTTTATTTTCTTTTTGTAAAGTATACATAGCTGTGTTTTGTGTATTTTTGTTTAGTTTAGAAATTTTAATTTAAAAATATATTTATTTTTAGTAGGGTTTACTAAGGTTACTACCCCGGTTTTCGGTTAATCCAAATTTTAGAAACCGGTTTTCGATTTTGAGTTCTAGACAAATACCGATTTTATTTCGGGGGAATTTTTAATAAAATCACTGCTTTCCAGAAGTTACGATTCTTTAAACTTTGTAAAAACGGTTAATTTTTGGCAAAAATAAAAAAATTTCGGTTTAAAACCGGTCGTGAACAACTTGTAAATTAAAAATAAATTAAATTTAAAGGAATTGGAAGCAACATTTGAAGATTTGAGTTATTTAAATTCCGAATTAAAGCAATTATTAGCTAATTACGAACATTTACATAAAGAAGTAGACAATCAACAAATACATTTGGATAGAATACTCGGAATTATTACAGATTTATATATCGATAAATTTAAAATGCTTGGACAAAATGTTAAACATAAAACTAGAGAATTATTGGATATTTTGAAGGGGGAATGTGATTTGGAAAAAATTGTGGAGTTTTTTAATGGAAAATAATTAGTTTATATTTCTTTTTTTTATTTTTAAAGTAAAAAAAATAAAAGATAGATTTTGTAGTCTTTCGAAAATTGCAGTTAAGTGTATTCTGAACTTAAAGGGATTGAGCCTCTGAGATTTTTCTGGCTGGCTTTTTCTTAATTTTTCATTTTTGTGAATGAATCCTTACTGATTTTATTTAAAAAAATACCAAATATATTTATATATTTTTATTTAGATTTCTAATATTTAACATTAAATTTTCTATTTAATTGCTTTCCCTCCCCCTTTAATTATAATTTCCTCTTCTTTCTTTTTTCGACATAATCTTTTCCCATTCGGCCCAATCGGTGCTTTTTCCTTTATTGGCAATCCAAGTACTTGTCTACATGAAATTCTCCATTTATTACATTTTTCTGGATTTGTTGTTGTCCAATTAATTGGTGGTGGTGGTGGTGGGGATTTTATTGTTGAAATTGTTTCTTTTTTTACTATAGATTAATTAAATTAATTTTTTAGTTTTTAAAAAGTTAACTCCAATTATTTTTGTCTCTCTATTAGTGTTGGTCACGGTACGGTATTACCGCGGTATTTTTCGGTAATACCGCGGTATTTTTCGGTAATACCGCGGTATTTTTTACCGAAATACCGATACCGATTATTAATTTTATAAAAAAATTATTTTCCCTTATCATTTCCCCTTACCTTCATTTAAACTTTTCCTTCTTTGCCATTGTTTTTTCTCTTCAACTAAATTTTCTTTTGTTTCTATATTATATTTTTTATTTTTTCTTATTTTATTTTTTGTTTCCTTTTCCTCCTCCTCCTCTTCTTCTTCTTTCTTCACTTCTTCCTCTTCCTCCACTTTCTTTTCTTCTTCCACCTCCTCCTCCACCACCTCCTCCACTTCCTCCTTTTCTTCTTTTATTTCATTAATTTCTTCATTTACTATATATTTCTTCATTTTTCTCTTCTTTACTTCTTCTTCCTCTTCTTCTAAATTTCCTTCATTATTTTCTTCTTCTTTTCTTCTTTCAATAAATTTACATCCTTCTTGTGGAGGTATTGTCTCTTTAATTCTTTTTTTATCAACAAAACAATCCTTTTTAATTTTTTCTTTTTTATTTTCCTCCTCAACTTCTTCAATTTTTATTTTTCTTTTAAAAGAATTTTTAGGTAATTTTTTATTTTTTTGGCGGCGAACTGTTTTTCATAGATTTGCTAATAATTAATTTCTTCTCCTCTACAGTAATGTTTTTATTTTGTTTTTCTTTCTCAATTATCTCCGTTTGTTGAATTGCTGCATTTGCAACGTAACAACTTTTTCGATATTTACAAAATAATTTAAGTTCTTTTACGCTTGTTGGCACCTTTTTAAAAAAAATAATTAGTAAAACTTAAAATATATCTCTTTATTGTCACCAATCAAATTGAAAAATTTTATGGACATTTTCTTTCACCTAAACAACTCTATTTTTTTTGTTTTTAATTTACTTATATCAGAGTAAACAAAATCCAAAAATCTAAATCTACCCTGTTCGGGGTATAGAAATTTCTCCAATTTTGTTGCTGATTTAAGCTAAAATCTACAATTGTAGATTTGTAATTTCGTAATAATATCTTAAAATGAAGTATAATAACATATTTAAAATCATTTATACAATTTTGTTCAATTCTACAATTGTAGATTTGTAATTTCGTAATAATGGATATAGTGTAGTTCACCGGAGGTAAAAGTTTGGGACGAAACATATGTCATTCGATTCGTCTCGGCGAGCTGAGTCGAACGGTACCACTCCCAATTTCAGGAAATGATTCTGGACCGAGTTATAGGTCCCGAAAAATCGAAAAACCAAAGGGGGGACCAAGCACTTTTTTGGGGTGAAAAATTCGAAAATGCAAATTATACCTCATTCGAAAGAGCTCGTCGAGCTGAGTCGAATGACACCAAAATCAACGAAATCCGACTTGATTGGACTGAGTTATAGACCCCTAAAAACCGAAGATCCAAAGGGGCGATTTTTGGAATAAAAAATTTTTTATACAAATAATATCTCATTCGAAAGAGCTCGACGAGCTGAGTCGAATGACACCAAAATCACCGTAATTGAACAAGATTAGACAAAGTTATAACACAAAAAACCTAAACCTATGGGGCGTCGGCGAGGCGCTTGTGCAAAACCCCGCGCTTCGCGCGGGGTTTTGCGGCACGCGCCTCGCGGGGAGTCTACGGGGGCTGGGTCTGGGCTCGTAACATGATCCTATTCCCATTTTCCTTGCTCTGGACGTATTTGGGGCCTCCGTAGCAGCAAAAATCTCCACAGATGCCATAGGTAAGGAGCTTAAACAAACGGTCATAACTTTGTCAAATCAAGTCGGATTTTGTTGATTTTGGTGTCATTCGACTCAGCTCGACGAGCTCTTTCGAATGAGGTATAATTTGCATTTTCGAATTTTTCACCCCAAAAAAGTGCTTGGTCCCCCCTTTGGTTTTTCGATTTTTCGGGACCTATAACTCGGTCCAGAATCATTTCCTGAAATTGGGAGTGGTACCGTTCGACTCAGCTCGCCGAGACGAATCGAATGACATATGTCTCGTCCCGAACTTTTACCTCCGGTGAACTACACTACAGCCGTAATATCTTAAAATGAAGTATAATAACATATTTAAAATCATTTATACAATTTTGTTCAATTCTACAATTGTAGATTTGTAATTTCGTAATAATATCTTAAAATGAAGTATAATAACATATTTAAAATCATTTATACAATTTTGTTCAATTCTACAATTGTAGATTTGTAATTTCGTAATAATATCTTAAAATGAAGTATAATAACATATTTAAAATCATTTATACAATTTTGTTCAATTCTACAATTGTAGATTTGTAATTTCGTAATAATATCTTAAAATGAAGTATAATAACATATTTAAAATCATTTATACAATTTTGTTCAATTCTACAATTGTAGATTTGTAATTTCGTAATAATATCTTAAAATGAAGTATAATAACATATTTAAAATCATTTATACAATTTTGTTCAATTCTACAATTGTAGATTTGTAATTTCGTAATAATATCTTAAAATGAAGTATAATAACATATTTAAAATCATTTATACAATTTTGTTCAATTCTACAATTGTAGATTTGTAATTTCGTAATAATATCTTAAAATGAAGTATAATAACATATTTAAAATCATTTATACAATTTTGTTCAATTCTACAATTGTAGATTTGTAATTTCGTAATAATATCTTAAAATGAAGTATAATAACATATTTAAAATCATTTATACAATTTTGTTCAATTCTACAATTGTAGATTTGTAATTTCGTAATAATATCTTAAAATGAAGTATAATAACATATTTAAAATCATTTATACAATTTTGTTCAATTTTACAATTGTAGATTTGTAATTTCGTAATAATATCTTAAAATGAAGTATAATAACATATTTAAAATCATTTATACAATTTTGTTCAATTTTACAATTGTAGATTTGTAATTTCGTAATAATATCTTAAAATGAAGTATAATAACATATTTAAAATCATTTATACAATTTTGTTCAATTTTACAATTGTAGATTTGTAATTTCGTAATAATATCTTAAAATGAAGTATAATAACATATTTAAAATCATTTATACAATTTTGTTCAATTCTACAATTGTAGATTTGTAATTTCGTAATAATATCTTAAAATGAAGTATAATAACATATTTAAAATCATTTATACAATTTTGTTCAATTCTACAATTGTAGATTTGTAATTTCGTAATAATATCTTAAAATGAAGTATAATAACATATTTAAAATCATTTATACAATTTTGTTCAATTCTACAATTGTAGATTTGTAATTTCGTAATAATATCTTAAAATGAAGTATAATAACATATTTAAAATCATTTATACAATTTTGTTCAATTCTACAATTGTAGATTTGTAATTTCGTAATAATATCTTAAAATGAAGTATAATAACATATTTAAAATCATTTATACAATTTTGTTCAATTCTACAATTGTAGATTTGTAATTTCGTAATAATATCTTAAAATGAAGTATAATAACATATTTAAAATCATTTATACAATTTTGTTCAATTCTACAATTGTAGATTTGTAATTTCGTAATAATATCTTAAAATGAAGTATAATAACATATTTAAAATCATTTATACAATTTTGTTCAATTCTACAATTGTAGATTTGTAATTTCGTAATAATATCTTAAAATGAAGTATAATAACATATTTAAAATCATTTATACAATTTTGTTCAATTCTACAATTGTAGATTTGTAATTTCGTAATAATATCTTAAAATGAAGTATAATA